GAGTAGAATTTTTTTTCGTGACTGGACGTATGATAGGTCAGGAATGGTAGAGGATAGTGGAGAGTCGAAAAGTTTTACAAACCTGCCTAAGAAAAGAAGTACTGAGCACCTCCGAAGTGAGCCGAAGTGGACCGAAGGGACCCGAAGGGACCCGAAGAGGTTGGGGTGGCAGTTCGGGCGTAAGTTCAGGTGGAAAATGGAAATGACTGCATATCGAGCCGGTAGGTGATTCCGGGCCCGAAAAGAGGGTGATTGACCTGAACACATGTGTGGGAGCAGGTTAAGTGAAAAAAGCAGAGAACTGAGCATGGTTTTGAAGTGGGAGTTTTGACTCAGCAGTGATGGTATGTGGTTGTGGAGTGATGGTATGTGGATGTGGAGTGATGGTATGTGGATGTGGAGTGATGGTATGTGGATGTGGAGTGAGGTGAAGGAAAGGTTGAGTGGCGTGTTTTGGGAAAAACGGAGAAAAAGTGAGGGGAATAATTACAGAAGTGACGGGATTATCCGGTTTTGCACCAACTCGCTCTCAACGTCCCCCGCAAGTTTCTCTGTAGGTTCAGCACGATGAGTGGAAGACAAGGTTAGTGACGATCCTACATTAGGCTTTCCTCCAGTCAAGATTTAACTTTCTGTGATCTGGATCGTTCTGTTACTTACCCATTGTCAATTCACCAAACGCCTATTGTCGACTGTTACTTTTCAGCGTAGGCTGACAAGCAGGTGGTAAAGGTAAGACGCCCTACTATCATCCCATACATCACGACTATGCAGAACGCGATGTATGTGAAGAAAATAGCTAATCACGTCCTTCTCAGCGAAACCTCTCAAGGTGTGTTTCCATTTCTCCCAAACCTGAGATGTCCCATTCACGCGTCGTTGATCATCGACTTCCTCTTCAGCGCTCGAACTCCAGGCTGACCCGCCAGGCCCCAAAGAAAGAGAAGAAAGAAGAGTGAGTCAAGAATGCCTCGAACGTGCGAAAACTGAGAAACCAGCGACGAAGAAGATGCGGCGTTCAAAGCGAAACAGTACGTCTCAACCTCATTTCTCTACTACACGGCCGCGTAGCTTCAGACTTGAATCATATCATATTGAGAAATGTTCTGATCTGCAGGAAGGCGGAGGCTGCAGCAATGAAAGCCGCTGCCGAAAAGGGCGAGTCACATTCTCTGTCCAACATCAATACCTTTCTTTACCACTGGACTTCACCGACGATGATCTCAAAATTAGGTTTCGAGACCGGCTTTGATATACGGGAGCTAACTCATAGCCAAGAAGGGTCTACTTGGAACGGGTATAAAGAAGTATGTTCTTCTGTCATTGTGTCGCTGTTGTTCGAAACACGCGCTATTACGAGAGGAAAGCTGATATATTTTAGATCCGGCAAGAAATGAAGATGTCGTCTCGAGATCATGATGGAGGAGAGCGGGAACGAGCATGGGCCATAGGCCATGGATCGGCCATGGAGCCATGGACCATGGGCGATGTGTCATGAATCTTGACTTTCATTTGCGAGTCATAAGCACTTTCTGTTCGTTCCGATTGGGCATGTGTCAGACAAGATAACAGCATGCAACTTTGAGGTGTTCCCCTTACTTGTAAATGTTTGATAGCCACGTGGCAGTCAATAAAGTTTGCCTCGCGCGATGGGGCCCAAGCGCTCCTTCTCCCCCTCCCCTCTCCCCTTTCCTCACTCGTAACCTCAATCTACCTTAGCTTACCTATAGCCTTCCTCGACTATTACCTAACTTATTGCTCTTGTCATTCCACAATAATTTGCTAGACTCCAACAACTTCGTCTTTGTCATCTCGACGTAACCACTACACTAGCAACGGTCAATCCTAGCAAGTCTCGCTCCACCTCTTCAGAGTCCTTTGTCCAGTTTTTCTCCCCTTCTGCGGCTCGACTACCTCATTATTCACTCTCACCACATACAGTCCTTTGAGCACTTGCCACTTCCTCTTTCTCGAAACCCTCAAGTCATTGCTTGTCAACCTCTTTCCCTCCATCATTCGACGCGGCGAAGACTGTGAGACAACATTACAACGGTGCACGGCGTTTACCCCGTTGACAAGGAATACTTGGAAACCGTCCGAGGGGCTTTACCCATCTTTTCTTCGTCGGCCCCACCTTTGCATCACCCTCATAACAACGATTCTCCTCCATTTCCCTCTTCTCCTTCGACTGAACACATCGTCACTGGCGATCGGAAGTTGAGAACATTCTCTCTGATCAGAAACCCAACTCGACCACTGCCAAATTACTCTGTGGGAACATTCTCGGGACCGCCTTTGACCATCTCCCCTTGAACAAGTCAAATCTCCCTTTATCCTTTCAGAAGACAGAACCCCTACGACTCGCCTATTATTCACACTGTCTTCGTCTCTCTCAACTTCCATTCCTTCCCGTTCCTGCCTTGCCTCAAAACTACCGAAGCACGTAAACCTTTGATCAATTCACACAAAGGTCAACGGGTATCACAAATATCGACATCACGGGAACCAAAAGCAGAATGTCCACCATGACGATTCCCCCAAGCGCGCCTTTATCCTCACCCTCGCACTCGACCCACTCGTCCCGTCGTCTAACAAACAGAATGACCAATCGTTATTCTGTCAACGCCATGTACTCTCTCGCTGCCGAACAAGACATCGAAATTGATGATGACCTCGCCAGGGCTCAACGTCGACTACGAGATCTCAAAGCGCGTATATCGGCTCAAAGTAAGAAGAATTTTGTGCTTGAGCGTGATGTGCGATATTTAGATTCGAGGATCGCCCTCATCATACAAAACCGGATCGCGGCGGAGGAGAAAAATCATCTGGCAGAGGCGTTGGAGGAGGTGGATGAGGAATATGGTTTATGGCCTGATGAGAGGAAACAGAGTCAATATAGTAATTTATTCTTTCTTTTACAGTCGGAACCTAGACATGTGGCGACATTGTGCAGGTTGGTCAGTTTGGCAGAGATTGATACGTTGTTACAGACGGTCATGTTTACTCTATATGGGAATCAGTATGAACAGAGGGAAGAACATTTGTTGTTGACCATGTTCCAAGTAAGTCCATCGTTCATTATTGATCCTTGACATCCTATGTCTTTTGTCCACAACGATCGTGATTGGCGGATACAGACGCGTCCGGCCGAGTGAGGCCAGGAGTAAAGGGCGGGCAATGGATGCTAACAGTCAGAGTGTGCTTTCAGCTCAGTTCGAAACCACCACAGAATTTGCTTCGCTATTGCGAGCCAATACACCGGTGTCGAGAATGATGACGACGTATACTCGACGAGGTCCGGGTCAAAGTTACCTCAAAAATACCCTGGCAGAGAGAATCAACAGTCTGATCGAACACAAAGATTTGAATTTGGAAATCAACCCCCTGAAGGTGAGTTCTCTCCCCTGCTTTCTCACGTCTTCATTGCGCAAACATGCTGCTCCCCTATGACAGTCCTTTACGCTGCGTCGTTGTCCAGTTCTGTGGGCTGTAGTTTATCTCGCCGCTCAGATGAGACGACGTTCTGTGTTACAAAATTGTTCATTTGTCAGAGCTGCCATACTGACTCACAGGTGTATGAACAAATGATACAGCAAATCGAGGAAGACACGGGCCAACTCCCACCTTCTTTACCCCGCGGAGTTCCCCAAGAAATCGCAGCAGAGAACCCTGATGTTCAAGCTATCATCATCCCCCGTTTGGCAATGTTGATGGAGATCGCAAATACTTTCCTGTCGACTATTATCGACAGTGTCGAGACTGTCCCATATGGAATACGATGGATTTGCAAGCAGATTCGCTCGTTGACTCGGGTTAGTGCTCATCTCATCACGACGTCCCGTTACATTTTACCCCGTTCCTCGAATACCAAACCGCCGCTAAAACAGAGGCCCGTTGCCAATAGAGGAATGCCGTGCCATGACCGGGGCGTTTCCATGTTTAGTGTGACTCGGATCGACACTGACCCATAGCGCAAGTATCCCGATGCTTCAGATGTATCCATCTGCTCCCTCATCGGAGGCTTCTTCTTTCTTCGGTTTATCAACCCCGCCATCGTCACTCCTCAAGCTTATATGCTTGTAGATGGGGTTCCGGCGAAGCATCCGCGGCGGACATTGACCTTGGTGAGTCGTGTCAACAGCCTCCATTCTTCGTGTTTTTCTCTACATTCACCCGCCATCAGGCTCTTTTGTCTAGACCGCATCTTCAATCGGCCTCCACGGGGCGAATCTCTTGTCCCGAAGGTTGATTTACACCTACGGACAAGGCTGACATACCAGCTCACTAAAATGCTGCAGAACCTGGCCAACAAAGCCAGTTATCAGAAAGAGGCATACATGCTGTCCCTCTCGCCATTCATCGAAAACAACAAAGTGCGGATGAACGAGTTCTTGAATCAGTTATGCGAAGTCGGCGACTTTTATGAATCGTTAGAAGTGAGCATCACCTCGGTCAATACGCACCCGTGAAGCTGATACACCAGTTGGACCAATACATGGCATTATCGAAGAAAGACCTCCAAATATCTATCACCTTGAATGAGTTGTACAACACCCATTCTCTCTTACTGCAGCATATCGATTACTTGGTGAGTCAAACTTGTGTCCATGCCCTTGACTAGTTCCTCATGACTGACCTCAGTCACCGAACGACAAACAACATCTTCGTATACTTCTCGATGAACTCGGTCCCGCTCCTGCTCAAGTGCCGCGTAAAGAAAATCGAAATCTTGATCTACCCCTTTATTCTCGTTGGGAGACTCCCATTCAAGATCTCTCCACCGCCCTCATGTCTGATTCTGTCACGCAGAATGATATTAATTACATGGAAGCTAAATCAATCTTCGTTCAACTCCTCCGTTCTATGCCGACATTCGACAAACGTCCCCTCGAGCTCTCTCTTTTGGCTGAACGTTCTGCCACGTCAAAGGATCCCGTCCTTGTGAGAAGGGGCATCAAAGTCCAAGACCTACTCTCCGAACTTGTCTCAGCTGGGATATTAGACCGAGGAGATAACTTCAAAATCATGCAGGATGAAGTAGCGGCGGAAATGGTACATCTCGGTAATGCCAGGGAAAAGGTAAATCTGGAATCAAGGAGTTTGGAGGCGGTTTATAAGACGATTTGCGATCATAATAATTATTTGAGAAGTCAGTTGGAACAGTATAAAGCGTATTTGCAAAACGTGAGAGGACAAAGTGGGAAAGAAGGGAAAAGTACGGGAGTGGGGGTTGTTACGGTCAATGGGAAAGAGAAGAAACCTACGAAAACCAGCGTGTTGGGGCCGTATAGATTTACACATGCTCAATTTGAGAAAGAGGGGATTATCGTTGATAGTAATGTTCCAGAACCTCGGTGAGTTGGATTTTTACTTGAACCTCCCATTTGTCCCTGGCTGTGTTTCATGACCTGTTCTCATCTCTCTCTCTCTCTTCCCCTGTCCTCCTCGTCGTTGCCTCCAAGGAGAAGGGGAAGTATGAAAAATGTGCTAAAGTCGCACATACTGAGGTAGACTTGCTGACCTTTCGCCGCGTCAATATATTCTTCAACATCATTTCACCCACACCGGGAACGTTCATCATTGCATTACATTTCAAAGGTCGAGAGAAACCGATATTGGAGATGGATCTGAAAATTGACGATTTGTTGGAAAAGGTGCGATTTTCATCATTATCCGCTCGAACACGAGGTTCTCTGGCCCTTGAGGAAGCTACTTTCTCAATATTCTTTCGCACTTGCGTTGATCAGGGCGTTTATCTTGGAATTTGTGATGATCATGTATTGGTCAAGAGATGTATGTGGAAGTCGGATGGATGATGCTGACGGACAGCAAAAAGATAACCAAGCTTCTCTCGATCTGGAATACGTCCAACTCAACGTAACGAAAGTGTTGGGATTGTTCAATAAGGTCAGCTTGAAAGGTTGCGGTCTCATCGAAAAGCTGACACACAGGTTTTCTCCAAACGGCGTTGAGCGATTCCTTGGGGCGGAGGCATCGACTTCTGAGATGTGTCGAGTTAACGTCGCTATGTGACCTTCAAGCGGCTAGCGGCATCGCCACTTTTATACGACGGAAGATGGAGATCCCTCAATCCCCATTCATGGTCTGGAGGCCCGCTTTCCAGGACACGGACAGACAACGCATTGATTGCGTCGGTATGAATTTTACAGGCTTGGACTATATCGACCATTGAGAAGACGCAAACCCAAGGGGGGACCAGTAAATTTTAGATGGTGGGAGGAGAGGATGTGAATTGTGCAAGATTATGGAAGATTTATAGATCTTGGTCACTTTGCAGGAGTGTTCATTAGGGTTCATGTAGGTATGTCAATGTATGAGAGAGATAGGCTATCTAGTCGTATAATTCAATTTTATAATGTGTCTTGGACAGATGTATCTGATTTTTGAGATTCTCTCCTGGTGCATGGTGCAGGATTCCATGAATAGTTGCGAATAATGTGAAAAGTGGAAGAGGGTACTGTCATATTGCATAAATTCATAATGCATAACACTATGCCCTAGCCCAATTCTTCATACATCCAAATCTCCATGTACCCGCCAATTTCTTTTTTCTTTCCTCCACAACTTTACCTATCATTCATAAGATTGGACCAACTCATACATTATTCTTCCCTCTATCAGACACATAAAAATGTCTCATGCATGTAAGTCCCACCTAACATCAAAAGAGGAGCTTGACCAAAAGAGAAGGAAAAAAACGTATCATTAGATGTATTTGTATGATGTGTGGAGGAAGAATTTTAGATACAAAATTGATTATACCCTAGTAAACTCCCAAGTTCTAGCTTTTCCTTGTCTACCTAAAATCTCTTCATTCCCTTTCTTACTCTTCCCTTCTTTAAAACCTCTAGTACGTCGATGTTCATAACCTTCATACAAACTTGGGATGAATTCAAAACTTCTCAAAAGGGTATATCGAGGTTGTGGGAGGTTGGTATTTGGACATAAAGCAGGAGGACGTTTAGCTAATTTAGGTAAAGCCCATAGAGTGTAAGGTGGTTGATCTAGGAGAGTAATGAGGATTGTTCCGTCTTTGTTTGGAACGGATAGAGGTGGATTGGCCGGAAGGGAAGATTGGGGTTCTTCGTTTTCATACATTTCGTCGGGTTCGATATCTGAGAGATGTTCCGACGATGATGATGATGACGAGGAAGATGAGCGGTGACGTTGATGTTTGTGCTTGTGTTTGTGTTTTGATATGGAATTGGGATTGTTGTGATTAGGAGGGTTGATTGAGGAAGAGGAAGAGAAAGAGAAAGAGAAAGAAGAAGTGAGAAATGGATGAACGGAACGGAATGTTCCAAGTAAAAGATGTTGATTAGATAAAATATTACGATCTTGATCTGTTATACCTGCTCCTACCAGTTAGCTTTTGTGACATGATTTCATCCCTCCCTCCCTCCCTCGACTTCCTTCTCTGAACAGGTATGTCACTCTCTGGCTCTCCTGGTTGAAAGGTCTGTCCCCCCTACCCCCTTCACTTCTGACACCAAGGTTACATAGAGATATCTAGAACTCTAGACCCTCCTAGAAGCAATATACTCGGTTGACATGAATCTCAATAGTCGGAAAGCCAATGTAAGTAATTGTAGAGTGAAAAAGTTGACTAACCAGCATGAGGAAAATTGAAAATAACCTTACTCCATTTCCCTTTCCCAATCCTTTTACATTTCTCCAAATTCGTAGCGTCAACCTCAAATTCCACCCCTACACCATTCTCCTTCAACTTTTCGATATTCCCCTCCGCATCAGAGTACTTCGAATATAAAACCTCTTGTGAATCATAGCACGTAGCCAAGATCCTTTCCCCCGGGATGGAATGAGGTGGAAGTAAAAGAGAAGTCGCAAATGAAAAATTCCCTTCACCTAAGAGAAGTATAGTATCTGAATTATCGAATGGAATAATAGGTTTGGATTTGGTTTTAGTTGCTTGGGCGGTTTTGGATTTATGGGTTTTGCCAGAAATGATGGAAGATCTTTTAGCTTCTAGAGCTTGTTGAGCTCTGTCACGTCGTTTCTTCTCAGAGGTTTGGGCTTGATGAGCTAAAAGAGCAGCTTTGAGCTTACGTTTCGCCATGTTGGGGTTCGATAGGGTGTATGTTATGCAATGTAAGAGTTAGTTAGTTAGGGTTACTGGTACTGTAAGTACAAGATCGCGGGGAGAAAAACGGAAGCAAATCCAAATCTCATGGAAAGTCGTCCTTGGAATTCTGCAAAAGTCACATCACATCTTGACTTCTTGAACTGTGTTCCGACGTAGAGAAGAGAGTATAAAGCAAGATGATCCTCCCGAGAACATTCTTCGATATATCCGTAGGAGGAGCCAAAGCGAATCGCGTGGTGGTGAGCTGCACTTATCAAGTTGTCTGTGTCGACAAGCTGACAACAAGTTTGAACTCTTCACCGATGTGTCAGTACTTTCTTCTCCACTCTTTTGTCTTGGATTGCAATGGTCATATGCTGATTTTCAGCGTCCCTAAAACGGCAGAAAAGTGAGTGTCGTAATCTTCTCTCCTTACACCTCCTGTGTCTCTTCAATCTCCTGCTTGTATACCTTTGCGACAACAGATCACAACGTGTAGAGAAGTACTCAAATTGATGGTCTCCTTCACATACCGTAAAGCAGTGAAGAAAACGTAGTTGATTGACAGCTTTCGTGCACTTTGTACCGGCGAAAAAGGTATTTCGCCCATATCGAATGTCCCTCTGCATTACAAAAACTCCATCATACATCGTGTCATCGATGGCTTCATGATACAAGGAGGTGACTTTACCAAACGGACTGGTGCCGGAGGGGAAAGTATCTACGGTGGAACGTTTGCGGATGAAAGGTTGGAAGGGGAAGGTACGGAGGTAGATAAAGCTGGGTCAGTCATTTTTTCCCCATTTAGCCAGTCATCTTGGTCTTTTACATCATCAAGACTATGCTAATGCTCAGATTGCTTGTGATGGCTAATCGAGGACCGGATACGAACGGTTCTCAATATTTCATCACTCTGGCTCCTGCCCCTCATCTGACGGGAAAACACGTGTACGTATCTTTCTTACTTCATACCATATCTTACCCGGACATATATCTCGAGGAACATCGAACGATGGACCTATTGGGGCTAGAATGCGTTTCATTACAAGAACGGAATAGGAAAGAGTGGTGATTCTGATAAATAGCGTGTTCGGTCGAGTGATACATGGTTTGGAACATATCCAAACCATTGGGAAACTCCCTACTGACAGTCGTGATCGGCCCATCTCTCCAGTAGTAGTGGTTCACAGTGGAGAATTAGAACTTCGACGTCCACCTGCCCCTCCTCCCAAACGTCGCTCCCCCTCGCCTATCTCAGAACCAGAGTCGGAATACCGACGAAAAGAACAAAGGCGGAGAAGTCGAAGTCGTAAATCTCTTGAAAGTGATGATGAAAGAGAAACGAAACGACATTCGAGCAAGCGAGATGGTAGAGAAAGGAAAAGACGGAATGGTGAAACTGGGAGTGAATCCGAAGATGATAGAAGAAAACGTCGAGGGAAGAGGGACAGGAAGGATAAGAAAGAGAAGAAAGAGAGGAGAAAGGAGAAAGAGGAAACGGAAGCCGAGTTGGATGCTCGGTTGGAAAGAGAAGAAAAGGAGAGATTAGAATTGGAGAGATTAGAAAAATTAGCAGAAATGAAAAGACAATTGGAAGCGGATCGTCAAAGAATCAAAGATGGTGGTGGGGTGGTTTATAAGGGTAAGTGTAATTCTGCATCCTTACTTCTACGTTATCCCATTTCTTTCCCTCTCATCTCATTCATCTTCGTCCCTCATGTTTTAGCGTTCACGACGTTGGACTGAATGTTTTCTCATTCTACCGCAAAGGCCAGAGGTGGTCTACTACAGAATAAGGAATTGTCCATTGTGATGTACAAGCTTATAACGTGTATCACTTGGGAACTCGAGGAATTGGGCTGATCCAATTAGGCAGAGGCGCTATGCGTTATTTAGATCCTGAATCAGTCCAACGTAACATGTCCTCCCGATCCAGACGAGACGAACCCGGTTCAGAATTCCGTGCTCAGAGATGGAATCGTGATATACGTCATCGTATTCCATCAAATCCAGATAAAAACAGAGATCGAGGGTTCAGAGGTGTTCGACCTGGTGAAAGAGAGAAAGATAAATTAGATAGAGATTTAGATAGAATGAGGAAAGGTGATGAGTTAGATAAGTATCCAAAGAGAGAAGGAAGGGGTGATTTGGATGATTGGAGGAAAGGTAGAATGGAATTTGTACGTTCTGAATTAAACACGGATAGAAATGATGAAAAGAGGGGAAAGAGTAGGAGTTTGAGTAAGGAGAGGTATGATAATAATAGAAGAGAAGAATTATCATCAAGGGAGAGGGAAAGGAGTGTGGAGAGAGAAAGAGAAAAAGAGAAAAGTCCTATGATGCTGAACAGTCCTAAAAGGGGTGAAAGTCCAGGTTCGGAAGGAAGTGATATGGTACTTGATGCGGATGATTAGGGAGTCAGTCGGTCAAGCTTATCAAAGTTTGACGGTCAGATCCTGGAGACTCAGTTGATTCAGGTGAAGGTTCGTAGGAAATCTCTTCAGGTTGCACTGGAGAGATTCCTTGTACAAACAGACCAGTCGTCGTGAGCGAGATGTCAGGGTCGAGGATAGATTGCAAAAAAGATGCATCCAGATACCAAGCAATGTAGGAATTAGATAAAGTTTTCAAGATAAGGCAATGGCAAGAGCTTGTAAGACCAGGTCTTTGTCTTCGCGAGAGTCGGTGAAGAGGAAATACTGTATGGTCAGGGATCGGACTACTCGTTCAGATACCATTTCACGACCCTGTGTACACCACGGGGTGGAAGGCCATAGCACAGGGAAGACTCATGAAATTGAATATGCAATGAGGGGAGAGAATCGGAGTTTTTACTATGACCCCTCCAACAGAGATGGTTGACTGTCAACGACGAGTGTATGGGCGGTGGAAACGTTTAAAGAGGAGGATACAGTAATTACACTCGATTTGAAGACCATTCAGAAATGACAGTTACGGTGAGGAGAGTGAAATCAACGTGAAACTCACATCTTTACCATCACAACTCAACTTGAAACTATCTTGGATTTGAGATTCCTCGTAGATCTGAGAGATCTTGGCTCCGATCAGGGAAATGATCAAGATGGGTTTCTCATCCTTTTCATCAGTTTTTACCTCACGGTCGATTTCATCTCCTCTAGCCGGGATCATGTCCAATGGTCGAAGATGGTCATGGGCGTAGTGGACTTGACAGGCAATTCTCATTATAGAGGGGAGAGGCAGGAGGGATTGACATACAGATTGCGATTTGAAAAGAACCAATTCTCTTGCCAGCAGTCTAAACCATCTCCGACGCCAGATTGAGCTTGAAGGAGATTGCACGGTCAACCACTAAGAGGGTCAGCTACCTCTCATTACCGATAGTAAGGGGCATAATATTATTCGTCCGGTGAGAATAGGGATATCCCAAAGCCAAAGAGAAGGAGGTACATTCCCCGAAGCAATGTGATTAAAATGCCGTGCGAGAATCACTGACGACAAGAGAGGACAGGAAATGAAGAAGCGATATCGAAACCCAAACCGACTCACCCCACTCAACATCACTCCTCCCTCCACTTTAGCTCTCTCCAACTGTTGTAACAACTCCTCTTTCCGTCTCTTTTCAGCTTCTGCTACCTCCTCCACCCTTCTCTTTTCCGCCTCTTGTTCCTCTTTCTTCGATCTTTCCCTCTCTGCTTGCATTTCGACTCTCATTCTTTCCGCCTCTGCCTCCTTTTCCACTCTCAACCTCTCATCTTCTACTTTCCTCCGTCTATCCATCTCTTCGTCCTCTCTCAGCTTCGCTAACCTTTCCTCCTCGGCTCTACGAAGACGTTCTTCCGCTCTCAATCGTTCTTGATCTTCCCTAAACCTTCTCTCCTCTTCAACCTTGACCCTCGCCTCTGCCTCCGCTTTCATTCGCTGTTCTTCCTCTGCCCTCATCCATTCTTCTTGATGCGCTCTCAAGTTTTCTTCCTCATGATCGGCGGTATTGTCGTGTGCGTGATCTTGGGCAAGTATGTCAGAAGTGACGCTCTCTCCCACACCATCCGAGACATGATTGGTTGGACCATGAGTCGCATTTGAATCTTCGACTTGACCTGACATGTTCCGATCTTGATTCACTTGACCCACTTCCTCTTCAGGGTCACTTTCGTCATATGCCAACCTCACACTGTCCTCATCATCCTCTTTCCCCATTATCACCATCGCATCCCTATTACTTCCCATTGAATGTAATCTAGTCCTCTCCCCCTCTTTCTGCATAGCCTCCAAATCTTTTCTGAACCGTTCTTGCACTTCTTGTTCCTCGTGCATTCTCTTTTCTACAGCAGCATGTAGAGCCTGTTGAGCACTCGGAGTTGGTGACATGTGCGTTTCAGGCGCTGATGAGGGATAAGACGTATCGACGCTTTCGGCAGAAGGTATAGGTCTCAATCCACCACCCGGATGGAGTAGATTACCTTCCTTATTTGAGCTGGCGAATTGGTTTCGATTCGACGAAGGTGGTGTGGGATAATCTTTGGGAGGTAACGGTGGAGGTGAAAAACCATCAGCTTGAGGACTATTAGGAAGACTACTCGATCCAGAAGCGGAAGAACGACGACGATGAAACGCTTTGACTAAAGCGGAAGGTCTGAGCCTACTACTTCCAGGAGAACTCGGTTCGGCAATGTGTGCTTTTCCGTTCCCTTCTGTGTGGGAAAATTTTGGTGAACCTGGCGTAGCAGGGGAAGAGACGGATCTTGGCGAATGTTGATCTTTCGACCGTGAAAAGGCATTTTCAAGACCCAGTCTAGCTGTGAGAGATGCTTTGCGGGATCGACGGTCCTGAAAGTAGTCTGTTGAACTCACGCCCTTGTGTGGAGGCCCTGCAGGAGAGATCTTCAAAGGCGGTGCCAGCGCTGGTGGACTGGGTGGGTTAGAACCAAGGTCGTGGATGGTGTTTGGAGGATGACGGAGAGGAGTTGGACTGGTGAGATCAATGATTTCCCTGGTTTTAGGTCCGGGGTGTAGATCGCTGTCGCGACTGACGCTACTTGACAAAGGGGCGGATTCTGGTGGTGTGGGAAAGTCGGACGCTCGTCGTTCGATATCACTCGCGCTGGTACCGTTGACGACGCTATCGTCTCCATCTTGATTAGGTGGAGCGAATCTGACTGAAGGGTCGGCGGATTGAACTTGACCATTGTCAAGGGGACTAGAGGGCTGGTTTAGGTTCTCGATGGTATCTTGTGGCGAGGGAGTAGTTTCTTGGGCCGGTGGTGAAGCAGTTTCATTTGCTGGCGAGGCATGAGTCGTTTCATTGGGAATAAGTTGAGAGGCGTTGACTGGTTGGGATGGAATGTCGGTATGAGCAGGATGGGGTGTGGCCGTAGGTTGAGGGTTCATAGCTGTGAAACTGTGCATGTCGGTATTGTGCAGGCCAAGCTTGTCGGCGACCAGTTCTTCGGTGAGTTGAGACGGTTGAGAAATACTGAGCAAAGCTGTATAGTCCTATTCGTCAGAAACTAAAAGTGATGACTTTGTCAAAAGGAAACGTACGGGGAAGAGTTGGGCAACAGCACGAGAATGAACGACTGCTCGTGCTACATATACTCAGCGTCTGTTCCTCGTGTTTCTATTTCCTAGAATGGGCGGGAAGTTTGGATAAGAGTTGACGATGCGTTGTTACGCCGATACATTTATCAGTCAGGGTAGTGAATGATGATGTGCTATTTGTGAGACAAGCTTTTGTGGGGGCTGACAATACTTCTAGAACTGAGGGTTGGAATTTTGAGCATTTCGAGGAAAGAATTACCTCTTCTAACACCCCTACCTTGGTCAGCTCGGTAGAAGAAGAAGGATACAGAGAGCTCACCCGACGGTATCAGGCAAATATGATAATACTGCACCTTTTCTTCCCACTTCTCCATAGCCAAATACGACCTCTCCTTCGCTGGCAGAGATGGTCTCGTGCCATTGGGGAATCACGGGGTCTTGTCCCTTGGATAGCAGCTCGAGGATGTTGGTGGTAGTGGGGGCATAGTGCAAGAGCAGCCTGACGTGAGCTAACTTACATTTTCAGGGGATGATCGATATGTAACACATATGATCGAGGATGTGAGAAGGGGAGGAATGAAGATTCCGAAGTACAGTTTGCGTGGGAGAATGTGGACAAGGTGGTGAAGGGGTTGAAACATACCAGCTGGTAGGATCGTCCTCTGACAATATTTGATCTCTGGCGTGCAAGATGGCAGGATCTGAAAGGTTGAGCGACATGGTGAGTGTGACAAGAAACGACAAGGGATCAAGTTCAAGGACATATGGGATATGTGCAGTTGAAAAGACAATGGGTGAAACGGGGTGAGAGGCGCGTGTTCAAAGTAAGTTTGTGCTATGAGTGGGTCGGACAAAGGGTGTCATTCTCTACAAAACGCCCCTTTGATCGTCTGCACATTCCCACGACATGGACAGCGTGCCCCAGACTGGTCAACAACCTGGCAAGAAATGCTAGGCATGTTGGACATGCATGCTTGTACTACCTTGACCCTACTCTTACTTCTTCTTTGGTCCGTGGAGTGGTGTTCCAATCAGCGCCGTCGCTCCTCGTAATTTGATACCTAAAACAGGCTCCATCTTCGCCAACAAAGCCAGACTCGCCTTGTCATGTTTTGCTCGAGAAGCTTCGATATCCGCAATCTGTCCATCAGCATGATAGATCATCTATCAGCGTGTTCATGGGACCAACCAGATTGATCTGCAGTGGGAAGGGATAAGGGTGAAGATGGGTCACTCACATCCTTTGGAGTCGCATTTATTCTCTTGGCCAATTCAGATTGGGTCATACTCTTCCCATTGGCATCTTTCTTCTCTAGCCTGGCCTGAGCTACGGCCTTGCCAACCCTGAATAACGTCAACCATACGTTTTACAAAGAGAAAGAACTCCATGACTCACGCGGGATCAATGGTCGAAGGGGGTTTGGGAGCATCATCAGCGTCTAACTTTGCTTTTTGCTGATAATCGGCGGCTGTGTATCAGTGACGATTCGTTCTATCTTTTCGGATGTCTTCCAAAAGATATCTGACCAAGAAGATAGGGAAGGCTTGATTTAGGAACAATAAATCAGGGTACTTACGACCACCTTTACGTTGAGCTGGATCTTTGGCAGTGGCTATGGCTGAACCCTGACGCTGAGCGACTGAGACGTTAGCTCATCGCTCGATATCAGATTGAAGAGGGACACACTGTTCAATGCGGCACCTTTTGCCACTGTGGGTCGAGCCGTCCTTTTCTGACCGATGATTACATTGGGAGCGTCCCAGTCAGACTGTAGATGATGAGCCATGATCACAGTAAGGGGTTGGTTGATCAGTGTTGAGGGTTTATCCAGATGAATGTGGGAGACGGAGGTAAAGCAACAGAGAGAACGATGGGCGATGTCAACGAGCAGCTAAGAGCTAAGAGCTATGAAAGGAGTAAACGACCCACCATGGTTCTGGATAGATCGGGGGGCTTCGTCTAGGATTTTCAATACTTGGATATTAAATGCGAACAGAAATTATGCTGATGAATGAACTTGGAGGTCGAGTCGATGATATGAGAGTTGACGATGACAGTGAGTGAGTAGACAAGTAGACGATTTTGGGGGGGATTTCATTCGAAGGTCGAGTGGCCAGCTAAGCGGCCATCGCCGCCTATACCCTCGGTCGACTATGGCAGGTCCGTGCACGCCGGCATCCATCCCCTCCGGCCTCTCCCTTCCCTTGCCAGCTGAGCAGCCTTACCGCATTGTCCGTAAGAAATGAACAAAGGCAATCATGTCAAACATGATCACATCATTATCTTACCTGGTACCCAACAGTGACAAGCCCAAGCCCATCAAGCCTACAGCCTCACATTCCGTCCAAACAACTTCCTTCTCTTCTTCCCCTCCTCTCCCTCACTCCTCTCGCCACCACCCCATCAAGAGCTTCCTCCTGCCCATGACATTTATCGATAGGTTCTTGTCGATACCTTCTCAGATACTCTTCGCTCTCCTTGGTCTCATAGGTATGGCACAGTATTCAAGACAGATCGTGAGGGTCACTCCGAGGGATCCAGCCGATATTGGTGATGATGGCGGCGATTATAAGGCGCACGAGGGGGATTCGGCAGCTGTCAACGTCGCTAGATGGGTGGAGGAGAACGTACCAAGTTTGAATGGGACTTTCAAACCTAGCTGGTGGTTGCCCAAGTGAGTTGAAGTAGTGATCGATCCCTCCACACCATCACCACTGAGATATTATCTTACATCCACGCCTCGCCAACCACAAGAGGAGCTGGCCGGGATTCACGGGCAATCTCTTCTAGTCCCCGGTCAAGTTGGATCCTTTGGTGAGACCACTAGACTGACCGAACATAGTGGACACTTTCAGACTATCTACTCTGTCATTGGAGATTTCACCAAAGTAGACAAAGTCGAGTATCGTCGGTGAGTTGCACCCTCTCACCAACCACGTGGGCAGGAGCTAAGGTACAGAACATACTTGAGGGTCCCAGATGGTGGTACAATGTGTGTCAGCTTCTTCACCCAGTCGCTCCTAGCTAAAATATAGAGCGCTAGATTTTGCACCCCCTAATCATACCGCTTTACCACCAGAAACCCCGATAGTCGTCATCTGTCACGGTATCACTGGCGGGAGTCATGAAAGTTACGTACGAAGTTTACTGGTCAAAGTCGTCCGACCCGTTTCTGAGGGTGGGTTAGGTCTTCGAGGTGTGGTGATGAATGTGAGTCATGAGTCTTCAGCTCGGCCTGGTCCCATTCCTTCATCCGTTACCGTGCTTCTATGACTTTCTCTACTCCTCACGCATCGAAACAAAGTCGCCTCTAGCGTCAGAGCCTGTTTCGTCAAGCTGATCATATCGGTGCACAGCTGATCGCAGTTCCGTGCATGCGCCGGCACCCCTCTCACTTCTCCTCAACTCTATTCCGCGGGAACCACAATAGACCTCGCCACTACTCTCCACTATCTCCGCCACACTTACCCCTCCGCTCCATTACACGGAGTGGGTTTCTCCCTCGGTGCCTCTGTTCTATCTCGATATCTAGGAGAATCATCTTCATCTTCTCTTCTCTCTTCAGGACTGGTCCTGGGCTGTCCATGGGATGTAACAGCTATGACGGTGAAACTCGAAACCCATCTCCCTACGAAACTCATTTATTCACGCGCGTTGGGAAGGAACCTGTTAGCGTTGTTCTTCAGGGATTGGGAGAAGAACAAGGCTTTTTGGGAGAGTGCCGGTAGTGGTATGGAAGATTATCTACCAAAATTGAAGGAAATGAGGAAGAAAACTTTTGTATCGTTGAAAGGGGTGGACGAAGTGTTGACTTCGAAAATTGGTGGACCAAAAGGAAAGGGATTATGGCCTTTCAAAGGGGCAGATGAGTATTATACCTTTGCTAGTCCTAGACAGGTTTTGGATGATGTTAAGCGGTATGTTCTGCTCATCTTCTGGACGCTCTCTTTCCACTACCGCTCCTTTTTCATATCAACGTATTGCTTCGAGGTGAATATCGTAGAAACTCTTCCATAGTTCCAACGACTAACGTGTAGACCGTTGTTGTCGATCAACGCGTTCGACGATCCGATCATAGACGGTAGTAAGTCTATCCTCTTCTGTTTCTAATGCCATATCTTCTCTCATCAAATGTCTTTATGTGTATCTGCATTCACTAGAGTTAACGGCATACCCTCGACCTCATTGAAGTGTCGTGTCGTTGGTCTTGGCTGATCATCAGCCGCACTCCCCATCGCAGAGTTTCAAGCTTCTTCCCACGTATACGCAGCTATCACCGGTCCTGGCGGTCATCTCGGTTGGTTTTGCGGACCTCTGTTCGCTTCACGAGAAAAGAGAAAAGCGAGATGGATCGTTCTTCCCGCTGTGGAATGGTTGACAGCTGCCAGTCGAGATCTCCCATCGAGAGGAAACGTCGTGGTGGAAGTTCGACCTTCCAAGTCCACATCTCGTCCAGTTTACTCCGAAGAAGAAGGTCAAAAATCTCAGAGAGACCACGCATCTTCTCTGAGATTATACGAGGATAAAGAGATTCAACGACCCAAGGAGAATGATCATTCGGATCAACCTCGTCTATCCAACGTAGGGGACGAGATGAGACAATGGTTATATATTCAAGATAAAGTTCTATGGATGGACGAAGATGGGATTCAATCGATTGATGAGCCTACTAGGTCTTTGGATGTGGACGATACTCGATTATTGACGGACGAAGGGAGGTCGATAGAGGTTAACGATGTGACTCGATCAGGTCAGGATGAGAGAGATGGAGAACCATGGTGTTGGGTCATCAACGGTGGACATCCTGTCGTTGGAGCTGATCAAGTCGGATGGAAGGTTTTGAGAGAGGAGGTCAAAGAGATTGGTACGACGGGAAGTGGGACGATGCAGGGATTGTAAGTGATGTCGTCACCACATACAATTTGTGATGGTGTCTTTGTGGTCTTTACATTGGGACATGAAACAGTTATGAGGGATCAGTGGAGAGTGATAGACACTTGTTAGATCATGATTGAACGAGATGCATGTTACATTTGACCCTAAAGAACTCTACTGGTAACATAACAAATTGAAAACTTGAACATGTTGGAGGAAGAACATTATTTTCAACAAACCCCTAACTCCCTCAAGCCCCAACTGGTCTCAACATCACCAAGATCCATTTTTTCCATTTTCGGTTCTTTTCATCTTTGGTATCACCCACCTAGCAAACTTATCTAATTCAAATACCACCCAAGTCATCATTAAAGTGAAAAGTAAGAAAACACCATTAGCGAAAACCCAACTCATTTGTTGATCTTGTTTACCACCATCTTGTTTAGTAGGATCGAATTTTGAGCTGATTGATATTATTTCCGTAAAGAAAGCTATAAAACTTCCAAATGCAACCAATACCAAGATAACTCCAATAGTTTCAATAGTCCAACTTGGTATACAACCACATTTCATAACTGACAACAGAGAAACTTTCTTTTCACCTTTTGAATGTCTTGGAGAAGGATGTAAAAGTGAATACCAACCCCAAGTTAAAGTTGATATGAAAAATATTAACCATGTTGAAATCATGAATAAAATCATATTAGGATCAAAAGATTCAGCTGCTAAACCTAATGTCGAAGCTGAATATTCTAAATCCCAAGTATGATAAGGTGGTTGAGGTGATTTAGTTATTACCATATAAGTTAAAGATATAGCTTGATTATTACAAATTATCAAAAGTCCAATTTGTATTGTGAAAATACATATTCGAAGTGATGTGAACCATGTTGATTTATACCAAATTTCTTTTATTGTTGATATTTTTGAATGTGTCAAAAGTATGTTTATCGTAAAAGTTAAAAATGATCTTGATGATTTACCGAATTTACGGAAAGGTCTTAAAGGATGTTTATACCATGGTTCTTCATTTCGATCAGATGGATTTTCAACACGTTCAATCGTTAAATGTATCAATAAACCTAATAAACAAAGACCGATAAACATGTAAATGTTAAGTACCGCTAAAGCTATATCGGAATTAACTCCCATTTTTAATAATTCTTGAGTAACACCATTGGGATTGGTACTTGCTGTAGTATCGTCTTGAGCTCTGGATGATAAAACAGGTGAAGATTTTAAAGAAGCAAGTACGACTGTATACCAAAAATATGTTCCTCCAATATATCCAAGTGTACATAGTAGGGTTAAAGAAGACATGAAAGGTGTATGTCGAAGTATATGAGCTGTATATTTCGTCAATGTCCAAGGATGTAATATCGTAGCTTGTCGAATCTTCTTATCACTTGATATTCCCCCTTCTTCCACTTGATCTTCGTTTTTCGTTCTCTTCTTTGATTCCGAAGGTTTTTCTTTTCTTGGTGGTCGAGTTTTCGCTTGATGCTCCATATTGAGACCGAAATTTTGTTGCGCATTTCTCGTTGGAGCCAAATTTTCAGGTGCCCTTCTCACATCTTCCGCTGACAAACCAGTTCGAGAGAACGATGGGACCTTAGAACCCTCATCTTTCACCCAGTTCAGTGAACGATCTTCAACCTCCAAGCATTTGGCAATAAATTCTCTGTTGGATAGTTGATATGGTGTTAATTGCAAAGTTCCAATACCATGTCGTTTAATCTCTTCCAACTGCGCCGGCGTCTTTTCGGTTGGGGATTGAAGAGCTGATCATCAGCCTTGGCCTTTGGGCAGGTTATTGAACAGGAGGAATATGATGATTCACCTGTTTTGATGTGATTCACAGCCTCAACCTCTTCTCACATTAGCAAGAGTTCTACTAAAACATTTATAAAAGAGCAAGCTCACTCTTTTGGGTCATGTACTTGGTCAACTTTCTTTGCATCTCTATATGATCAGCACTCATACCCCACTAGCCAATTTATGACTTGGGAGCTCACCTTCCTCACTTTTGTTTGCAGGCCGAACAGGTGAGTCCGGCTCACTATCTGACGCTTTCGATCAGCACAACTCCCCTTTTAGATACATTGACTCGCCTTGTTGTGTCCTGAATTCCTCTCTAGTCTCCACTGGCTTGACCGGTGTCTGCTCGATAACTTCCGCTTCCTTTCTTCCTTCACCTCTACCAGTGACCCCTTCATCGGCAGAATCCTCATCTTCCGATGACTCTTGCTGTACGAGAGCATCTCGTTGCTTCTCCACCTTTGTTTTCTGAATTCCCCCTGTCTCGATATCCTGTGCCGTAGTGTCAACCTTTTCATTAAGATTTGGATCTTGAACGACCTCGTCATCTGCTGATTCCTCCAAAACCTCAGAGTCTCCCTTTCTCGCTTCTCTGTTCACCTGTGACTCCACCGGCGTGTCTGGAATCGGTGCCACTTTCTCATCTGACAACGTCTCAGCAGGAGTGGACCGGGTTATGGGATCATGAGCAGGTTCAACTTCCTCTTCGCTATCTTCGTCCTCGACGCTGACCGGGCGCTTCGTAGTGGCATCGTCCACCGATCGATCTACTTGTTGAGGTGTTTCCTTGACAGATGGGACTGTGGCAGCTACGGGAGTCACCGGATCGGATTCTTCTTCACTATCCGCATCGTCGACCAACTCAGTGTGTCCCACTCGGGTAGGATCTGCGGTCGTTCGATCTTCATCTTTCTTTGGAGGAGATAACGATGAGGCTTCAATCTTCGGATCTGTATCTTCACTCGAATCTATGCCCGCCGCCTCCGAGATGTGACCGGTCTTTTGAGCTTCCTGTCTCTGCTGCTGAGTCATACGTGAAGTGGGTTCATCATCCATCTCGCTCTCTTCGTCTTGGTCCTCGGTAACTATCTTTCCGACAACGGGAGTACTGATATCTTTCCGTTCTACGTTTTTTCCCGAGTCGACTGCTGAAGTTGAAGCTTTGTCACCGAAAGAGGGTATGGACTCTTCTTCAACGTCGCTATCCTCTTTCACTCCCATTGCCGCCAATCCTATGGGAGAGAACTCCTGATCATCTTGAGCCTGATGACTATCCGCTTCCTTCCGACCGACCGGTCGAATGGCGTCATCCTCTGCTTCAAAGCTATCTCTCTCATCTTCTTGCCGACCGGTGAATTTGTCTTGCTGCAATGGTAGTGTCTTTGTCTCTGTACCTCCTACCCGGTCGTCCTCTGAATCATCATCATCCTCATCCTGGACACCCTGGTGGCCCATCCTCTCTTCTTTCTCTTTCCCTCTGCCGACGATTTGTGCCGCGGTAGTATACGTGGGAGTCAATGGCGAGGGAGTTCCCGCTACTTCCGAACGATCGAAATCGTCTCGATCCGAAGGGGGAGAGACCAGAGATGGTTCACCAGATTTTTCATCTCTCTGACTGTGTCCTTCAACATCAAGTTCCTTCAAGTCGGGTTGTTTCGGATTAGTGGTGGTTTCATCAAGTCTAGTCGGGGTGGAATAATACCGATCCAACAGATCACCATCCTCATCGTCAGATGGTGGAGTAGAATTGGCAGGGTGTTTGATCTCCGCTTCTGTCGGTGAGGCCACTCGAACGTCTCGGTCGTCGGACGAAGTGTTCGTCGTTGGATTTGCTTTTTGATGCTCTTGAACCAACGTTGAATCGTCACTTGATGCTGTAAATTGTTTGAGTTTGTCTTTCGCTGAATCTGGCAGCAAAGTTGTCGACTCCTCCCCATCAAGATCTTCAGATAAGCCACCACCTTGCAGCGCTCCATCGGTACGAGCCTCGTGCTTGGTAGTGTCCAAGCTTGTGGTAGGTACAGAGGTCGTATGATCGGGTTGAATGCCGGACGTCACTCTCTCACCTTCATCAGATTCATCTCCTGCATCCCCCCGAGTCGTCCGTGGAGATTTGATAGATGTTGTCTCCGGTCCGGCCGTCTTCTCTTCCTTGGCTGGGTCAACTTCAGCTTCTTCATGCTTGCCAGGATCTACCTTAGCCGGTTCGGAGCTCGTCTTTTGGCCTTGTAGATGTTGATCTAAGTCACCGAGAAGCTCGTTTTCTCCTTTGGGGTAGCTCGGACTGTCCATCCCACCTTGACTCGCTGTCGAATCAGTGTCTGGTGTTCTTTGATCAGCTTTGTGACTCACGCTTAAGGCCGTCTTCCGGCTTTTTATCCTCCTCTATAACCTTTTCCTCCTCTACCCTCTTCCCATCTCCACCAGTTTCAATGCCACCATCACCGTTGTCTTCTTTACTCGGTATTTCCAGAGGTTCTTTCGGATCAGCCAAAGAGGTCTCATCTTCGTCATCTTCTACATCTTCTGTATCTTCCCAGTCAAACTTAGGTCCGTTTGGAATGTCAGTAACATCATCAGCATCCGCTTGTTCTAACATATCGAATATATCCCCAGCTGAGGGTCAGCTATCTCAACACGGTCTCAAGTGATACTTACGCGGGGCAAGGAGGTCCTTAGGAGCGGTATCTTGTGGCGGTTGACCCATATTTTGAGCCTCTTCCATTTCCGCACGAGTCGGCCTACCCTCCGATTTCCTGTGTCCCAAAGACCAACCAAAGCGACCCTTACCTTCTTCAGTCATATCATTCGGATCTTGAGAGTCTTCGTCTACATTGGAAGCGTCCATCCCAGTACCATCAAGCTTTTTAGTTTTATCCACGGTCTTGTCTTCCGGTCCATCACCACTTTCTAATCCATCAGGCAGAACAGGTATCTTTCCTCCTTTTCCGAGTTCGTTATTTTTGTCGCCATCATCTGGGGTGTCACCAGACTGCGACTGATCCGAAGGTGTCGTTCCCTGAGCATCTTTCTTATCTTTATGACCAAGGTTCTTCAGTTTATTGAAGGCTGTTGACCCGACCGAGGGCTGGCCGTCGGTTTGGCCATTCGATTGGGATGACGGAACAGATGTTTGTGTTGTACCAGAAGGATTACCAGGTACTATTGTATTCCCCTGTTGGACTGGAGCTTGGGTATACATTTGTCCGTTTGGCGCCATCGTCTGGGCCGGTATGAACCCGGGTGTATTGGTAAAGATTTGACCTGGTACAGCTTGTTGTTGTTGCTGTTGCTGTTGTTGGACACGGGCTGGTGTGTCATCGTATTGATTGAATTGTCCTCCACCTTTTTTACCTTGTTTTCCGCCTTTCCCCCCAGACCCGCCATTACCATTACGATTACCATTATCATAATCGTTGTCATAATCATCATCATTACCATTATTATTCCCCTGTCCTCCTCCATTTCTAACTTTACCATTACCCGGTCCCTTACTCTTCTTGTCCTTCTGACCCCCGCTTCGACCTTTAGATTTGGATTGTCCTCCGTCATCCTCATCTTCGTCATCATCATCATCATCGTTCAATTGCTTCTTCTTTTTCTTCTTAGTGGTAGTGTTCGACTGTTGATCATCGCCCTGTGCTACATTCTTGTCAACCTTCTTGGGTTTCTTCTTGGTCCCTTGAGGGTCGCCCCCGTCGCCTTCAGAATCGGTCACCTCATCCTTCGCTGCCTTCTTTTTCGTCTTCGGACCATCCGCAGAGGTTCCATCCTTCTTCTTGGGTGCAGTCTTAGACTTTGATTTGGATTTGGTCTTCGTTGAGTCTGAGACGTCCGCATCTGCGTCATCCTCATCATCGTCATCTCCACCACCACCACCATCCTTCTTCTTCTTCCCCTTACCATTTTTCTCGTCTTTGGATTTACTCTTTGCTGTCTCTCCACCATCAGTTCCCTTCCCATCAACCTTTTTACCATCCGTAGTAATATCTAGTTTGATCGTCTGGGGATCTGAACCTGTCTTGCCCGACCCACTTGGTGCATCTTCAGTTTTGCCAGGTTTCCCTCCATCATCCGCTGCGGCTTTGGCGGGTTTCTTAGGCTTGACCTTGATATCCTCCACTTCACCCTCTTCTTGTGGCTGCTCACCATCCTCCGTCTTCCCTTTTTTCTTCTTCTGAGCTTTGATCTCACCATCGACCTTCTTGCCACCCTTTCCCCTCTTTCCATGTTTCTCATCAAGAACCTCCTCGGCCTCTGATACGTCCTCTTCATCCGCATCCCCATCTTCCTCAAATCGTACCTTACGAGATTTCTTGGATTTTGCACGTCGACCCCTTTTCGGGGTACCATCCTCATCGACCGACTGTCCCGGAGCATCTTCATCATTCGTCTCAGACTGTCTTGTCCTTGACTGAGCCTCGTCGGTTCGATGTTGCTCCAACATATTCTCCTCGATAAGATCATCAGGATGGACAAGAGATGCCAAGGGGTCGTCAGTTCGAAGTTTTCTGTGACGAGCTCTTTCTTCCCCCCCTTCTGTTTCTTGATATACATCCTCGTCTTCATGCCCTTCGACTTGCTCCTGCTAAAAATGATCAGCAAGATAAATCAGCCTAGATTAAGACTCACCTCGTCCCCACTGACATTACCAGGAGTAGGTGGTCTGACAATTTTCTCACCTCTCCTCCTATGTCCCAGTCTATTCTGCTCATCTTCATCGTCATTTTCAGTCTCCTCCCCTCCATTTGACGCTACTTCATCGGGTGCTGGCCTAGCACGTCTTCTCCGTTGCTCCAGAGGACGTCTATTTCTCCCATGACCGTCAGAGAGGTAATCGAGATCCTGTGATTGTTGACTACGATTGACCGGGGCGGATAGAGGAGGATCCACTGTTCTGTTCTCCGCCCTCTGAGCCCGATTGTCAGGTTGACTTTCCGCCTCATTACTCACCTGCCTCCTCTCAGCCCGTCTACGAGTAACAGGAGTTGACTCATCTTCCCATTCGAGATCTCTCTCTCGCCATCGAGTTTCAGGAGCGGATAGTTCTTCTTGAGATTCGTGTCCCGTCGCACCGACCAAAGGGGCGGACCTAAGTGGATTTTTACCTCGTTTATGTCTCATTTGCATAACGGATTGACGAGCACGACTTCTATCTCCTACGAGATGATCTCTAGGTCTTCGTCGTATAGCGTTCCTGTTGGTGGTAGGAGAAACTTCTCGGTGGGAAAGACGAGGAGATTCAACCTCGATAGGAGGAGGTCTTGGCCTGTTCGCTCGCCTGATATATTCTTCCTGTACAAGTCGTTCTTCGGAAGTCAGGGGTTCACCACGATTTGCTTTGGCTCTCACACGCTCGACTTCCGCCCTCTGATATTCTTCCTGCGGCAAATCTTCCTCGACTCCATTTCTCTCTCTTCCTGACGTTGCCCTTACTTCTCTATCAGAGTGCAAGTCTTCAGACAGCTCCCTCGCCCCTCTCCTAGTATCCACCGGTTCTCGCTCTGCTCTCTGTCTTCTTACTCGGGCACCTTCCTGTTCGTCGGACCTGACGTTCTCGCCCCTGGCATCTGTTCTCAGCCTGTTCACTTCTTCGTCCCTGACCCCAGATCGCTCTGCTCGAGGGGACGAAATCCTTGCTTCACCTTTCGAATCGATAGGATTTCTCAAATTTCTATCGAGGGGGTCTCGGACAGGCTCCAAATTCTCCCCCCGCGCCCCCCGTCTTCGCCGCAGACCAGGATCTGGATCTTGATCCGCGGCGAATCTTGAATCAATCCCATTTTCCGCTCGATTCTTAGATGTCTCCCCGTCACGTCGGGGATCCCTCTGCCCATGTCTCAACTCCTCCCCTCTTGTCTCTGGCTCCTTGCCTTCCTTCCGCGGTGGAGATCTCCCAGGCGTCGAGGGTGGTTTCGGATGAGGAGGAGGATCTATCTGATCATCATCGTGAGATCCCCCAGGCCTCGAGGGGGGTTTCGGAGGAGGAGGATCTATCCCATCTTCATCAGAATCATCAGAATCGTTCTTTTTCTCACGTCTTATTGTCGGTTCCGGTTCCGGTGTCAGGTGATTAGGTTGTAAGATTGCTTGTAGCTTTTCGCCAAAAGCACGGAGTAGAGCACCTATCTGACCTCTTTGACAGAGAAGGATCAGAAAGACTATAAAAACTGTCAAGAGGAGGATGGAGATTGCTTCTTGCAAAGCGGCCGAGCCAGAGTAATAACCCATGGTTGGAATTCTGTCGTCAACTATGCTGCCCTCGTTGTCTACGACTCATTCAATTCAGAAAACGGCACTCACTATCAAGCTGAGATCTAAGATTTTTCGTGACTATCCGTCAGACGGTTATCATATATGACCCAACTGGCACATTAGGAACATGAGCAATGGTGTAAATAGCACCCAAAGTCGAATAAGTTGAGATCAGTGGAGGCCCGATGACCGATGTGTTAGAAATAGTATGGAGCAGTGAATACGGAGTTATTGACACAAAGGACCTCTTTCCGTCCTGGAGAAGATCGCCAAAGGATTCAAAATTCCCAACGTCTGACCTTTCTCATCCGTCGACCGGGTTTGTTTGCAAGATTACTTACAGCTTCTCATATTCCCACTTCAGAACACTGAAATTCAGATCATAGCTTGCTCGGCGAATCCAGATCTACCGAATCGAACCCATCCGGTGTTACCAGAATCGTTGACAGCCACTACCAAAGCCCTATCTCCATTTCTCAATACTCCCATGTTCCCACCCTGATACTTTCTCGGTTCGCTACCTCTCCACCAATCGGTGAACCGTTCCCAACGACTTTTCTCTTTCGACTGGAAGCGCCGAGTGTTAGGTTTGCGGTTCTCGTATTGCGGTCCAAGCCTTCGTATAGGACCTGAAGGTTCTTCACGGACTTGTGCCCATGCGTCTTTGAGCTGATGGATGGAAGGCATGGGTGTATTACGAGCTTCGACAGCTGCAACGAAGAAATCGGGAGGTTGATTGATTAGACCTTGAGCCGATCCTCGGTCCCATCTGACTTTGGAGAATGCGACGGCGGGTTTCCATACGTGGAAAAATGGGATATAGGGGTTGGTCTTCAGGTCGGAGTATATAGAGTCCTTGGCTGTAGATGTTGGACGAAGAGGTAGAGGAGCAGAGTGGGTTGTGGGGATGATGCGAAGGTGAGAGAAAAGAGATGCTAATGATCAGTTCAAAACAATACACATCAATGAGAGAACTGACGATAAGTTGATCCGAGCCAATCCTGCAGTAATGTGCCTTTAAACTGCCGCCGTGGTCCAGGGAAGATGGAGGAGGAAAGTCTGAGGCCTACGTGGGCGATATTTGCTGTCAAGGCCGAAGAATATTGGAAGAATCGACGGATGGCAAGAGAACACCAACGAGGGAGGTTCGACCACCATGTTCGGAAAGGAGGTAAAGTTTCGTTTTGCTGATTAAGCCAATTTGAGTGTCGTGTGAAAGGATCAGCCAGGAAATGAGATGGTATGAATCTTCTTGATCGTTGTACGGTATATCCTAATCGTTTCAAGTAAGCATATGCCTGATTGATCAGCATATGCTTTTCATCTCACCAATTGAGTTCCCACCCTTTCCCCCATTACGAAGACACTCGAAGGGCTAATCGCACACATCTTCCTCCATGAGGAGAATTTCCCATATTCAAGGACGAGAGAGAGAGAAAGAGAAGACACAAACCTGATATCTCTCCCATGTCAATCCTTCCCTTCCCAGAAAATTTCCATAGCCTTCCATGACACTCATCTCAACTGCCCCCTTCACCCCCTGAAATTCTTCATCCCATTGCCCGATCCCATCATCTCCCTCCGGACCCACCCAAATTTGCAAACTTCCACGCTCGAGGAGATACAAAGATTCTTCTGGTAAAAGCTGAACGCTTGACTTGCCCTTACCCTTTCGAACAGCAATACCGAGAGAATCGTAAATGTGCCCTCGGGTGATGAGCATTTTGGGATACGGGGCTTCGCTTGTGGGGTCGTATACGGCGTGTGAAATGGCTTTGCTATTATCATGAGCATGGTTCGTTTTGTCATATGTCACATTCATATCCTAACAAGTGCCATACATCGCTCAAGACCCATTCGTCCGCTGTCTACATTGTCTTTCCTCACACTTTCACTTTTGCAAACAAGACCAGCGATGTATATCTGAGTGTTCATGGATGATTCTCAAGGGACCACACAGCTGGAATCGTACGTAGCAGATGCAGGAGAGACAAGAATGATTTCGAACAGTCAGAGGAAGACGACACGAAGCGGTGAAAGATGCTGAAAACGCAGAAAAGATATAGATCAGACTTACCTACTTCCTCCTCTCACCCCAACCAAAGCATTAAACAGCGCCTCCCTAGACCGTTGAAGCATCATCTCCTGAAGGTTTACAGTCTCAGCTAAAGGTTCAAAATCTTTTTCACCACGTTTAGGTATATGTATCTTGATTCTACTTGATCCTTCTCCAGTAGGTAAATGTTGTATTTTTCTTTCTCATCAGTTTCCGAAAAGATGCGTTTTTATTTTCCATGCAAATCTCATTGGACGTCCAGTGTTGCCTCAACTCCGCCGCCAAAGAAAACTTGGGTGATAAATGAACACATGATGAGAATGAGGTATAAGCTTTAGAAAGTGCAGCATGCAGCAGAAAAGATCTTGTTAATGGTAATACATGTGAGTATATATTGAAGGACTGGAATGATTTATGTGATGTGGAAAGTGTTGGTAATTAGATAAGAAGAGAACATACGAAGCGAAACTTTGTATCATTGCTAAATCCACCCTTTCGTCTTCTTCTTCTTCTTCTTCCTCTCCATTATTCTGGCCAAGTGGGCGGGAACTATTCACGGGGGTCGAAGTTGGTAATGATCTGGAAAGGGGATTTTCTTCTTCTTCCCCAAGATCCACTTCTGGAGGAGAGGTTGAAAAATCATCTTGATCTTGTTCAATGTTCAAATTTTGAGATGAAGAAGGAATGACATCGTCTTTCATTCGAAAAGTGTCTTGCGATCTAGTCGTTGTCCCAGAACGTCGTACTGATCCTGCTTGATCTTCTCCAAGGGTGGGTGAGGAAACAAGGGAAGGTTTACTTGGACCCGGCAAATACATTGTCGGATGGCAAATAGGACGAAATTTCAACAAATCTAGCACTCTTACTGTACGAAGCGCTGAGTGTGGCACTAAAGTAGTACCAACAAACTGGTGCATGGTGCACTACTACACTGTTGTCTGATGTATAGCTAACGGATCATCGATAATCAGGGTTGGCTCGTAAAGTGTCAAGACCATATCAAATAGGGAAAGCACATCCTCCATAGTTTAAATTTAGCTATTGCAGAGATACCTTGTAATCAAGGAATGTTGGACCATACCTAGCTTTAGTCCATCTCTCCCAGTCATCAAGTCATCTGCTTATTCTCTCAAAGCCTCCTGTGCAGCTGCCGTACGGTGACTTATCATGTATCATCCATTTCCAAAGGCCTCACTGGGATAATATAACACAACTAGGTATAGAGACTTAGAGTATGCATTCACGATGGTATGGATTACACCACGTATGCCTAACAAGCTAAATCATGTCGTAACTAACATAAATGTACAGATATCTCTGGCCTTCACATCATCCTCCACCATTTCATATCGATGGACCGATGTTTAGTACTTGGCATATCCATTCCCGTATCCAGAGTATTGTTGTTGATACTGCGCAGCGGGGCCGGTATAATTTTGATAGTAAGTCGTACCTCCATAACCACCCACGAGAGATCCTCCAGCACCCCGGAAATTGGATTGAGTGTCGTCCTCTGCATACTCGGGGTTTGGCTGGAAAATCAGCGACTGTAACGTAGACTGCACACTCGAATGGAGGCCAACTCGACGCGAGAGAACAGACGACAATGAGAGGAAGAAGAGGAACGAAAAGTTGTAGACTTACTGGCAAGAGAGACTCCTTCACTTCCCATACAGCTTGTTTGGAACCGACCGAGAATTCGAGATCCTCTTTCGTGATGGCTATCTGTCAGTGTACCGTATAAAACTGAGGATATAACTGGACAAGTGACATCGATTGTTGTCTTGATGTGGCAGCATCCATCATCGAGGTCAAACCAGGAGTAGCGGTTTGGACATTGAAGGGGGAAGGGGGGTTGTGGTCGGAGATATTCGACTACTCACAATCCCAATACTTGTAAACCATCATGACGGCCAATAACATGCACAATGTGAAAAAGAATACTCCGTCGATGTAATGCGAAACGGCATCACAGATCTTGACACTGAAAGCGAATAGTAAAATACACCCGCAAGCATAGAAAGCAATCCCGAATATGAGATCTCCGATGACCCATCTGTCGTCCAAAGTGCGAATGACGAGTATGAGTTGTGATACGATATAGACAATCACACAGATAGCTGGGAAGAGAAGGTAAGTGATAAATAGACCAGTGGGTTTGGTGAAAGAAAATGAAGCGTAATCTTTGAATGTTGCCACGGCTACGAAGAAGCAGATGCCGGCGATGGCAAGGCATGATAAACGTAGGAACTAATTGAGTCAGCATGACCACATGAATAGGAGAGTGGCTGACCCAGAGTGATTTAGCAGTTCCATCTTCCCATACTTGAAACCCGACAAAACCATTGACCATGATACACCAATACAGAGCCCCCAAAGCTCCGGCATAAACAGCAGCAAACCACTGTAGTCATCAGCGGATTCGTATAGAGGACAGAAGAGGTACTTACTGGGTAAACCTTGTTCGCTGTGGGAATGACGGTGGAATCGAGGAATATGGCGAGGAGAGAGATAAACATGTAGAGGTAGAAGAATAGAACAATCTCTTTTCTTCCAACGGCGGTGTACTTTGATCTGACATGGAATAACATGATTGCTGTCATTCCTAACGCAGCTATGTGTACGAAACATGTCGCTGAGAGTCAGCAGAGTTCACCCAGATGGGTGATGTTTCATCTTACACAAGCTGCTGTGGCAGAACGAGCTCAGGGGAGGAGGGAAGAGATGCAGAGGGACTGACCTGGCTGAAAGAAGAGTTGTGATCCTAGCTGAACATTTCTACTATAACATGTTGGTGTTGTACCTTGTGATGATCCCAACAGAGGACATATGGTGAGAGCAGCACGTTCACAAATGAAGTCGAAAGAACCGAATTTGAAACCGGTCATGGTGAGGAAGGAGGGGAAGTGAGGATTGTTGTATTGTAATGTGAGATATTTGAAGGAGTTGCTTTCGTCCTGCCTAACTCTTTTTCCAAAATTCTCGACAGGCGCAAGTACGATGGGACACAGGTAAGGACGAAAAGTCGAATCGATGTCAATGACGGGTATCAACGGATGCCAGCCGTCAGAAACGTGCTCTTCTCGTGATTCGTAACTTTTCGCTGGATGATTCACACTCTGAGTATCACTTGACGGTCTTGGATGAACCGCCAAGGCTATTGGGTCATGGATTGAATGTTTAAGGTGGAGACAAAGTCGGAATAGGCAATACAAAGGGTGTTGAGCGAACAGGGAGGAGAGCTCGATGCACAGGCCGCCCCTGAAACACGGCCAAAATATATGTGATCCCCCCCTTTTATCACTCGCCTCATTGCTCGCGTCGTCACCGTTCAATCGACCACCACCACCACCACCACATCCTCTGTAGCATTCCCTTGTAATCGCACCATGGCCGACGATAATGTACTCCTCCCACATCCAAATGTCAAAGTTCCAATATGGTACTATCAGATCAACAATGTCCCCGCTCTCAAAGAACAAGCGTCTGCTTCGTTCTGGAAAGCAGTGGAAGAAGATGGTCAGCCATTACCTAAGTAGACTTGCACAGCTGACATGAGCAGAGATGGCACCTTATCTCAGGACCATAGGCAGCGACAATACCTCGCTCATCAGTACGTTGGAGGAAAAGAACAAGAAAGAGCTAGATGCTATAGAGGAGAAGTTGAAAGAGGCCGAGGAGAATATGGGTGATAGTGAAATCTCAGATCTTCTGAGGAAAAAAGCAATGTACCTCTGTCGGATAGGTGACAAGGTGGGTAATTATCCGGTTATAAGGCTAGGGAAAGAATTTAACATGTAGGAAAAAGCTATACCTGCTTTGGACGTTGCTTTGGAGAAGACGGCGGGATTAGGAGCCAGGATTGACTTGGTATTGGCTATGGTCAGAATGGGAATATTCGCTGCTGATCATCAACTCGTCATAACCAACATCGCTCGTGCCAACGAGTGAGTCAGGCGTGCTTCTTGTAACTTTACTAAAATGAGGACTATGAGAAAGTGACAATGAGGCTAATGGAGCAGCTTGATTGACTCTGGCGGAGATTGGGATAGAAGGAACCGACTCAAAGTTTACCGAGCCGTTCATTGTCTCTCCATTCGAGATTTCAAACAAGCTGCCGACCTACTCACCGACTCACTCTCCACCTTCACAGCTACGGAATTGATGGAATATGAAGAATTTGTGGCTTTGACCGTATTAGCTGCCGGTGTGGGATGTGATCGTAAAGCCATAAAAGAGAAGGTCAGTCGCAATACATTCATCTCTCTTCCTTGATCATCAACGCGCGTGTGGCCAGCAGATGATCAGATATTATAAGAATGCGACTAATCGATCAGATCCTTGCTAGCTCCGAAGTGACCGGCTGTCTAAGCTCGATTCCTCATTTGGCATCCATGACCGACTCATTGTCCAAGAGCAATTACTCTCAATTCTTCCTTTCCCTCGCAGACGTCGAACAGACGTATCTCATCCCTTCACCCATTCTCGCTCCCCACGCCAGATACTACGTCCGGGAAATGCGAATCAAGGCCTACGCTCAATTGTTGGAATCGTATCGGAGCTTGACGATGGAACGCATGTGTCGCAGTTTCGGGGTTAGTGAGAGTTTCATGGATGAGGATTTGAGTCGGTTTATCGCCAATGGCAGATTGAGATGCACTATCGACAAGGTCTCTGGAGTGATCACCACGGATAAATTGACAAGGGAGAATAAGACGGCGGTGTATGAACAATTATTGAAACAGAGTGATATTCTTCTGAGCGGTGAGTTGGTCTTTTCGAGGTCGCCATGATGATTGGTGCTGATGCTATAGATGTGTCAAAACTGCATCGAGTGATAGGATAGTGGGTGTACATAGATAGCATATGCATGTTGCATCTTCCAATACCACCCTCCTACAGTACGAGTACATAGTACTCTCTGCAGTTGGGAGATTCCAGTGATGAGCGTGAGACTTTGCGGGGCCCGTGCGAGCTTTAAATGATCCCCAACTTGTACGAAAGATGGGATGACGGGGTTCCTCGTGCAGTTGAACCGCCTCCTCTACTCACCCCATGACTCTATCCACCTTGCATTCCTAGACCTAGCCAGGTCGATCTCACGTTATCAATAACCATAATCTCTCATACTCTATCGTACCGTCTCAGTACACACTACGAATACACACGATGCCCACCTTTTGTGAGCCACCCTTCTCTTTGGCCGACTCCAAGCTGACCCATTCCAGCCGCGCAAGAACGTCGATACTATGACGATGTATTCTCTGCCATAGACAAAGATGATGTCAGCTTCTTCCCTTCTCAACACTATTTGTAGACTAATCATCAGGCCGGTGTACTGCCCGGTCAAGACGCTCTACCTTTCCTCTTATCCACTAACCTTCCCCAACAAACCCTAGGAGAGGTCTGGGCATTGGCCGATCCGGATAACAACGGCTTTTTGACCAAAGAAGCATGGTACGAAGCTGCTCGACTTATAGGATGGGTACAAAAAGGTGGAAAAAATCAAGTTGAAGAGAGCTTGATGTCAATACGTATGTCAATATTTTCAGTTGTGGGACAAGAATTAATGAAGATAAGCTGGACCTTGGCCTAGTTTTAAAGGTTTCAAACCTCCTCCTAATGCTCCATCTAATCAATTCACTTCTCAAACACCTATATCAACTCAGAACACGGGTCAAACGCCTTTGACGGCCAATAGTACAGGATCGGGATTACCACCGTTGACTCAAGCGGATAGAACAAAGTTTACCAGGATCTTCGTGGGATGTGGACCTCAGAATGGTTTGGTCAGTGGTGATAAGGCTAGAGATGTGTTTGTGAAGAGTCATCTGAATTATGAGAAACTTGGAAAGATATGGTGAGTAGATCACGTTTGCCTCAGTACACGTGTCCTCTTTCACGGCATCGTCCTGCGTTACTCATATCGATGCTCACTCAGTAGGAACCTCGCCGACACTCAACAGCGAGGCTCGCTGGATTTACCAGATTTTATTATCGGAATGTACCTCATCCAATCTTGCATGGCCAACCCCTCGCTCACCCTCCCCGCCACTTTACCCCCGGGAACATACGAGATTGCTTCCGGTGGACGACCTCCTCCCCCTCCTCCCACTGAATCTCCTCTAGCGAGACAACATACCGGCACTGCTAGCCCTGTCCGTCCTCAGTACACCGGTCAGGGTTCCATCCTCCAACCACAACGCACCGGTCAAAGCGCCGTTCTTACCCCTCCCCATCAACCTCCAGTCAGGCAATTCTCAGGAGCACCTGCTGTATCTGCACTGGGTAATTCGGCCTTTGCTCCTGTTAGACAGATGACGGCCCAGCAACCAGCGTGGGACGTGACACCAGAAGCAAAGGCCAACTCCGATCGCTTCTTCGCTCAACTGGACAGTCAGAACAAAGGCGTCATCGATGGGGACATAGCTGTACCTTTCATGATACAAAGTCAACTCGATGAAGGTACTTTGGCTACCATATGGTAGATCACCATCTTGACATCCTCCGCCCCAAAAGCTGACGAATCAGGGATCTCGCCGACATTCGAAAAGAAGGAAAGCTCACTCGAGACGAATTCGCAGTGGCCATGCACTTGATCAATTCGAAATTGGAAGGTAAAGACTTGCCAACGATCCTTCCACGCAGTCTTGTACCCCCATCCCTCAGAGGACAATTTGACAGTGGCCCGCAAGAGGTGCTCAGCTCTACCGGACCAGCCAGCGCTACCAAGGACTTGTTCGATTTATTCAGTGATGAACCCGCCCAAGTCTCGGCGACCGCGTCCAATTTCGGAACGTCTGCTCCTGCTCCAGCACAACGACAACCATCCGGTGTTCAAGCTCTACAACCCACAACCTTCTTGTCACAGCCTCCGACCAGACGAGGTACTGGTCAGCCAGCTGCAAGACAACTTTCTCCAGCTTCAACCGGTCAGCAACAGAGTGTATTCCAAGCAGCCCCCTTTGGTAGGTTCCCCTAGCATATAGTGGACTCGCTTGCTGACTATCCTAGTTGCACCTACACAACCTCCGGGAGATCTTCTGGGTGACGATACCGCCCAGGCGGCACTTTCAGTATCGAACAATTCCGTCGAATTGGGCAACAAACAGAACCAATTGGCCAACACCACTCGAAATCTCGAAGGAGTCACCAAGACTCGCGCGGAACTTGAAGCCACCGCCGCCTCATCAGCTAAACAGATTGAAGAGCTTGAGAAGAAACTCAGCGAAGCTAAAGCGAAATACGAAACGGAAACTCAAGCTGTCGCCGACCTTCGTATCCGCGTTGCTCAACAAGCAGAGCAGTTGAAGAAGATTCAAAGCGAGGTCATCTCCGCTGAATCTGACCTTTCGGCAATGCGGTCGGAGAAGGATGAGCTGGGGCAAGCTCTCCTTAGGGATAAAGAGGAAGTGAGGGGTTTGCAGAAAATGATGAAGGAGATCGAAGATGAAAAAGGACCTCTGAAAGCTCAATTGGAGAAGGTCAAGAAAGAAGCTCGACAACAAAAGGGAATGGTGACGATCGCAAAGAAACAGCTATCTACTGCAGAAGCAAGTAGGGACAGCCTCAAAGAGGAGATTGTCGAAGAGGAAAAAGCTACCGCTGAGCCTGAAATTCATCCAGAAACGGAATTAGCACCTACACCATTCGACAGTCATCGAACGGTTTCTCCACCTGGTTTCGCGGTCGCCGCAGCTGTCCCATTACCGGCTACACCTTCGGCTCTCAGTCCTGTCCCTACGGGCGTATCGCAACGATCGAACAATCCTTTCGAACGTCTAAAAGCTGCCGCTCAAGCGCAACCCCCTGCGCCCGACTCACCCACAGGTCCGATATCGCCTGCGATCGAGACTAGTAGCCCCTCCATGGGTACGGCCGCATGGTTGGGAGCAGGAGCCGCAGTGGGTGCTGCGGCAGGAGCAGTCGCAGCTGGTGCCGGAAGTTTGTTCACTGCTGCCAAAGAAGCTATCACGGGTGAAGAAAACCCATCAGAGAAAACCCCGACTCAAGAGAAGACTGATGATCTGGAGAAGAAAGCGAAGGAAGCGACAGAAGTTTCCGATCCTTTCGGTGTCCAGACGGAAACTCCAAAACCTCAGCAAGGAGAAGAAGTCGATCCATTCGGTGCCCCAACGTCGGGACCACCTACCAAATCCGCATTTGATGATTTTGACACTGGATTTGGAGATTCATTCAATAATACTCCAGCTGCGTCGTTCGCCAAACCAGCCGCTGTCAACGTCAGCGACTTTGACACCGACTTTGCCGACTTTGACCGACCTGCACAACAAAGTATGAGGGAAGCGGTGGAAGAGGCACATCAGGCCATGCCTGATGGTATACCATTGGGAATACCCAAATCTCACATACCAAACTTGCGTCCAGAGGCGGAGAGGAGTGTTAGTACTGTTGCTGTGGCATCCTCGACAGAACCAGTCACGCCGGTCTCTGAACTAACCCCTTCGTTGGTAGAATCGTCGGACACACTCCCGACACAAGATTCCGATGCTCTGGAGCCTATTTCTGCGTCGGTTCCTGCGCCCCAACAGATTCCTGTGCCCGAGCCTGCGGATAGTGCTCGAGAACGAGATGAACCAGTTGAAGAATTGGCATCATCAGACGAAGAAGAAGAGGGTCCTGAAGATCTGGAAGCTCCCAACCGCGATTACGCACATGTCGCTCGTGACATTCCATCCGAACGTATACCGGAAGAACCCCCAGCTATCATCGTTCCTCCTCCTACGATCGCTTCAGAAGAAGCTCCTTTGGCTCCATTACCAACGACACCTACACCGCTTACGCCAGTCAATCCAACTCCTCCAGTTGCATTGGCTTCACCCGTGTCTGCAGGAGAACACGACGCACATAAAACTCGTCGTAGTGCTCCTCCACCACCAAGCTCCAAAACGACTCTTCAATCCCCTACTCCTGCTCCTGCTCCCGCTCCCGCCCCGGTACCTGCACCCGCGACAGCTACAGGAGGTCAAGTAAACGATTTTGATCCTTTCGGTTCATCATTCACAAACGTCTCTCTGCCTCCCGGAGCAGCCGCTGCTATTCCTACGAGCGCCGGACCCCGTGTGGCAAACTTTGATGATGAAGATGATTTCGACTTTTCTGATTTGACACCTGCTAAAGTGGATCCGACTCCAGCTCAAGCATCTGGATTCGATGATGAATTCGCCAATTTTGACGATGAATTTGGTAAACCGCCTTCTAACGGATCGGATGGGAGTGGATTGACAAAAAGTTATGAAATCGTTCCTCCTCATCCGGAAAGTCCGAGGAAGTATGATGAATGGGGATTTGGACCAAGTGCGGGACATGTCCCACCGCCTGCTGCAGGGGGTCAGGGGTTGTCTTTTGATGATGCTTTTGGGGGAGATTTTGAGCCTGCGTGAGTGGCTGATAAGTTCGCCTTTGTGTCTCCGCCCCTCTCCTCCGTATCCCCTCTCTTGTCATCCCCTGTATGGGCTCGCTCTTCACCTTCTGTCTCAGTCGCTTGTACAACTTAGGTTTCAGATGAGACCATGTGTCAGGGAAGAGGAGAGTAAGGATTGATACTAGAGTAAGGCTATCAGCTGAGCGCACAGGACTATTGAGCAACCTCACCCCGTTGCAGTACAGGAGACATACGCTCCCCCACCTGGACCCCCTCCAGCTTCGTCATTACGGACCGGACTTCACGCTCCTGCTTTACCGGAGAGAAAGGATAGTACTGCTCCGCAGTCGGATGACATTGAGGATGTAAAGAGGGTGAGTTTGCGTGTTTCCCGTTTGTCTTTTGCGATAATGGCGAAATTATTTCGGGGTGGACGAGAGTCAGATCATGGAACAGTTCGTGGTTTAGCTACTGGAGAGCTGGGACTCGGGTCAGACCGAAGTGTCTTGAAGTCTTGCTGACGAGCAGTTGTGTGCCATGGGCTTTTCAAGAACGCTAGCTATTGGAGCACTGGACGCGAACGGGTATGATTTCCAGAAGGCGCTCAATGTTTTATTACAGTGAACATGTTACCGTCAATCAGTCATGTTCATTTGACAGGGGGGTTTGAGCGGCTTATGGGAGGGGTGGGGTCTGTCGAGAATTATGCAAGTGGGAGATATGTCAAGTGAATCTGACTCAAGGGACTTAAGATTGCTCGGAAAGAAGTGAGGAGATTTGTAACGCACGAGCGGCTGATGGAGTGTGGCCAGCATGAGGCTGTATTTCCCGTTGAGCGGACAACCTTTGGAGAAGATCAAGGATAGGAGATTGTTATATTCTTTTTTGTGCTCATGCTGATTGTTACGACTATTGATTTTGTCCTGTTTCTATCTTTTCACATTTCGTCCATTGTACCGTACTCAACCGATCATGCTAATTAAACCTTTCTAAAGTCTATAATGATGCCTCCAGTGCCACACTGCCAGGCATATCTCCATGTGACCTATCTAGGCAGTTACCAAGATACATAACAACCATCAAAATAACCATGACGACGACATCTTGACTACCACTAACCCCATTCTCTTTACTTTTACATACAGTACCCTCTTTTACCCCATCCTTCAAGACATCATCCCGACTCTAACCTTTCCCAATCCCACCATTCACCAAACCAAACTCAGAAAAACTAATAGTGAACCAATCATGTCTAAACGTCCTTCCGATTCCGATTCGGAAGATGATGTCAAACCAATTGATTTTTACATCCCCTCTAAGAAACCCCGTCTGAGTCCTTCCAATCCAACACCCACTCCTACTTCTTCACTCCAAACGCCGATAAAGGATTCTAAACCGTATGTGATTCTCACTCCGACCAGTACGACGAAAAAACCTATGGGTCGTGTTCCTCCTTCGTGGACAACAAAACCGATCGTTTTCACACCATCATCACAAACTTCGAAATTAACTAGTACCTACAAACACCCTTCTTCCGGGTTAACAGCAAAAAGTATGAATCATACTTCTCCTTCGTTACAATCATTGATGAAACATAATGTTCATACTTCTCCATCATCTACATTATCATCGAAGAATGTTGTTCGTACTCCTTCATCATCCGCATCTGCAATGAGGCCCGTCAGTTACACTCCCTCGTCTAAATCTTTGTTAAAACCTGTTGTTCGTACTTCCCTTTCTTCGAATTTACCGATGAAATCAGTTCTTCACACTCCCCTTCCATCTAAATCATCAACGAAACCATCTATTCATACTCCCCTTCCATCTAAATTGTTGACAAAACCTGTCATCCATACTCCGCCTTTCTCTGCATCATCGACAAAACCTATTATTCATACTTTCCCTTCATACGGATCATCGACGAAACCTATGATTCACACTCCGCCCTCATACGGATCGACGAAACCTATGCTTTACACTCCGCCTTCCTCTGGATCATCGACGAAACCTATCATCCGTACTCCCCCGTCCTCTGGATCATCGACAAAACCTATCATTCACACTCCGCCTTCCTCAGGATCATCGACAAAACCTATCATCCATACTCCCCCTTCCTCAGGGTCATCGACCAAGCTTGGAGACACCAAGAGTACACCTAGGAAAGAGACAGGAATGGTAGGTTTGTTGGAAGGGAAAAGTCCAAAGGCGTTATTCGCGGCGATGATCTTTGACATTGGGATTGCCAATTTATCAAAAGCTGAAGCTACACGAGTGGTGAGTTGAATTAATGCTCATCTAATTTCCTTTACAACATCACTTCTTTCCGAGTAAGTACTTGAGAATCCATCAGTGGGACATTTCTTCATGTGAATTATATCATCTCAAAATACTCTGAATAAGCACCTCATGTCATTTAGGGTGACCTAAGAACTGAAAGTCGCCAGTCTGGTATGAGTACATATGACTGACTTCAGACCGGATTGAATGTCGGTCAACAGAAACAATTATTAAGGAAAGATAGAGGTGCTCTTCGTCGAGCTTTGATGAGGTTCTTTTGGAATCTTTAGGTATACAAGTAAAAAGTATGATGCATGACGTATAAGGTTTCACTTTAGCGCCCCTTATCACCCGTATCCTAGAAGGGAAGGTCAGATATGATCAGATCCTAATGGGAAATGGATAATAATCATCTTGACAACCGATCATTTCTAACGATTACCTCTTTTCTTTCATTCTCAGTTCAAATCATACTCAATTCCTTCCTTTAGGTCAACTTTGAAGCGGTGTGTTCTTTTTCTGATATCTAAACATCGTCATTCATGTGAGAAAATCGAATAACAGAGAGAGGGAGAGAGGAAACGAACGACAGGAGAGGGAAACGTTAGAAAAACGGGCTAAAAGGCTGACGAGATAAGATGTCGGATCAGATTGACGAACTTGAAAATGATATCAAACCTGAAATCAACATAACACCCAAGAGGACGAAAGATACGGGAAATGTTGGTCCAACGAGGAAAACACCTAAATCCAAGACCACACCTAAGAAAGAGACTCAAGAGATGGAAGGAGTTTGGGGAGGGGGTAGTACGAAAGGGAGATTTGCAATGATGATTATTGAAACTGGCATAAAGACTATCAATAAGGATGCTGCTGCTGCCGAGGTGAGTCAAATCTCACTCTGTTCGATGATCCTACGAACATGTTTCCACCTATACTTGCTCAACAAACAATCAGCACCCCTTGGATGTGTGATTACTTCGAAGCGCCCCTCGAGTAATTTGAGTAGCTGGTTTGTCCCACTTCTCCTCATCCTTCAATTCGCGGGCCACCTCCCTGGCGTCCTCGTAAGGTGGCGAGACTGTATTCGAGGGGAAATGGGATCCGGAGCATGTATTGAGCAAAATGATTGTTGGCTAGGAATGGCTGACGTCAGCTCGGTTTGAATGGTAAACAGCTACGTGAATGGGTGAGAAGGGATGGAAAAGGAGCGGTTTACAAATCTCTAAAAGATTTCTGCGACAGTCTCTAATCGTTATCGGACGAGTTAGAATGAAACCGTAAAATCATATGAACGATCAAATCTTTGACATTTCAGTGAGATAAGCGCTTGTCTGTGTAATGGATATCAAATGAGTACTGTTCTGCATAATCGCAATCATGATCAGTACAACTACTACTCTACTCTAGTGAGTAATCAATCGTCAATCCAGATTGAACACGATCAAGTCGTTCCGTTTTTCGCCCCTTTTATACACTGAGTTAACGCGTCGAAATGGGGTCCACCTTGAATACCATTCTCATCCATGTTCAAAGACCAAACCAACAATCCTCCAACTTTATCCTTGTTCTCATTACAAGCTCCAGTAACATCCGCCGCACTTGTCCATGTCCAAAACAATTTATTGATCTTGTCATAAGCCGCACTTGACCAAGTCCCATCTTTCGCATCTCCCTGATCTTTGATATTGTTCCAAGATTGAACGATCAAGGGTTTTGGTACAGTTGTGATGTTGTAAGTTAAATCAGGATCGAACGTCAGAGTCGAAGAGTTGAGATAATCAATACCATCTAGAGATTGATATGGACCCATTGGACAACCGATAGGACTATTGGCAGCCGCACAAGTAGCCGCTTGTTGATCATTGAGTAAGAACCATTTAGCATACATTGGGAAACCAATATTGGCTTTTGTCATGTTCATACCTCTTGCACTGTAAATACCGATATCGGTTTGGAGTACAACACCACCGGAATGATACCCGGTTTGATTGGAGAAACGATTGACGTAATCGTATGACATGATGTTGAAGTAATCGACAATGGGGTCGAATTGAGCGATGGTGGCCTGAGTGTATGCTCCCATGTCGGATTGGATGGCAGGTAAAGCAATGCTGATTTTTTTGGTAGGACCGATGGCTGTACGAACAGCGGTAAGAAGTTGAATGTAACTTTGTGCTTGATCCGCGGTGGGGTATCTGATAATCAGTATCTTGCTTTCTTTGAATATTCTCCTTGGCTCAAATTTACACCTCATTGAATAGATTATCGTAAAAAAAGCTATCCGCACAAGAAGATGAACAGCAAATCATGGAAGAGGGGATGAGATGAAAGAGTAGGAATATTAGGGTGAAATGCAGGAGATCACTCACTCCCAATCAAAGTCAAGTCCATCAAGAGTAAATGTGTCAATTAGATTTTTACATTGATTCGCGAAAGACGTCATAGTATCTTGACTCTGGATGGCCTGAGGGAACCCATGATCAAGCGCCCAGCCACCGACAGAAGCAGCGATCTCGACTCCAGGAACGGCCTGTCTGATGTTTTGAACTGTGGTTTGGTCGAAGAGACCATTTGTGGAAGTGACAAAATCGGTCATAGTGGTCATGTTGATGAAAGCTATTGGTCAGCTTGATGATCGGGATTTAGTCAAGTCTGGTGGATAAGGGTAGTAATGACAATTGAAGGGCGAGCGTCCGAACCACAGTTTAGGTGTGAAATGAGGAGACAAACAAGACCTCACCCAAATTGACATGGGTAATATGTTCAAGTTGCGATCCTTGGGGAATTTGACTCGTTGCCCAGCTGTATGTAAGCTCATACTTCCACCAAGAGAATTCGACCCCACTCACACCTCCCAATACCCCAGATAACGCAAGGCATAAGTCTGACTTGCGCACAGCGCGAGCATACACGCCGTCGTGAGGGCGTGAAAAGAGTGTCCCATCTTTAACAACGTGTTTGAGTATCAAAGAGCGGAAGTCCAGCCAGCTAGACGATAAGAACTGCTAGCTGTCAGTCTTATCGATCTTTTGAACGATTTGGGGTGACTCACTTTGGCCAAGATAATCGGATTGATCTACCCGTCTAACGGACGGTCTCTTATAGATATCCCAAAACGATCTCCTCCCATTGAAGACGGATTGCCAAACGTTCTATGGGAGGGGAAATGAAAGGGTGCTTGTGGAGACGGTTTTCAGCATGAGAGGAGAGAAGCCCTTGATCCGCAACTCCGTTGATCGACTTTTGTTTCGAGGGACATAAAGGATTGAATTGGTGTCAGATCAGAGTCAGGTGACCAAACTCGTTAGAGAGTCAGAGGGAGTTGATACTCGCACAAAGGTGAGCAAGATCGACCCGGTCAGTATCTAGCTTAGCGACGTTGTACGGGTGAGAAGGGTGAATGGGTGTTGAACGAGGTGTTTCCGACGTGTTTTGATTGGTCGTCACGATCGTTTCGGCTTTTGTCGGTATTGGCGGCGAACTCCGACTCGATCAAGAAAAGTTCAGACTTTTCCTTCCCAACATTGCCAATCATTCACACTACTCTCGTCTTTTGGGCTCTATTGTAGATACTGGTCCAGTGCATCAGTGTGGTTAGATCGCACAATGATCTCCTTCTGGAGGACAGCTACGTCCCGGCGGACTTGTCCATCGTCTTGGCGTCATTATGCCACCGTTTCATCACCCCAAAATCTGGTCGAAAAAATCGTACAAAAATACGCTGTGGACCTCCAACCAGGAGCCAAAGTAAGGGCTGGAGATTATGTCATGATACGTCCTGAACATGTGTCAGTATTTGCAGCCCAGAGGCATCAGACATCGAGAGCTGAATACTCAGTATGACCCATGATAACACCGGACCGGTAATATCGAAATTCCTCTCTCTCTCATGTTCCAAACTTGATGACCCTCGTCAACCCGTCTTCGCCTTGGACCATGACGTTCAGAACCAATCAGCGACGAATCTTGCAAAGTATAGAAAAATCGAAGCTTTCGCAAAGGAACATGGAGTCGATTTCTATCCTGCTGGAAGGGGTATAGGGCATCAGATCATAGTCGAGGAAGGCTACGCTTGGCCGGGGAAGATGGTAGTTGCTAGTGATAGTCATAGTAATCATTACGGAGGTGTTGGTTGTCTTGGAACTGCCATAGTACGGACAGATGCGGCGTGAGCCTCTTTTCACTCTTCAACTCTTTGATCCTAAGTTGGTTTATGCTGATTGAGCAGAGGTATATGGGCCACTGGAAAATTCTGGTGGCAGATTCCCAGAGTCGTATCTGTTGCCTTAAATGGAAGATTATCATCCGGCGTTACTGGAAAAGACGTCATTGTCGCTCTCGCAGGTCTTTTCAACAAAGACGAAGTGCTTAACGCTGCCATTGAATTTACCGGATCAGGTATCGAACATATCTCAATCGACGAACGATTGACCATCGCCAATATGACCACCGAATGGGGAGCCGTTGCTGGTGTTTTCCTTGCGGATGAGAAATTACGGAGATGGTACGAAGGGTTAATCAAGAAGAGTGAATTATATCAATACCTCAATCCTCCCACTTCCACACGATCAGGATTACATCCCAGACTCAACCTTGAGAGGTTAGACGATGCACTCGTCAACAAACCTGAAGCCGATCCAGGAGCACATTACTCATCTCGATTATCACTCGATCTTTCAACATTGGTACCTCATATATCTGGACCCAATTCTGTCAAAATTGCTACGCCCCTTCCAAAACTTCTCGATCCACCTATCAAAATCGACAAAGCGTATCTAGTGTCATGCACCAATTCCCGTGCCTCCGATCTCAAAGCCGCCGCCGATGTCCTTCGAGGGAAAGAGGTTGCACCAGGTGTTGAGTTCTATATCGCTGCTGCTTCCAGTCGAGTCCAGGCCGAGTCCGAGGAATCAGGTGATTGGCAAGCATTGGTAAAGGCCGGCGCGAAGACTCTTCCTGCCGGTTGTGGACCTTGTATTGGCTTAGGGGTGGGTCTGTTGGAGAAAGGCGAAGTGGGTATCAGTGCTACCAATAGGAATTACAAAGGGCGAATGGGCTCACCAGAGGCTATTGCTTATCTTGCATCTCCGGCTGTGGTTGCTGCTTCCGCTGCGAAAGGATACATCTGTGGTCCCGATTCTCTCGATTTATCAAAATTGCCACAATACGAAACACCTAGGATATCTATAATCGAAGAGGACTCTGAAGCTCGACCGACGGAAGTGGATGAAAGTAGTTTAGAACCACTTCTTGACGGTTTCCCAGCTTATTTCGAGGGTCCACTCGTCTTTGCCCCTCAGGATAATTTGACGACGGATGGTATGTATCCTGGCAAATACACTTATCAAGATGACATAACTCCCGAACGTCAAGCAGAAGTCGTCATGGGTTAGTCCTGTTTCTCTCTTCACTAATAGAAGAACTGCTGACTCCTGTAGAAAATTATGATACCACTTTCGCCTCATCGGTCCGTCAAATAAGTTCTATCTCCCCTTCCTCATCATCAGAATCTATAAAACCAGGACCTATCCTCCTCTCAGGTTATAATTTCGGTACCGGTTCTTCTCGCGAACAAGCGGCTACCGCTATCAAATATGCTGGAATACCTCTGGTCATCTGCGGGTCGTTTGGAGATATCTTCAAGCGAAATTCTATCAACAACGGTCTCATCCTGGTCGAATCACCGCAACTCATCTCTGATCTTACGGCATGGTTTGGGAAAGACGGACAAAGGAATAAAGGTGGGAAGAATGGGGAGCTGACTGTGATACCGGAAGGATGGACGGTGAAGGTGGATACAAGAAGAGGGAGGGTTAGCGTTAGGATGGGAGAAGAAGGAGAAAAGGTTTATCCAAGTGCGAGAGTGGGACGTAGTGTACAAGAGATATGGGTCAATGGAGGTTTGGAAGGTTTCATCAGGGCGTCGTTGTAAATTTAGATTATCTGTCAGCACGTCAGCGTTGCATCTTGTTCGATTTATCTCTTCTGACTTCTGTCTACGTACTGACAGTTGAAGCCCCTCGGTTGTACATCGCCGTCCTGACGGATTGTTTAAGAAGCCCCGCAACGTCGCTGGTGATTCCACACGTTTCATCTCTCAAAGTGGGTAAGAACTACTTTGTGGTTGAACAACTCGACCATGGCGCCAATGTCAAGAACAAAGTCGAAAGACGGACAAGAGCAATACGGTCGACCCCTCCCTAAACTATTTCTACTCACTGTAACACCTATCGCTTTCACTCTCATCATCCGACCATTCCTTCCTATCCTACTTCATTCCTCTCTCCTGACTTACCTTCCTTTACCCGGTAAAGTCCTCGACAAATTGCGATCCGTGGTTCAGCCATCTTTCCCCGCATTACAAGCCAATGTGGGATTCTCTCTATTGGCGTTCGTAGGCTCTGTGGTACTTGTTCCTCAAGTGGGGAAAGCTTTTGTGGAGAAAGGATTGAAAGGGAGAGATTTGTGTAAACCTGGAGGACGTATCAGTGGACCGTACATGTGAGTCTGCGTGATGGGTTCTATCCAATTCAATCTCCCATATGACTTCAAGCTACAGGATATATGACATACTAGAATGTTTGATTCTGATAGTCTGAATAAGTGGGGATTCAGGAGATGGAGTGAATGGAACAAGTGCTGATAGACAAGTCCTGAATGCCTCGGTTTACCATGTGCAAGCCTTTACATATTACTCATGATGTTATTCATTCCATTCCCATTTTCACATCTTTTCACTCCTTCTTCTGATTCTGGTGTAGCTTTCTCTCAACAAGAGGTGAGTAAAATTCTTTTCGGTCATCCTTTCCAGATGGACATATTGCCTTCTCGCCTTGCTACCTTCCCCTTCCATCCCCCAGCTCCAATTTTGTCTCCTTCTTCGTAAAGGTCTTACAGTCTTCGTACGATAGTTCTGGGAGGTACGTGTATGAAAGTAGTAAAGACGTTGACCTCAGCTCACACTTTACCTCTCCTCCCTCCTTTCCCTACTCACTGCTACACTGTTGGGGTTCATCGACGATCTCTTCGATATTCGATGGCGACATAAATTACCCATACCTCTTGTAGCCTCTGTCCCTACGCTTTTGGTGTATTACTCTGAAGGGGGATGGACATCTGTTGTCTTGCCTTCTACAATAGGCAACTGGCTCAGATCCATCGGCTTACCAGGATGGATAGGATCGAAGGTTGTTGATTTAGGTGAGTGGCGCATTAATCTTTGTCCTTTACATTTCACTCTCTATACGATATCCAACTGAACATTATGAGAAGATCAGCTGACCAATAGGACCTCTGTATTACATCTACCTCCTCCTACTACCCACTTTTACGACAAACTCCATCAATATCGTCGCTGGTATTAACGGTGTCGAAGTCACTCAAGCTCTAATCATCTCTCTATCTGTCTTGCTGAACGATCTTCTCTTCATCCCAATCTGGCCAGAGAGGTTCTTGGCCGTAGTGGGAGGAGGCAATCCATCCGAGGGTAGACTGCTAGGTTGGGCTGCCGGGGAAGTGGTACAACGTCATCTTATGAGTGCTTATTTTATGGCCCCCATGGTCGGTGTTTGTGCTGGATTTTTGTGGCATAACTGGTTAGTCTTCTCTCTCCTCTCCATTCTCTCAAAAGCCCATCATAACCCACGTTCTTGACCTTGCACGACTCACAAGTTGTTTCAATCACCTCAACCCCTTCGGTTACTTTATGTACTTTCCCATCGAAGGGAGCTTCTCTGGTCCCCCTCAAATGTCTCTGCAGTCCCTATGTGTCAAATAAGTGGCATATACCTTACAACATGCTGACCAAGTTGATCAGCGATGGCTAAGATTCTAGGTACCCAGCCAAAGCCTTTCCAGGAGACACATTCTGTTATTTCACAGGAATGGCCTTTTCAGTCGTAGCGATCCACGGACATTTTTCCAAGACGCTCATATTATTCTTCATACCTCAGATTTTCAACTTTATACTTTCTTGTCCTCAACTTTTTCATCTCGTTCCTTGTCCTCGACACCGATTACCTAGGTAAGCTATCTCACTCAAATCTATCAAGATCTTGATAACATGTCTCCAGTTTTTAGCTGATGATAAGATACGACGCAACGACAGATCTTTTGTTTCCTAGTTTGACAGAATTCGAACGACCTCCAGAAATAAAAACCAGGGTAGTTTTACGGATCATGGAAATTCTACGATTAGTAAAGCTCGAAAGGGCCTCTTCAACTATGAGTGTGACCCAGAAGGTACGAAATAAGTCAGGGAATCAAGTCGCTGTCAAGGTTAAGACGAGCGGGGAGAATTCGGATCCGGATAATATTAGAGATGGAGGAAAGGAGAGTGGTTCTGATGGAGAAGGGGTTATATTGTCAAGTACTAATTTGACTATCCTCAATTTACTTTTGGTACATTTCGGACCGATGAGAGAACAAAGTCTTTGTTTGGGATTGGGGTTCATACAGGTATTTTGTTCAGGAGTGGCTTTTGGGATACGGTATGGACTTGGATCGATGGTGTATGGTGGAGAAAGACGGTAGAGGCATGAGTAGATCATATTTCATCTTTCAATCAATTCATCATCACAATGCATGTTATATATTGTCATCTGTATGACTCTTTCACTCATCTTTCTTCAGAGCCTGATTGGGAGTCTCTACAACGGCCCGCTGACCTTCGTCACGATGTCCAGCCTTGACAGGTAAAACATGATGTGCATGTAGAAGATATCACGTACAGTCGGGATGTCCAACAGCTGTTCTTGATCAACTGTACGAGTAATGATTCTGAAAAGGTTGAAAATGTATGAAGAAGAAAAGGAAGATCGGCGAGATCATTTCCCAAAAGATAAATTATACCCTCCACCAGGCTGTTGTTCAAATTTGAACATATCCGTACTCATCCCGAATTTACCCAGAATACCATTACCCAATTCTTTCAATTTAGAAAGCATTTCGTCTTTCTCTTTTTCCTGTTGAAGACGGATACTTTCCGGTAGACGAGCGAGGGATTTACGAATGGCCGGAAGGAGTGGTGAGTTGAGTGGGAGGAGGGAGATTAATTGTGTGTAATCTGATGAATTAGTCAAGGTTATCTGCACACACTTCTGATTATATTGTTAGTATATAAGTCCCCCGATACGTCGCTTTTCACAAGTGAGAGGGAAAGGGAAAGAGGGGAAGGGGTATACGGTCCAGAACGTAAGAGAGACGTCGGGAGGGTGATGCTTGTATTCTCATTTGGAAGTGAGAATAACACGATGGAATGATTATAGAGACATGAGGTAGAAGAACTCCAGAGAGGTGTGACAAGCGGATATGGACCAGAAGAAATTTAAAAAAGGTATTGTACTTACCTTCCTGAGCCGATGTAAGGGAAGACCAACTTCCTATTCTTTCGTTTGCCCCGGCTCGTCTTTGTAATGCTTTCAAATAAGTGGGATCGATTTCAAGAGCTTTGGTACATGCTTCCACTGCGGCTTTGTCATCGTTCTGATATCAGATCTACTTCTCTTTTTCTACTCTAAAGTCCTATATGGAAAACATGGACTGTTCTTAATCTAAATTCGGAAATCCAAAATTACTCAGCTCTCACTGTGGGCAGATAAGTACAATATAGAAGAAAAGTCGTCATCAGGATGGGTGATACGCTCATGAAGAGGCAATAAAACGTGAGGAGAGAATTGACAGAGCAGAGGTATCTGAGGACAAGGAAAACATGACCCAACTCACAAGAGCGATATAACAAGCAGCTTTATTACCCCAACAAGCCTTCGTACATTCTCTGATATCCTTTTCCACATCTTCCCTATCTTTCTTTTCTCTTCTCTCCTTTTCCCTCTTCTCCCTCATTTCCACCCCTTCGTGAGCTTCACGTTCGATCATATCCGCTTCCACCTCATCTACTTCATGTATCTTTGCTCCCCCAGTGTTATCCATGGAATCAGCACCATCTTGTATCGGTCCAATGTCAACCTCGGGAGATTTCCCTTTTCTTGATGGAGGTGGAGGGACTGAAGGTAAGAGATCTAGAGCTGCCGTATAGGCTTCTAGAGCGGATTGATGGGCGGGAGGATGGGATGTGAAATGAGTGTTACCCCTATTTTTATGGGTTATAGCTTTGTTGAGGAGGTCCTATAAGTCAGCCAGGCGTTCTTCGATATTGAGGGAAACAGGATTTATGAAAAGTTAAGAACAAGATTGAAGTGTCCTTGAAAATGAATATCAGAATTGAGAACAGTTGGGTTGTGACGGAATTCTTTGAAAGCTCCTTTCACTCGTCACTCGCTGGTAGTGAAGTGAGGTGGTGGTTGAGTAAATGTGGGGGGAGAGTATATTGACGCAGTAGTGATACTTCGGACAACTTTCAAAATTGACAAATGTGAGAAAACAGTGTAGAGAGGTACATTGAGATAGACAAGTCCAAGCGAGAAGACAAACTCACACTTAGTTGCTCAGTAGTGAACTCTGCATTATCAGGATCCACATCCACCTCCTCCCTTGCATCTTCCCATACCTCCTCATCATCTTCTACCCCATTCTCTTCATCTTCTTCATCCTTGAGAGTGTCATCATTCGTCTGGTGACGCTTGTCCTCGTCCCGAGGTAATCCCGGAGGATCTTTCAACTCCCCTGACCCTGACGCAAGAGGGGTTTTTGAGCTCTCGCCGTTCTTCCATCCGTTCCTTCCAGCAATGGGGAAATGTTCTTGAGCCCATGCGGGAGGTTGGAATCGGGCGTCGTTGAAGTATTCCAAGTCTGAAAAATCTGGTTGATCCTTGGTCATGATGGGAAAGTAAGTGCAAAGGAGAGTTGAAACAGCAAAGTGAACAGGAGAGCAAAGTGGCGGGAATTCGTCAGACGTCCTATGAAATTCCGTGCTCCGTTCATTACTCGTATATCTTAGCGCTGGAGGACTTGTACAGGTTGACGGTATGTAAGCGAGCAGCATGCTGCATGCTGCAGTTTGCGACTTTACTCGATGCATTGATTTCTATAATACTGATACTTTAGATACTATGTAAGACTTACTGCTTGGCAAGCAAAGATCTCCCAGTCATTTCTTCTCAATCAGCGAAACGCCACAAAGGTAAAAGAAAAAAACTCACCCTCTGGTTGAGGTAAACCTAAGATGGCCAAGACGGTCGGAGCGACATCTGCCAATGCCCCAGGCTCAGGGCTTACCTCCAACGAGCCCTTGTCTCCGGTTACGATGAATGGTACGTGGTCTGCGATGAGCTTGACATCTTTCCACGCACGCGTAGGAATTCCAGCAGGGATTTAGAAATCTGGGCATAAGGGGAAGACAGAAAGAGACTCACTTGTCGTATGCGCGGTGTGGGGGTTGCCCGTCTCAGGATCAAGCATCTGCTCGGCATTTCCATGATCCGCAGTGATACACAGAACATAACCTGCCTCCTCACATGCGTCATAGACTGTTTTGACGGCCTTGTCTGTAGCTCCTATAGCCTCTACGGCCGCTTCATACACTCCAGTGTGACCCACCTCGAAGTCAGCGATGATGTCGATGAGTAAATATGGAGCTCACCATGTCGGGAGGGGCAAAGTTGCACATGACGAATTCGTATTCTCCCGTCTTGATCACCTCGGCCACCTTGTCGGCCACACCTTGAACGCTCATCTCGGGTTGTTTGTCGTATGTTGCAACTTTGGGAGAGGGGATCATGTGACGTTCCTCCAAAGGAAATGTTTTCTCCACTCCACCGTTGAAGAAGAACGTGACATGCGCGTACTTCTCCGTTTCTGGAATATCAGCGCTGACCTCAAAGTATCTAACACAGCCTACTTTCAGGTCACGGAGCGGTGGCACCCTTGATTGTCCCAAGACACTAGAGGCCGGGATGCGTGCCTCTCGTCGCCGCTGAACAATCCGCAACACCTAGAAGAGAGACAAGTACTCACCAGCAATGTGACACTGCTTGACGCCCTGCTTGCCAAGCCATTCCGCCAGCACATTGGCCATACTGTGAGGAGGGAAAGCGACAGGGAAAGTAAAGTCTGGATTGTATCTGGTCATAGTGGTTATATGCTGATGGTCAGATTGACAGATATCTGCAAACGACAAACTTACCAGATCATCGGGTACAGTGACCTCCATGGGTTTATCAGGCAAACCGAGAACAGTGGTGAGTTCTCGCATCCGGTCCGAACGATAATTGAACATGAATAAAGTATCTCCCTCTTTGCTGATCAGCCATGATTCACTACCAAGAGTATGAGGAAAAAACACACTTTTGATTCTTGAATCTTCCGATCCAGAGATGATAGGCTTGATAAATTCGTCCGTCACATCTTTCTCATACCCCGCTTCCACCGTCTTGACCAAATCATCAGCCTCCACTTTATCACCCTCTCCACTGATCAATCCATCGACTGCAATCTTGACTCGGTCCCATCGTTTGTCTCTGTCCATGGCAAAGTATCGACCAACGACAGTAGATATCTCTCCCACGCCGACTTCTTTGATGTAATCTTGCAATTCTTGGATATACTTTGTCGCTGACCTAGGTGCCGTGTCTCGTCCATCTCCGAAGAAGTGAATGTAAACGTGTTCTATGTTATGGGCTTTGGCACATCGAAGCAGGGCGAATACATGGGTGATATGCGAGTGAACACCTCCGTCGGATATCAAACCAAGGAGGTGCAAGCGTGAACCATGAGAAGCAGCTCTTTTCATAGTGTCCACAATGGCGGGCTGTTTGGAAAATTCGTCTTTTTTGATACCTGCCCGTCAATTGATCAAGACATCAGCGAAGTGTCAAGAACTCACATTGGTCAATCTTGACAATGTCTTGCCATACGATACGACCAGCACCAATATTGAGATGTCTTCCATATGAGTGTAGATTCAAATCATGTATGATGAACACTCACCCAACTTCAGAGTTACCCATCAATCCTTCTTTGAGCCCCACGGCTAAACCATGCGCTTCAAGCTCGACAAAGTTGTGTTTGTCTCGAATAGCGTCCATGTTGGTGGTATCGCCGTGAAAGACGGCATTGCCCTTTTCGTTGTCTGATAAGCCCCAACCGTCGTGGACGCTGTTGATCCGTCAGTCATTTGATCATTTCATAAATCCCCCTGATCCTGAGACCAAGCGTCCTCGATACATGCCAACTTCAACCATCAATGCGGACACCACGGAAGCGTATAGGACAAAGGAAGATCACGAGTCTCTTGTATGAGCGAGTTGTGAGTGGTGTATCGAAGACGAGTTGAGCAGGCGCAGAGAGCCATGAGACCAGTAAGATAGGTGTAGCATGTCAGAGTGATTCAGTCACTCAGACTCACATCAAGCAGACCTTTTCTGTCCATCAGCAAAACCCCCTGCAAACTTCAAACGTGGGCAACATCTCAACGCACTTTTGACCTGTGTAGTCTTTGCCTTTTTAGCATCTCCTTGAGGTTCTGGTGAAGCGGCCGGACGAGTAGACATTTTGCGTTGCTAATTTGCACTTCTCTGATCTCTCTTGAACAATTCAGATATGGCTTGTACGAGTGAAAAGTCAAATTGGAGAAAGGTGAAAGTTGGTGGGTTGGGAAAAACTCGACGTCATTCCATCACCCATTGCCGCAGAAGAAGTCAAATTTGGTTCCGTTCCGATATGAGTTCCTCTGCTGGGCTGGAGATGTTCTGGATGCCAACTGCTACCTAGTAACTTAAGTCGAATACAGTACGTTTACACTCCCAAACTGCGATTCAATAACCGGGTCAAGTTACAGAACTGCACGGTGTAGAGTGGGGTGTCCAAATATGACAACGGCCGGCTTCCCCGATCGACTCCCTATCTCCTCACCCCAGTCTATATGGGCAGCACCAACATGGATCAAATCCTTCTACGCTAAATTCCCTTTGGTGGTGTTAGACCAAGAAGATTCTATAACTTGGCAGACCTCCTCAAACTCTTCTTCTCTCTGGGTGAGTTCATCAAAGTCACATCTTTTCTAAACTAACCACCTTACTTATAATATCACTGCGAACCCGAGTCACCTCAGACTACTTACTGATATTCGTTTTGAGACATCGGGTAGGTAGGAACAAGCTGATCATCAGATTCATCCACCTTCTTCAGATTCTCATCCTCATCATAGATCATGGGCATCTAACCATCCAATATCATTAAGAACTCAACTTCTCTTCCTCTCACGAGATCCACCTGTGGAAGTGACTTTCCGTCCTTGGACCAACGTTGCTTCTGCTCCGGGTGGAACTCTACCGACTTTGCATCTCCCGAAAGAAAATAGGTTGGTAGCTACGGATGATATCAGAAGTTGGCTAGATCTGAATTATCCTCTCAAGGGTAAAGCAAAAGAGTGGGTTTTTCTTCTACTACACTCTCTCAATTTTCCACTCCACGCCCGTCAAAATCACTCTCTGGATATGTCGCATTAATGCCGTTCGGTACTCAGTACTTGTTAGACCATATACTTTGCACCTAACATAAAAACAGGAACGGCGCGGAACCAATCTGGCTGCGAAAGCGTTCCGTTTTTTTTTTTTGGTCAGTTGCCAGTACATGAACGAAAAGCTGATGAAGAAGATGGAACGGTATTCCTTCTCAAGAAAAATACGATAAAGCTTTAGCCATTGCCCAAGTCGTTTTGGGCCCTTTATACCGAGCTTATCTTGCATCTTTACCATTTCAATCGGAATCATGGCATTTGTCATTCCCTTCCCCTCCGGAATTACTAGCAGGTTTGACGACACCTCTTCCTGCTGCTTTCACTGGCGATGCGAGACATATAGATAAAGATTCTGTGGTGAGAGAAGGAGTAGAAGCTATCCAAGCATTGGCTGTGTTCATCGGAGATAATTGGGCTTTGGAAGCAGAGTAAGTCGTGACTACTGTTCGATGATTGGATACAGGCTGAGAGATAGACATGCAACACCTCTTGATGCTCTGTTGGTGGGGTATTTATACCCTATCTATTCCTTGGAGGAGAATTCGATCTTACGAACGGCATTGACTCGACATTTGGGTTTAGGGCGGTACGCGGACAGAGTGCTGGATTTGGCTTCAAGTAATGTGAGGTGAATGCATCAGGGGTACAAGAACGTGCTATGCGGAGAGGCAGAAGACCAGAATTATCAGGGTTGTCGCACTCGTTTGGCATTCAAGCCTTCATTTCCGTCTTGAGAAGCAACGATTTGAGCTTCTCTCCTAAACCTTTGGCGGATGCGGGGTTTTGACCTAATTAAATTAGCATTAACCACCTCTGACTCAAACTTCGCATGACTCCACAAGCCCGACGACCCTCGTCCATCACATCCACAAATCCCAAATCGAGCGACGTAAGAAGGGATGATAGGTGGACAAGCACATCCGGATCCCTCGGGATTCTGCGGATGGGGGAAAGAGATCAAAAGTTAACTCACCTGTCAAAATACCTTTATCCCAAATAACTTCACTTGCCCAAGGCTCAGCACATTTGTACCTTCCCCCAGACTCTTCTTTCAGTCTCTTCTCCAGAGAGAAAGGAAGGATGTTCACATAGTCGGCATACGGAGTTTGAGCCTCTTCAGCATCCGAGAAACCCGTGACGTTGACGCCCTTAAGGATGGAGTCTCCATTAGGAGCTTTTACTTGAAGCAAAGCGGCCGGACCATGACAGACAGCAGTGACAGGCTTTCAGTCAGCTGACATCCTCTCCCTTGATATAAGTTTCGACATACCTTCTCAGTAGCATAGAACTCTTCGCAGAGCTTCTTGAAATCTTGATCTGTAGCGAGATCGATCAAAGGTCCATGCTGTCTATCAATGACTGTATCCCACTTCTAATCTCCATGAAATCTCAAACTCCAAGACGGCGATGTATGATCACTGTAAGCTGGGTGGAACAATACGAGAGAAGCCAGCAGTAGGTATGCGAAACGAAGAATGGTTAGTAAGGGATGAATGAAGATTAACTCACACCCCCAACCACGAAGATAGCAGCGTAATCCTCAGCTTTCACATCACTAATCTTCTTCGTATTCTTCCAAAACTTCACCGCTACCTCATCTTTCTCCAAAAAGTCGACAGATTCTTTGTCGGTAAAGTTTTTGACGGATTCTTGATCTAATGGAGGTGTACCACCAAGTGGGGAAGCAGCATCAACAGCGATCTCCCCAGATGATGTGAGAGCGTAATATGGATGAGCAGCTTCAGGAAGGTACCACCCTACTTTCTGTCCTTTGTCAGCATTTTGGTCCGACAACCTTGGTCTTGGAATCTGTCCTATGAATGTCCTAGTACTTCTTTCGGGAGATTGAATGGCCAGGACGTTCTACTAATGGAGAATGAAAGACAATTGTGCTTTACATTACTGAATGCTAAAGTGGAAATAGGTAAGGTAGAGCATTGAGAAGAATCCGAGAGGACAGGATATTGAAGGGAAGACGGAAAATTGACGCCGGAGGAAACGGACTCACGGCTCCGTTAAGGAGGGTATCAGCGGATGTGAAGATGAAGAGCACCGTAGGTTTTGACATCTTGATATGATAGACTACTAGCAAATCAGATTTGAGGGTTGGATGTCGAGAGAAATTTGTAATGGACAAGAAAGAGGAAGGCTTTCAATTTTGGAAGAAAGGAAAAGAAAAATCTGACGTCATGTTCAATGTGGAGGCATGTTTTACCGCCGGCAACTAGGCAACTATCCATGTCTTTCTAGCAATCCAAGCACTATCTAGCTTCTCGGAATCCTTACACTTACGAGTGTCACATGCTTACTTGGCGGCCGGCGGCCCGGCGGACTTTGAATGTCTTTACATGAAGGATCTATGCACTATCCACTGGTAGGTATTCGTACAACTTACATGATCTTCCAATTACTTCTCTCTCAAATGCTAGTGAGTCTCTTTTGTCATCCAAGGACATAACAGCTCCGACATTACTTAAGAGCTGACATCAAGCGTCATTCCTTGAGCACTGTTTGCTCCTACAACCTGAACGAACGGTTTGACATTGTTCAACTCTACAGTCGCTTGTTTGTCATCTCCTACAGGCGCTCCCGTCAACGTTGCCTGTCATATCAGCCACATCCCGCCAGTCGGTCGTTCCATTTTGAACTATGTCATTAATCATAGAACTCACCAACACCGTCGAGTTGGCGGGCTTATCTTTCCAACCCGTTTCATCCGCCCAAGCTCGAACGACGTATTGACCAGGGGCGGTATCACAAGTCCTGTTCTGGGTCCATGATCCTGGTCCGAAGTACTGGCAGCCTGTATTGATGTCCTATCTTCTCAGATTCCATCTCACTCGTCAGGAAGAAATACTCACGGTGAGGGCAGTCCGATCAACCAAAGTGAACAAGACTGGTCTACCACCAGGAGGAAGATTATCACATGGACTTTGGCTTCCGGCCGCCTGGACCGAGAGAGGGAGTCCAAGAAGGGCGAGTATGATCGGAACAAACATGTCTTTTGAGAGTGGAGAGCGGTACGATGGCCATTTATATCAGAGACATGATGAGTAAAACGTGAGACGCGGGAGGGGAAGTATACCTTTGAGAAGGTGAGGAGGGGGAAATGTATGAGAGAGGGTACTTTTCATAAGATGTTTGGGTTCCTTTCTTATGGTATAGTCTGATTAATGCTTCATGTTCGATTGATAAGCCTCACGTGCTCCTACAGGCATGCGTAAATCTGACTAATGTACTCAGAGAATAGTGAAGTGAGCGTTGGCGCTGGGGTCGATTGGCAGGGGACGCAGGGGAGCTCTACCCTAAACCACCCATCCATAACTCTGTGGCCGAACGACAATGAGCTGGAGAGACATCACTGGTTGAGATGTTCTTCTTTGCTTTTCACAGCGATCATGTAGTTGCCCACTTCAAATATCACGCCTTCAATGCTTGTTTCCGCCATAGCTGGCATCCTCCCCATTCCCCAAAATGACCACATGGACTGCCACACTCGCCCCACTTACCGGATTGGGTAAATTTCCGCCACCTTCATGAATAACCGTCTCCGTATCTTCCTCTCCCTTGTCTGCGACGTCTCCTTCAACTCTCCCTAAGCATCAGCATACAAATCACTACCTGCCGATCTCCCCACAACGTGGAAATCGACATCGATGTGATCAGGGTCACCACTGAGGCCACGTCAGCTCGAGTTGATCCGGGAAAACGGTCGATCACGCCTTATCAACACCCGACTTGGCTCACGCGCTTCTTCCTCTTCACAAACACTACTCTTTCGACTCGTAAGCCTTAGGACCTTGCCTTGCTAGACTGTCACCTTGACTCTTGACTGCATCATACGCTCTGCTATAGCTGGAGTACCAGAAGGATGCCGTCAACCGCTGGACCATCGACTTTCTCGGCGTATGCGAGTCGTTTCTTATCTGGCAAAACGTCGCCGCCCAGAGGAAGGGGAATGGAAGATGACAGTCAGGTGAGCAATAGTTAACTTGATCCGTAGCTTGACCCAATCCATCACCCCTCTTGGGTCTCCCAGCTATCTACCGATGCCTCCGTCATCTCGGAAAACATCCAATCAGTCTTTGAAAAATCTGTGATTGACGCTGACGCATCACCAGATCTTTCGTGCGACCTCTCCATCTCCCCATGATCCCTTCATCACCTCCCCTACCGCCTCAACCTCACAACCCTACCTTGCAGGCGGTCTCTCGCCTCCCGCTATGCAAACTCCTCCATTCCCAGGTATAGGTATCGACGACCTTCCCGATATAGGCGATGGCTCTATAGGCGTGGGCCTTCTATTCGACGGTCCCAAAGATATGCCCGAGAGTGACCCTCCTAGGCGTTCAGCGTCTCGGAGCAAGTCAAGAGGTGTAGGAAAATCAAAGAAAGGGGTACCAAACCCCTATGAAACCAGCTCTGAGGAAGAAGCCGAGATGCCTATCGATGTCGTTGCTTCAGTTCGCCAATCTCTCATACGACCCCCGCAACCGGCGCAGAAACCTTTGTCAAAGCGAGCACAAAAGGGTTGGTTAGCACATCAAAGTATCTTCCCTGCTTCTTCATCGAGCGACAGCGAGGAGAGTGATAAGATAACCGAAGAAGACTCAGAAATCGGCGAACAAGACGAGGATGAGGATGATGAGGGATACATGCTGTCACCATCCGAGCTGTACAAGGCATCAATGAGACCTCCGGCCTACAGCGGTGGCAATCTGCAAGAACCTCTGCTGGGTCCGGACGAGCTAATTTCTGAACGAGATGGACGAAGGACGACGGTGCCTACGAGGTTACATTTGTATCAGGGTCGTTTCGGCCATTGGGAGGGTGATGCTTTGCGGAAATACAAAGGTTTGTTCCGTTTAACTGCGCTCAGATAATGTGTTGACATCACAGACTCTCCATTTCTGGCCTTGTGGCTGACAAGCCTTCTTGGATTGCTCATAGGTCTTTTCTTCGTATGGGGTTCTACAGATGTAAGTCATGTGCCTGTTCGTTTGCCTCTGACTGACAAAGATAGCCACCGCCAGATGCTCCAACCCGCCCAGCCCTGTCCATCATTCCCCTCCTCCCACTGCTCTTCGCTCTTCTCGTACCAACTCTGCTTGCACCGCCTGCATTCCTGCTGTTGCTCCGGAAGACCGTTCGACCCGTCCTGTTAGCAACCGCAGTGGCGATTCCCTTTTCCCTCTTCATCTGTGGTTGGTGGGCTTTGGCCGCCAGTTTCGAAAGTACAGGTCTTGACAGAGTCGGCTCAGGTGATCGATGGTGGGGGACCACCGGACTCCGGATAGGGGCTCTTTTGCTCTGGTTGCTGGCCGCGATGTTTGGAAGAATGGTATGGCTCCGTCGCAAACGTCTGGAGAGAGCTGCAGCTGTTGTGGAGGTGGGTCGCTATCCCTTCGAGGAAGCACTGCTTATCTCACTAGCTTTCAACACACCTGTTACTCACTCATACCCCTTTATTGCTTTTGACCCCTCTTCTTCTCAGTATCTTCGCTGTCCTTTCCATACCTTTCCTCACTATGCTCTTACGACTCGGCATGATCGGTTACTGGCGTCATCCGTAAGTCATCCTCCGTCTTCACTTCCTTGCTGACAATTTCAGACGTGAGAACACATGGGTCTTCCATATCCGCCCTTATGCCGGCTGGCTCATCTTTCTTGTGACCCTCATCTGGGTTTGGACATGGAGTGTCCTTCGAGGGATTGGTCGGGTAGCTGTGGCTGGTGTTGTTGGTGAATGGTACTTCCATCGGTGAGTCTTCACTTGTGCTCCTTTCTACTTATACTGATAAAACAGAGATGACCCTGGACACCCCTCTGCTGTGGACGTGACGACCGCTGCCGTACACCGTGCCACCGGTACTTCTCTCGGTAGCATCTGTCTCGGCTCCGGTATCGTCGCCATCGTTCGAGTGGTCGGAAGGTCCGCTGCGGAGCTTCGTCGCATCACCTCACCTCGCAATCCCCTTCCTGCCCCCGTGGCCTTCCTCTCGAAGCTTACACCCCTTTTCGCCGTCATCGCTAGTGTACTGGATCAACTGAACGGCTATGCTCTGGTATATGTCGGTTTAACAGGGGAGGCATTCTGGCCCAGTGCGAAGAGAGCGGTCAACTTAGCTGGCAGACGAAAGGGAGGAAGATTTCTAGATTGTGAGCTCACCAGTGACCCTTGGAGAATGTAGCTGACAGGCAGATACACTCATCAAACTTCTTCTCACCCTCAGTTCAACAGCCGTGGGATTGTTCACGGCCACGGCGGGCTACCTGTATATGACACACACCTTGGCCAATCCCGGATACGCTCCGTTTGCCGCTTTACTTTGTGGAGGAATCCCGTTCCTGGCTATTCGCGCAGGGGCTGCGGTTCTGGGTGACACGTGAGTAATCTCTCTCGAAAGTGGTGGATGTCATTGACGACAGTGCTGATGCGCTCTTCATCTGCCATCAAATCGACCGTGAGCTAGGCGGTGGGCATTGCCCAGAAGCAAAGAAAGCTGTAAGCCACCTGCCTCTCCCTGTTTGGGACGTTATCTGACGAATAGTTTGAAGGCGAACCTAGAGATGTCGAATCTGTGTAAGATCTCGAATCGTTTCGAAGTTCCGGCTACTATCAACTCTTGACCCATCCCATCTGTAAACCACACATTAGAATCTATTGACTTTTCTTTCTGTACTGACTCCGCTGTATCGTTGAACATGCATCAGGTACTCTACTGTATACTCACACTACCTAGGTGGTACTGTATACTCACACTACCTACATAGGTACATACGGAAAGTGGTGTTGACGTCATCTGACTGTGGACGTTGACTGGATCGAGGATCCGTGCGCCAACGGGGGCCTGTGCGTCTCAATTCCTCTTCTTCTTCTTCTTTTTCTTTCATCTCTTTCTCTTTCATCTCTTCTCTTTCATCTCTTTCTCTTTTATCTCTCCTCTCTCTTTTCATATCCCTTCCCCTCACATTATCCCTCGTTACTTATCCGACGACCACTCTAGGAACTTTCAGCTCCAACAAGATGCCGGCAACAGCGGTCAAATTCGTGAGTCTTCTTCCTCGTCTCTAACCTACAGTACAAGCACCGCGCGGCGACTACTCACTTCACTGATGTTGCACCTCAATACTCATGCGCTAACTCACCTTTTTATCTCGTCATCTCACCACGCTGATGTACTGACTTCGACACTGTAAACTTCTCACCTCACTGTATACTTCTCACCTCACCGTAAACTTCTCACCTCACTGACAACTCACTTTCTCTCACTGATCTGACCGATCCTATTCATGTAGATTACCTTGGGTGGTTACTCTTACACTTGGCAGCCATCTCTTTGCTGAATTTCCTGACGATCTTGCTAATATCATTTTCTGACCTTCTTGACCCGTGACGCTTGACAATGCTGATTGAAATGCTTTTGACTCTCTATATCACTTACACAACTGAAGTCTATACTGAATGCTAGTCACAAAGTCATCTCGCTTGATCGCTGAATTACAGAGACAACTCGACTCAACAACAACAGCAATTCGCTCTCGCTCCCGTGGACGTTCGGCCTCTGCGACAGATGCGGCTTCAACTTCGACTTCAATCGTAGAGACCACCTGTCAGAAAGTCCGAAATATCTTAGACATGACTATCGCGAATATCATTTGGAAACGGTGAGTACTCGGTGACAGTGATACAGAACACGAGCTAAGCAATTAGCAACATCTTCGACCACGAAAATCTTGAGGTCCACGAGCTACAACCTGAATCAGGTGATCACATGGCATCATCATTGAATGTTCGTCGACTCAAGAAGGATCATTCGTGAGTGATACTTGGTCATCACATCACTTGTCTGCACTTCCCTTTCCGCAGGTATGTTAGAGCCGCGGACTTCCAAAAGTATTTGTGGTCTTGAAGTACAAGCACTGGCTGACAGGGCAGTTCACACATCAATTGGATCCTCCAACTCTTGAACGGTGTTATGGAAGCGATAACACGAGGTTATCTTCGCACTCTCAACATTGTGGTCCTTCTTGATCCTAAAGACCCAAATAAGTGAAGCTTTCACCTCATATGTACACAACTCAGTCACATGTATGTGCCACTGACGTGCAGTATCATTGAGGCGTACCGGTTTGATTTCGTCTATTCAGCCCTAGGTGCTCCAGGTATTGCCTTTGGGGAATCAACTCCAACTTCCCCCGACGTATATCGTATGATGAGAGCTGTCCAACATACTCTCATCAATGCGTGTGATGAGCTTGATCCATTACCAGGTAGGTTCTCAATTCCTGGATGTTGAGCTCTCACCGCAGCTGACAATCACGATCAATCCTTCTTAGATTTCCGCCTCACATACTATGGTCACACCCCAACCACGTACGAACCGCCCAACTTTCAACTTTTCCGTGGTGATGTCTGGTTTGGAACTCGAGATGCCAATCAGCAACCGTATGAGAGAATTGCTGGTTCGACATTTTCTCATCCGCTCTTGTAACTTTCCACTCAATTTTCTCATAGTAAGTCTGCTGACAACCAGACATAAAATCAATGTCCGTTTGACTTCCATTGCCAATCTTCTCCCCAGGGAATCCCACCCAACGGACTACCCAGGAGACATATCTGCGTCATGGAGAAGATCTGGCAGAGAGAAGGACGCTCAGGAAAGGAACATTGCCTGGGTATGTCACTCTTAACAAACGCATCATAGTTGACAATAAAGGTCTCAAATAGCGATGCTTCCATCCAACAAGCGGGCCAGATGATCAACGGACAGCTTGTGGAATTGGCAGGGCAACACTCGCCTTTTCATTCTCACCTTCCGGGAATTATTGTGGAAGGAGTCGTTCGCTTTTGTGCGAAGAACAGTCAGCAATTGGGTACAGTAAGCCATCACAGCCGTCGGTAGCATCTGGTTACTGACACGCAGAACGACGCCGATGAAACAATGTCATTAGACAGGTCCGGAGAAACCGTAACTTTGGTCGGACACCAATATGAGTCAGTTACACCAGATGACCCAGGTAAGTCAGCTTGGTGCAAGATGGCGATTCTGACGCTTGAAGATGTCTATAATTGTAACCTTCATATTCAAGCCCTTGGCTTGTCCACACAATCACATTCTCCTCAAGCTCCTGTCGACGATCATGAGACCTCCAGCGACGGCGAGGAAACGACACAGAGCAACGACAACTTCCGGACCATTCCCACCTCCAAACGTAAGCAATCAGCAACATGTCGGAAACAAGCTCGGTCGAGCAAAACACGCAAGCGATCGGTTAAACCACCAGCCTCAAAGCGTAAACCCAAAGGTCGAGTGCAGCGCGAAAATTCCAAGGAAAAAAGGTCTGCAGTCCAATCCAAGAACGATCTCGAGAAGAAAGAGAAAGCAAAGTGTCCTTGCAAGAGGCAATGCGGGGAAACCAAAATACAATGTGCTCTGTGTTGTCAATGGGTACATGGAACGTGCGCTGGGTCAATTGGTTTCTCCTCCTGAATGTTGGTGGGTACAGATGACTGATCAAGCAGCTTGTCACGGCCGTCGAACAACTATTTCTTAATAGACCGACGGTCGACGAACCTCGGCTAACTTCACGCTCTGAGTCGATGTCTCACCCAACCAGGAGGGCGCAGACGTCGAAAGGGGTGTAACTACGGCGTACTTCGGCGTAGTTACTCTAACTAGGGTTTTGTTCTACTGATGGCGATGTATCTTGATTTATAGCTATCTCTATCTGTCTTTCACTACTGACAACAATCAAGGATCGCTGAAGAACTTCAGCGATCTTCTCAGCTAATATTATCTACTCCTCCTAGACGTTCATCCAACCCTCTCGCGCTTTGACGTACTTCAACGCACTTCGTCCAACTTCCCCGAGCCCTCGGCCATCCTCTTCCTCCTTCGACTAACTCCGCCTAACATCGCCGCACTTCTGCTCCCATTGTCCCTACTTAGCCTAACTCCGTCTAACTTCGCCGTACTTCTGCTCCCATTGTCCCTACTTAGCCTAACTCCGTCTAACTTCGCCGTACTTCTGCTCCCATTGTTCCTACTTAGCCTAACTCCGTCTAACTTCGCCGTACTTGGTGTCAGAAGTCCTGAGTTACGTGTAGAGTAAAGAGGTTAAGGCGTGATGGGGTTTTGATGGCCAAAGGAGGGTCATTGTTGGTGGAGTAATCGAGGTGTCGCGACGTAGTTCGTGACACAGCTATATGGACGATGCAATTGAAGATGCACCCGAGCGTTTCAAATGTCTGTTTTGTCGAATCAAGCAGCAGAGGGTGTATGATGAAGATGTCAAAATCAAAGCTAGTGTTAGGTTGCTGTACCTCTATCGGTCAGTTCTTTCCCTATTTCCTAATTCTATAATTGGCTGATGATCAGACAAGTAGTTGCCACAGCAAGACGTAATTGCAAGTTTCCAGAGTCTGAAGAGATGATGGGTTCATACGGTGAGACTTGACATACGTACCAAATGTCATTGATGAAAGGTTGCTCCGATATCGAGATAGCAGCATTGCATTCTTGGATGTTGAGAGATGGTGGGTCAGATACCAACTACAAGACATACAGACTCACAATCAGGTTTCATCGACTCCAAAGCAACGGCATCAAGTGGGCAAGGGTACATGAAAAACAAGCTGTCACATCTGTCATTTGCCAAATTAATGAGTCCTGGAGGTCCGGTGGAACAGCAGGAATTCGCCATACCACCATGGAGTGTGAGTCCGTAAGCTGAGAACCAGTTCCACAAAGCTGATTGATAGGGCTTCAGGGAAGGGTGATTCAGTCTGCTCTTGCTTGCTTTGTGAGTCACTAACACTTCAGATCGGAAATGCAGCAACATCTCGACTCGTATTTGAGCAAACATACGACGGAATCCAGTCCAGCTGGATTGTTTTCTTCATCGTCTGTTTATTCTTTGTCTGCGTCAAGGAGATTTCAACATGGTGAGTGATCCTCATTGCCCTTCGACGCAATGCTGATGAAGAAGAACCGGTCAATCAGCTGCACGGAGTTTCATCGGACACACCACAAGGGCAGCTTTCTCTGGCCACACTTCCAAGCCAAAGTCAGTGGTCCGGATCCGCACAGTTGGTTGAGTTACCTTCCGAGAAAACCAGTCGATCAATCAGCTTTCAAGGTGTAGTCGAAGACAGCGCAACTTGTCAATTATTGTAGCGTGTGCTGGCAGGAGAAGGACGCCAAATGCTCCATGCCTTATTTTGGGGTAAAAAAGCATAATCAGCCTAGTTGGTAACATTTGCATAGGTAATGTATCATATGTATAACATAACATAACATTCGATCGATACTACTGGCACACAACATGACGGGTCATACATATCTCCGACTCTCATTCGATTCACCGTTTCGTATCCGTCGTATCCGTCGTAACCGTCTCCTCTCTTCTTACTATCCAGCTCCGCTCGAATCCCCAAAACCCTATCATCCTTTTCAGTCATCCATTTTACCGTGATCCATAATCCAGACAATAAAGACATTTTACCTTGATCTATTGATGTCCTCCTCTTCATACTGATCCCATGACTTCTCATATAAAGATCGCTTCGTCCATCTCAATTCCTCTTTTCCCTTTCCCTCTTCTCAACATATCCAAAAGCCCACTCACCCGAGGTCACCCTACTCAGATAGATCAACACACTTTCCATCCATCTCTTCCTTCAAACAGGTGTCTTCTTCGGACTCGCATCAAGCGAGAGCGAATACCTGATGGGTGAAGTGGGAGGTGGTATAGAACCCGGACTTCCTAAAGCTCTCATATTCGAAGGTGAATTCCGTAAATCTCTTAATCTCGCTAAACAACCTCCAATCTCCCACATTGGAGTACTCATGATTTCACTAACGCTACTCGGTCCAGATCCAGGACTTCTGACAATCATAGGAGTCGCAAATGGCTTCGGCGTTCTTAATGACCTTCCAGGAGTAACACCAGTTGCTGCTGATGATCTTGATACAGGAGTTTTAGGAAAACCTATCGATTGTGTCGTTTGTGAATCTTCTTCAAATTGCATTGAGACCACTCTTTTTTTCGATTGACCTTGAGGTTGCAAATCGAAAGCATCTTCTAACATTGGTTTATTGTTCATCGTCATGGCGTCGTCTAATGTCCAAGCGTGTGATAAAGAAGATGGAAGAGTCGGATTTCTAGTGACTGTAAGTGGCATAGGTGAGGAACCAGGTGAAGAAGCGGTATTGATTAAAGCTGGTGTTTTGAATGCAGAACTTGGGAAATGTGATTTTAATAATGATTGTTTATCTCTTTCGGGGGTTACGAAATTATCATCTATGGTTTCTTGTGGAATAGGTAATCTTTGACTTAATGGTTCTCTCATAGAAGTAGAAGGTTTAGTCGAATGGAAAAGATCTTCATGTTCTAATATTGAATCCATTATTGATTGAGGACGTTTATCACCGATGATTGATGAGGTTGACATTGACGATAAAGCTCTTTCAAGTCGAGAAGGAACCATCATTCCGTTCTTTGCTAAAGCTTCTTCTCGAGTTATCTCGGATAAAACGGCATAAGATTCTTCGTCCAGCATGTCTTCAGGTAAGAATTCTCCTTCATCTTCCAAGTCTGATAAAGAGAATGGGAAGAGATGATCGGGATGATCTTGATAATCAGGATGAGGTGGAAGATGAGGATGAGAGAGTGAATCCGATGAATGAGAACGAGACATGGAAGGGAAACGAAATTCGTGTAATTGTTGAGAAAGAGGTGGGGGATGCATGTGATGTTGAGGATAACTAGGATGTCGAGATAATTGTGTGACATGTGTATCGCTCATCGCTGATGTGGAACGCATCATTTCCATACTAAACCCAGGTAGAGATTGGGATTGAGACATGTATTGAGGTTGAGGTTGATGATCTTCTTCTCTTCCAGCAGACGCATTAACCGCTTTACGTCCTTTCTTTCCCTTCTTAGGAACATATTCAACTCCATCCGCAGCTGCCTTGGCCATGGCCTCAGCTTCCTTCCTCTGCTCATGTAATGTTTGAAGACAATTAGCATGATGAGGATGATTGGAAGGGAAGTTCTTGATGAATTTATTCTCTTCGGGCCAATGACATTTTTCATCCTCTTCAATCACCCAAATCCCTCCTTTACCCGGCGGATGTCTCTCTGTTCGAGGTATCGTCTTGAACATCTTATGAATGGAAAGATTATGTCGAACGGAATTTCGCCAAGCTCCATCTCCCGTCTGGAAGTATGGGAAGGCTGTTTCGACATATCGATAAATATGTTCGAGGGAAAGACCACCGGCTGACGATCGTAGAATCGCTTGTCCGATGATACAAGCGAAACTCGGAGTAGGACGGTCCATCGACTTCTCACCCTCTGGTATACCCTCCACGCCCGGATCCTCAGCGCAAGTCGTCGGCTTCGGTACGGTACGGTTCATGGTGGGCGGTGGTTTGGTAGCGAGACGTTGCGGACGCATACCGATAGGAGGAGCTGGTTTAGGTACTGATGGGCCAGGAGCGGTGTCACGAAGAGACAGACGTTTCGCACCGTTCATGGACAGATTTGGACGCGTCGGTGAATCCGTTCCGTCTTCACTCATTTCACTCCTCCTCCTTTTCAAACCGGTCTCATATAGACCACCTGAAGACATATCGGTGGTAATCGCAGTATCCGCTGTGGAAGATGTGGCCGAAGAGAGAATATGAGATTCGTAATTGTTCTTGTGATCGGGAGTAATCATGACATTGTGATGAACGAATCGTATCGGTTGTTGAGGTGGAGGACCTAAAGCACGCATGGGAGATATACCTTGAGCAACAGGGGCGATCGAAAGAGTGCGAGAAGAATCTCTGAAAACCTGATTCAATAATCAGCAGTCTTTCACATGTTTGTCACCTGACGATCATGAAATAAACTCACAAGATCGGCACCCTCAGCATGTGGGTTGGAGCGGGTGAAACGGTCAGGATGTGAAAAATTCCCATTGTTGATTCCATTGGGATGTCCCATCATCCCGAATGCGCTATGTGCGCGCCGCATAGGAGACGGAGGAGCTGCGAACACATCTCCCTGGATGACATGAGGGGAAGCAGAGCGGCCAGGGATGGGACCAACGGAACCTTGATGAGACGTATATCGGTTCAACATCGGTTTCTGTGGTGGGAGTTGTAAACTTTGGGAATGCACCAGGGGTGGACGTTCCGAGTGAACCGTTCTGAACGAGGTTGAAGATGTAGGAATCGTCGCTGGAGTTTGCCATTGCTCATCTCCGAAATCAAACTCTTCCATACCTTCCGTTCCTAAAGATTCGTCGATCACAAATTCTCCATCGTCTTCTTCGTCCGTTTGCGAATACATCATACTGCTGTTGGCCGTCATGGGTCGATTGGAAGACTCGGAAAAACCAACATTGAAAACGTTAGTTTGATAGCCGGGGAAGGGAAGTGCCATTCGGCCTTTGGCGAATTCGTGTGGAGAAGCGTTATCGCCGGCAAACTGAAGAGCAGGATCGATGTCGGGGTGATGGTTGTACATATTTGTCTGATGTGGGGTAGGGGAAGAAGTGGATGCTCGACTATGTCTGATGGATCAACTGGAAGACTTCAATAATCTGGTCTTGAGGATCACTCACTTCTCGCCGGTCATGTCCAATCTCTCGTAGGCTTGACCTTATCTCAGGTTTCTCGAATTATGTGATCTGTTACGCGATGAAAGAGTAAATGGCCACCCGACCTGCAGGCGATGATGGTAAAGAATAAGCAACTTGTGAAAGATCGGAACGATGGAAGGAGATGAACTGAAGAAGAGAGAGGCGCGTGGCGGGTCTTTAAAAGAAGAATATAGGCTGGTACTAGAGTGAATTGTAATGAACTGGCACGCGTCAGTGATGAAATTTACCACCCATTGGGTCATGTCGATCGGACTCACGGCAGAGAGCTCTGCTCTTCAATTTAACGATTCGTCCAATCCGGCCAGTATCGTCTATGGATCGAGTGAGTATGACAATTGATAGAGACGAGTTAAATTGACAGAAGTACGTGAGAAAAGAATCGCAAGTGGAAAGAAGGGAAGAAAGTGGAAAAGGGACGATCAGCCGTCAGCTGCCAATCTGCCACTTGAGAGCAAATGCAGCCAAAATCGACGCGACTGCCCTTTTTCACTTTGATCACTTTTTTCCCCGACTGAAAATTACCCTTTTGGGTGGTCCACTTCCTATTTCTGACGCGTCCCTGGGCTAAGCCCCCCAGTCAAAAACGAGGTTAGGTTTCTGGCTGCTTGACACACGACTCACTCTGTTTGGGTCTTGGGGTACACCTTGTGTATGGGGATGCCGTCATTGGGTCATTGATCATCGGAAACACGGAGACACTAAGCGGATGAACGGCATACATCCACCGCATCCTCCTCTAGCTCCTCTTTGACGCGACAGAAAACTCAGTGCTTCTCGATCGCCATGACGACATGCATAGAACATTTTCACAATGCACGGACCATGATCCATGAGAAGCTTGCCGCAATTTTCTAACTTTTCATGCTGACGCGAGAAACGCCGAAAACGCCGAAAAATCGCACCTCCACCCAAATGGTCCATGCCCGAAATTCCATGGGCCTCCTGCTCGTCACTCCTTCAAGCCTTCGAGACACTGGTACATGGTACATAGTACACTGGTACACCGGACACCACTGCATATGTCGAATGCTGTTCCACATCACGACTACTATCAGCTGAAGAACTGTCAGACGTATCCTCCTTCTCCCGTCTGCGACCCATCAACATGTCATTTTCTTCCGATCACCGAATAGTAAACCCTCCGCCCAGATGACATGTGCGGTCTCACTTTATCTTTACGATTCGTCGGCGATCCCGATCATACCCCTCCGCACTCAGAAATCGACTCGCTCATCACCACCAACTCTCGCCGTGGACCGGATTCCTCTGCGATATTCAGAAAAGTATTCACGACTTGTGAAGGGTGTCATGTCGAGCTTGTGCTGGCCGCCAGCGTCCTAGGCCTTCGTGGAGACGGTATAACTTCTCAGCCTATAATCAGTGAACGTGGCGTGCTAGGATGGAACGGACAAGTGTTTGACGGATTGCAAGTGAATCCTGGGGAGAATGATACTCGAAAGATATTTGATAAACTCGAAGGGGGAGAAAATCCCTGGGACATATTGGATAAGATTGAAGGTCCCTATGCTTTCATCTATCTCAACGTCGGTTTTTGTCTGGTCTGCTTAGGTTGTGTTGATGTCAGCTCGAAACTTCAACCCTGTACTTTGCCGTGGACCCTCTCTCACGTCGATCCCTTTTGGTTCATCCATCCATAGAGAACCTCATAGATCCCGTCCGGCTGTTGGTGTTATCCTCAACCCGCAGCTCGGTGGTACGAGAAGCAGGATGGTCTATGCAGGAATTAAATGGAGAGACCAGAGTGAGCATACGACTTTTAGATATACAAATGGCGAAAGATGAGCAGGGAAGGAAAGTGAGTTCACTGCTCTGCTCGCTTACTATTTCGCTGATATTCAAGGCGATGGAGTTTAACGGCCAACTCCAGGCGATGAGCTTTCCTTCAAGCTTCAATGGACTATCCGTAAGTCTTTTGACTTTCTTTCGGCCCCGCATCCATATGTAATATTCAAAGCTGACAAGAAGGACCGCTTCGGTAGAATCAATGATGCCATTCCCGACTCTAATTCAACAACCCCGACAATAGATGATATCCATCTATTCATACAAAATCTCACTGAGTCCATCCGCAAAAGGACCGAAAATATCCCTGTACAATCACCTGGGTAAGGCTGCCCTTGTTTCAAGTTTCTTCTTGAGCTCATTACCAGTGTCGCCAGGATAGCCGTTCTTTTCTCCGGCGGCGTCGACTGTACACTCCTATGCGGTCTTCTTCATCGTGTCTTACCACCAGACGAACCTGTAGAGCTGGTCAATGTAGCTTTTGACAGACCTGATCTTCCGCCTTCTCTCAGGAAGAAAGACCTGGTCAGACAACTGGAGCAGAGACAAAAGGAGAAGAGTGAAAAGTGGCTTGTACCTGATAGATTGTCTGGTATCGAGGCTTTACAAGAACTGGGCACGGTTTGCCCTAGGGAATGGCGATTCGTGGAGGTCAACGTTACATACGATGTCAGTCCCAAATTTTTGTCTCTACCCACAATAGTCATTCTCGTCGTATATGATGATCATGATGATAGTAGTGGGCCAAGACGAAGCTGATTGATTAGGAATGTCAGATTCACCGGCAAGAAGTGTTAGATCTTATGTATCCTTCCAAAAAGGGTGAGTTGCTCTCCCCCCCCCCTTTTCTGCCCCTTATCATCGAATTTCTCACTTCAGACTCATAAGTCAGATATTGATATGCAGAAATGGATCTCTCCTTGGCCTACCCATTATTCTTTGCTTCTCGCGGACAAGGCGAGATATCCGGACATGATGGGAAAGAACCGTACCAAGTTCAAGCCAAAGTGTATTTCTCCGGTCTTGGAGCGGACGAGTCAGTAATTATTCTTCTCCCCACGCTATTGCCATTGGCATCACAGATGAAGTCAAAGGTATGACAATGAACTGATCTTCAGACAATTGGGTGGATATTCACGTCATCGTAGAGCGTATGAGAGATCGAGTTGGAAAGGTCTCATAGAAGAGGTATGTTTTCAAACATACAAGATTTCTCCATCCTTCTCCTTGTGTCCTGTCAACCGAAATGCCCATCTTCCTCTTTAGAGTGTCCACACACGTAGTAAATATCATGTATGAATAAGACTGCTTACTCACTTCAGATCCAAAACGACGTTTGGCGTCTCCCTTCACGTAATTTAGCAAGGGATGATCGACTCATTTCTTCTTTCGCACGAGATGCAAGATATCCATATCTCGACTTGAAATTCCTTTCTTATCTCTCCTCTCTCCCCATATGGCTAAAATGTCAACTTTCCTCTGACCCAGCACACGTTCCTGGAAAAGGAGATAAGATGCTCTTACGTCTTGCCGCTGCTCAAATAGGGTTGGAGAAGACATCTCAAAGAGTTAAACGAGCTATGCAATTTGGTTCTAGAAGTAGTAAGATGGGTTCTGGTATAAAAGGTCCAAAAGCTGGAGAATATGAACTTGATATGGGTTAGACCGAGGTCATTCGGAGTGAATTTGGATTGGGATCATCTGATTATTATTTTTTGGATTTGGTCATGTGGTCTTTGGGAGGATCGAAGAGGAGCATGGGTTTAACGATAAATTGTTGAAGCGTACATATTCGTGTATTTTTGTCTCAAATTAGAGTTTGACAGATCAGGATTAGAAGGTAAAGTGCCAACAGATTGGTAGGTAGAGTGTCACGAAGATTGAAAATAGCAAAAAGATGACATTTAATGATATGAAATACGTAATGACAACATATTGAAATCTATCAAACAATGCTATCTTTCTCCTCGATGTCTTTTTCATCCCTCGTGACTCCATCATCAAACCATTGATCGTTTTACCGTACTGACTCGTGAAGATTGGCTTAGCGAATTCTCACCAAACTTCTTCCTTATCAAACCTATCCAATTGACTAACACTCGCAGCTACCTCTTTTTGTCGAGCGGTACGTCTATAATATATAGGACAATCGGCAGATGTACAAATAACATCTTGATGTAAAGATCCTTGACATCTTTGACATTGTGTCCATAATCTTGCGAAATCAATTTGTAACGTGGAGGTTTGTGCGACCTAGAGATATCAACATAAACCCATGTGTCCAATAGAAAGAAGGGGGGATAGTAACGATATGACTTACTTGTTTGGCATATAATTCGGGTAATTTAGATCGACAATTGATACATACCGCGCTTTCTTTTGTGTCAACTTCTCATATTCCCTGATTCAAATGCATTTTGTCCAGATACCATCCATCCATACATCCTCATGTTTTCTCCTCTCTGACTGAGTACCATACTTTGTAACTGAAGAGCCCTGAAATCGACGGAGAGTAAGAGACACATCATCAAGAGGGATCATCAGGGAAATGAATAAACTAGAATGAGAAAGAAACACAAAAACTCACCTTTATTACTCCTCAAAGGTGTCTTACACCCTAGACATGTGACCGTCTTCACTGCAAACTTCATCAATCCTCCAACTGTCGGAGTAGCAATTTGAATAGTCCTCGTATGTTCTCCAGATACTATAACGTCAGCTTGGATCAATCGACCGCGCGAACAAAACTGACATAAAGTATTCGCTTTCTCCCCTAAGATAGGTTCAAAGATTCTCATCAAAGGTTTACTTAATTGATTTTCTAAATAATATCTTGTGTCTATCGGTACATTATGTTCTAGAACATAAAGAGGATCTTCTGATTTTTCATAGGCTGCAGCTCCTTTGATACCTTTGATAATCACGTAGGCTACTCGATCTCCTAATGCTGGGGCAGAACCTGCACATGAGTATTTTCCCACATCGGTAGGACAAGGAGAGAGGACTGACCGGCATCACGCTTCTTCATCCTTTCTGCTAGCTCTACATGTGCTTGTTTTGCCGCGTAGTCTGTTCATCAGGACCCAGTTCATCGACCTTTAGACTGACAGCCCTCATGAAGAATTGAGGTGAATGAAGTAAGGGGGGCTCTCACCAGCTTTAGCCAGAGCTTTGGTGATGACCAGTTGCGACATGTCGATTTTATTTTGTAACAAATCCGAAATAGTTGATTTCACATAACTACACCAGTCAGCTCAGTCACGAATAATGTAGGGTAATCAAGTAGACTCACTCCTCCGCGCCTTTCACATCACGGTCTATAAGCATTTTGAAAAGACATGTCTCTATGACTGTCGACACTAATCGACAATTGTCCCTTCTCACGGTCTTCCGCTTTAGTACGTTCACCAACTTGAGAGACGATTCAGACTCACCTCTATCCCCTTCGTATCCATCTTATCGTACTTCTCCGTCTTTGTCCAGTACAGACCCGCATATCTCTTTTTGCTGATCAACAAGTATGGAAAATACACCTTTTCGAATTCCAGTTTGATAGGCTTTATGAATTTGGCGGAGACTAGCTCCGCCGCTTCAGCCCCCAGACGCATAGCGGTTGCTAAGTCAGGGGTACCAAAACGAACCATGACGGAATCAGTGTCACCGTATATCACCTTGGCATCATTCTCATACCCATTTGCGACGCAAAACTCCGCCTCCACTTGCTGTTTGGTGAATTCTATCATTTGTCGACCGAAGGCTGTGACGGAAGATGAAATGGCAAGACAAGGCAGTTTTCCCACTGTTGCACCGGTGAAACCATACACTGAATTGGCTGAGATCTCTCTTGTCAGCTCGGGATCATACCAAGTAGGGAGGAGGCTCACCTTCAGGGCCAATTGTCGACCATCAAGGACAGCACGTCGAAAAGGATCTTTCTCGACTTTGAGATCTTGTTTGGCCCGTTTTCGAGCGTCTAAAAGATTTCGTAGTACTGTCGGCAATAGCCCTTTTCGTCGTTTGGTCGTCGCAAAATAATCTATGTCGTCAACCCAGCATTGCGTTGCCAGATTCCGTAAAACTCACCATTATTGGGCGTATGCACGTAGTCTTCTCCCTCTACCAGCTTCAATCTTTCAATCGTGCCCTTGTCCAGCAGTGTCGTGTAACACAGGTTATGCGCCATCATGATCGATGGATATAGTGAGGCAAAATCCAAAGTGGCAATGGGAACATCGTAATACCCTTTCGTGGGCTCGATGACGGTCGCTCCTTCGTACTGTTCGTCGGATCCTTCGCTCTTCATAGCCGGGATGATGTATCCAGAGTCCGCGGAGGCACGGAACAGCTGTGAAATGACTTTGATCTGTTGCCCTCGAGTGAGAAGGTAATTGAAAGGCACACCGGTTACACGAGCCATTTCGGTGTAATTAACGAATGACATCAGTTTGTCGAGCAGCCTTTGAGGAAGATAAGCGTCCTACAAGTGAGCTCGAGTTTGCGAGAGATGTATGCAATTCACCTTGAGACAGTAAACCGCCAGCCGACGGCGTGAGTCGGCTGTACCATTCTGCAGTTCAGTGATGATGGAGTGGTGTACGTCTTCCTTTTGCTCTCCTAGAAATTGTGCACACACGGCGTTGAGCGTGTATGACCGTAATTTGTAATCTCTCTGCATCACTTGGAGCATATCGAGTTGTAGCCGGCCTTCCATATTGACAGCTTTTGAGTCTCTTTGACCATATGCTTTTGACGAAAAATGTGTCTCCTTGACCTCAGTCTTCTGACCTGTTTGCTTCAGCTACATCTTCTTGAGTCATGCAGGACACGCACCCTTAAGCCGGCTGAGGAACGGGAACTCTTGTGCTTTCAATGCCTTGGCCCGATCCAGCAAGTATGGCAAGTCGAAATTGGCGATGTTGTAACCAATGACCATGTCAGGATCCACCTCCTGCACAAACTTGCGCCACTCTATCAATAATTGCTTTTCGTCCTTGAACTCCAACACCTGCGACCCGACGATATGGGCACACGTATTGAGGGTGAATACATTTCGGACGAAAGGCTTGCTCTCTCCTACGTGATCAGCTTTGTTACACCAGGCGTAATGAGTCTGACCTTGACGCGTTACCATCGCCGCTATTTGAATGACCGGATCTATGTGCGCCTCTGGGAAGATACCCTTCCGACCGGCGCACTCGATATCAAAGCTCATGATTCGTAAGGGCGCGATCTTCAACCATTCGCCTTCTGGTGCGTGGGATATGAGGTCTTTGTACCTATTTGTCAACCACCTCATGGTACACATGCTCAACACTTACTCCGCCATGACCTCAATTTGGCACAATGACCGCTTTTCAGAGCCTTCAAGAACCTCATATTTCCCTCCTGGTAATTCCACCCAATTCATTCCCACCACCTGGTCTTTGTCAGTCATTATAACACTCCTTCATGGATGTGCCCACCCCAGTATCAATCATGAAACGCATAGTGTAAGCGATGTTGCTTTCATACGTCATGATTTCCGGAGGGAACAGTCCATTGAAGTCGATCTGACCTCTCTCGAAAGCACCTTTCATGAGCATTTGGAAATAGCTACCAGACAGACCGCCCACCTTTGACTTTCGGCAAATTTTTGGGATCGGTGCATGTGATCTTGATGAAGGGTACCTGATCATCTCCTCGGTAGCCCCAAAGCGACTTCCGATTCACAACAATACAGCTATGGACAGCTGGACCTAGAGATGTCACAGTACTCTGTTTGTCAGCATCAATGTCTCTCGAGGTAAGGTCACTCACATTGATCATGTCTTTCAGCGGATCAAGGTCTTTGTTGAGAAAGCCGCTCGGGGCAGCGACGTAGAAGTACGGCTTGAAGCCGTGAATATGAGCCAGAACTGAATTCCCATTCTGGGTCACACCGAACAGGCGTAACGTCGGACCAAGCTTCGCTTCACTGGCTTCTTCAATTTCAATCTGCTGAAAGGCTGTACCGTCAATACACATATGTCAGGCCGGTAAAGGAGAGCTTACCAATGGAGTCAGTTTGTGGTCGTAATCGCGGTAGTGGCGGCCTTGGCCAAGCAGCGCTCGTCTCGATAGATTCTGCTCTGGTCAGCGGGTACGGGAAAGTGAGATATTCTCAATCACCTCCACCCGCATCTTCCTCAGCTTCCAGCTGTTGTAGCACCGACGAGAAGCTCTCTTGCTTCTTCAAAGGGGCATGACCGTTCGTCTCAACCTTACGCTTCTTACTCGATGGCTCGACCATATCGACTGCGAGTGCGAGTGAGTGCGCTCTAAAGTAAGGTGAAGCTGAACTGGCCGCGCAAAGTTGGAAAAGTCAACCGGGGGTCGACGGACGCGACGACGCGCGGAAGCAAAAGCTGGTCACGTGGTTGTAAGCCGGCAATGGGCATAGCCGGAGGCTCGCGATCATCAAAGCAGCCCCGATCCCATTTTTCCTTTCTCTAAAACTTGCTTGATCTCTTGCATATCCCTCATTTTTCACACCCCACCTCGCTCGTTATGTCTAGACATTTATTGGGACCGTTTGGTCGGTCGGGCAGCCTTCGTGCTCTCCGCTTTCCTTCTACTCGTTCATATGCCACCCCAACAGCTTCTTCGTCAGGCCGTGAGTAATAGTTGATCGGGGATCGTCCAACGCTCATGTCCAGCCGTGAATTTCGGTCTTGACGAGGATCAAAGGGGAATACAAGGTAAGAGCCTGGATCTCTTTGGTAGAGTTCTATATGTCACAAGCTGATGATAAGAGCTTGCCATGCGGTTCAGCCGAGAGTCAATTATCCCCGTGGCGGCAGAGTACGACCGATCTATGGTGAGTTCATATGGCCAATCATCTGGCTTTCGTTGACCGGCAGAAATACCCATGGCCTTTGTTGAAGGAGGCTCATTCGTTGGGGCTTCTCAACACACATATACCGGAAGCCGTGAGTACTAGTGTCTGCTCAAATGCCAAGGACACTTATAGTCAGTATGGCGGCCCGGAGCTTGGATTACTCGAGTGTGCTCTTATATCCGAATCTCTTGCTTTCGGATGCAGTGGCATACAAACGGCTATGGAGGGTGAGTTATGATTTGGACGTAGGTGATGGCTGACTTCCGACAGCAAATGGTCTCGCCGAAGCTCCTCTGATCGTGGCAGCATCCCATGAAACCAAGATGAAATATCTGGGTCGGATGACAGAAGAACCTCTCATGGCCTCTTACTGTGTCACAGAGCCCACAGCGGGCTCTGACGTAGCCGGGATCAGAACCAAAGCTGAGAGGAAGGGTGATCAGTGGGTGCTGAATGGATCCAAGATGTGGATGTGAGCGTTCCGCCCGAACCCGAGTCTAGTGCTGATCGTATCAGTACTAATGCTGGTCATGCCAACTGGTTTGTGCGTCATTTCATGGTTGTGAGACTTGGATCTCATTTGACAGTTCGTTCTTGCCGTCACTGACCCCTCGGCCTCGCCATCGAGAGGCATGACAGGGTTCGTTGTGGATGGAGACACCGAGGGTATCATAGTGGGCAAGAAGGAAATCAACATGGGCCAACGGTGCTCTGACACTAGAATGGTTAGTTTTCAAGATGTGGTCGTGCCGTCCGAGAATGTGCTAGGATCTCCTGGAGACGGTTTCAAGAGTAAGCCTTTTCGCTTTCATTCTCGGTCAATGGGCTTATTAGCAGTTGCTATGAAGGCTTTTGACATCACTCGACCTCTTGTGGCGGCCGCAGCGACTGGCTTGGCTCAGCGCGCATTGGAAGAGGCCACCAAGTATGCTCAAGAACGGAAGGTGCGTCCACGTCGTCGGTTTGACACGAGACTGATTGACGCAGACCATGGGTCAACCTATCATCAATCATCAAGGGGTTGCTTTCATGCTGGCCGATATGGCCATCAACGCTGAGGCTGCTCGTGGTCTCGTCTGGCGATCGGCATGGGCAAAAGACAGTGGCGAACGTAATAGTGAGCGCCCTGTCCGTCTCTTGCTAATCGAAACTCACAGAAAGCTTTCTATGCTTCCATGGCCAAGGCCCTGGCTAGCAAGGCTGCCGTAGAGAACTCCAATCTGGGTGTGCAAGGTAGGTCCATTAAAATTCACGGGCCAGGAGCTGATCTTCAGTCTTTGGCGGTATTGGGTTCAACACTGAAATGTGCGCTTGTTACGTTGTCCCAGACACGTGAAAACTGACATCCTAGGCCCATGGAAAAATTGTACCGCGACGCGAAAATTTACGAGCTGTGTACGTTGTGTCAACTGCAAGGGGAAATGAGCTCATTCATCGCAGATGAAGGGACTTCACAAATTCAACGTCTTATCGTTTCACGACATCTAAGCTCTCTGTATCCGGCATAGCACATTTTTAGCTTCCCCCTCTTGCTGTATGTTGTACCGACTGGACCACCATCATGAAATGTAGCCTTTCCCGTTCGAGCTCCTTCGGACCGGTGTACTCCGTCTCACGGATCACCTCTTGCCCGATGGGTCTAACGGGTTCTGACTGACGCACATCTGACCCGTGAGATTCGAGATTCGATTGGAACTTAAAGCGGGCGCGACTGTCTCACTCGCTTCCTGGAACCCACCTTTCTCATCTCGCCGACGAATGACGTCTGAGTCGACCCTGATCAACGGCTCACAAGCGACGTCTGTTTTCAAGGACGTCGTCGATCAATAGCAGAAAAGCTTCTCACGTCCCAGGATCTCAAGCTTATTAAGCCTGCCTTCGACTGGTGAGATCTCGTCTTGACGGTCGCCATGGGCACCCCTTCTTACTGGGCAAAGGGACAGGGGTACCCAAAAACATCTTCGCGGCCGAACATGCCGGACAGCCTAATCCGCATCAATCATCGCGGACACGGACCGCCTCCACTTGTCGACCACGGGGTCCATGATTACCCATATAACCCCCGATACGCGAGACCACAGACACCGAGTAGCACAATGTCAACTTATTCTTTACATTCGAGTGTGGAAACGCGAGTGTGAGTCCAATTTCCGGCGCGACAGGTGTTCAGCTGACAGGTTAGATTTCGACGTGTGTGGACTTTTCTATCTCCTTGTGTTTCACAGCCAATCGGAAGAGAAGGACGACAGGACTGACGCATCAGAGGATCTCGGACGTCTGTATCAGGCTCATAACGGTACGTTTCACTATCCACGATGGTCGAATCCAGCTGACGCCCGTCGCAGATGACTATGTGGTGTGTTCAATCTATCCGAATTGAGACTTGCTGATCCATGTAGCTCCCAGCGGGTAGGTTCTGTGAGAGTAATAAGATTATTGCTGACATTATCAGACGAGCAAGAGCAAGAGGTACGTTCATCGAGCTTGACGTTGAAAACAACTGACGTGAACAGAGACTTGGCAAGTCCTATCTTTTTGGCTACGCTGACCTTAGACGCTCAGCATTACGGCTTCAAGGCTCGACAGGCAGGGAAGAATTACTGGGCTCCTTTTCCGGAAGTATTGCCAGATGGTGGACGTGGTAAGCGCATCCTGGATATTGGCACTGGTCAGCCTTACCCTCTTACTGACTTGACCTAGCTGATAAGTAGGTACCGGGGTTTGGTCAGGCTTTTCCCCTGTCATTTGGTCCGGACTAATAGATAGGGCTATTGAAATCGCGCAAGAATTTCCTAATGCAGAGGTGATTGTGAGTGCCTGGAGATTCATTATGATCAGAATAGGAATTGATGTCAGGGATTGGATTTGGCGCCTGTGCAGAAGGATCAAGATGTGCCATTCAATTGTCAATTCATCATTGAGGATGCTGCAAGGGGTATTCCCTTTCCTGACGGTTATTTTGATATCGTCCATGCTAGAGTTCTGATCGTTGGGGTGAGCTCTGTCATCTGATCTCTCCACGGTATGATTGAACGAGTAGATTGACTTTCGAAGAAGCTTACAAAGCAATGCTCACATCAGACATGGCCACAAGAATGATTCCCGCTCGATATGATGCTGATGACAGGTGCGGAATTGGAAGTCTCTCATAGACGATATGGTCCGCGTCACACGACCCGGGGGTCTGATTGTGTCGGTCGAGATGATCGGCAGATTCGTCATTGACGGATTGACGATTGAAGAACAACGTAGACTCGTTCCGGGAATCGTCAAGTGGTCTGATTATCTCTCTGCGTGAGTGATTGCCATTTTGTTTTGTCATTCCAGATGGCAATGTTCATCAAGCGCCCCAGCTCATGTTAGTGCGCTTGATAATCGAGGTCTCGACAGTTGTGCAGGTCGGGATACAGTACCGCGGATCATGCGGAATCATCCTCAGCTAGGAGATGTCGAGATAGCCTACTGTCCCATTCCTCTATGGCCCTGGTCCGATGGTAGGTCCCGCCTTCACCCTGTGACATTGACAATCATAAGCTGACGGATAGATCCTCATCTGAAGCACGCCGGGTAAGTCTGATGCTCAGGTTGTGATGGATGATGCTGATATGAGAAGCGAAGTCATGCTCGCCGATACGGTCCATTGTGCCGAAGTGAGTTTATGACTGTCTTTAGTGCATATCGTCGGGGCTGATATCGATCAGACGACCAGACTTTTGGTGGTAGATGGCTGTGGCATCCCTGGGAGCGTTTACGATCAAGTGCCGATTGACTTTCAAGCGGACATCGGCAAACCTGAGGCGCATTGCGTGAGTTCGCCCTCCTCTCTATGATCCCTGGTCGTGGGAAAATGCCTCGATCCATTTTCGCTCTCTTCCACATTTGCAATGGGGAACAGTCTGACTAGCAGGTACTCCCCGCTTGGCATAACTGGGCTTTCAAATTGTCCAACATGTAGTAATGTACAATATGTACCATCAGACATGTCTGATCAACCTTTCGCTTATTCTTACCGTAGAGTACCAGTACTCGGAATTGATGCATCACCTTTGCTGATTTATCATCTTCTCGTGCCCTCATCCATTCCCGATTGACGGGCGCCAAGTCTAACGCAAAGGATTTATTTACGCCCTCTGCCCCTCTCTCCTTCCGTCCTCGGTGAAGTCTCGGCTGGAATGTGAGACACGCGATTACTTCCTTTTTCCGGACGGGACCTCACCGTCTGTCCGATGACCGAAATGTACTAACTCTTTTGCAAGGTAACCATTTCGACATTAGGCGGGAAGGAAACGAACGCGGTCCAAGAACACCGACACGGGGGAGGTTAGAACATCAACTCCGATTGGGTGAGGGCGTTAGAGTAAAGTCGGCGTCGAAGGAACGTTCAAGCCACATAAAATCCTATCCAACCATTTTTTCCTCTTCTACTGGTATTATTCGCTCCATACGAGAAAACCATCTATCAAATCCGGACCATCTATCCTTTTCCCGAATAATCAGCATCGAATTAGAGGCGCACGGTTCATCACGATCAAGATCCTCGGAAACAGGTACGGGAAAAAAATGGCTTTTCATTCTGACGACGAAATGGATCTTGATGAACATGCCGAATGGGATTCTTTCCCCAATGTTGAAGCCGGACCTAGCCGGAGTGGAACGAGTGAGAATATGGTGCAAGCTTACCAAACCCAATACCCTTGGGAAGGAAGGGATTTTGATAATTTACAATCTTACGTTTACCCTCCACGTAGACCAACTACACCAAGTAGTAGTATCAGTGAATTTTCTTTACATTCAAGTGTGGAGATGAGAGTGTGAGTCTTGTAATTGTTCTTACCTCCTCTGTTCTCATCTCTCCCGAACAATCGTCTCCTTTTTTTCGCAAGGTGATGAGAGGGCAGGATGACGATACGATTGAGGAGGGGTAATGGGAGACGAATGAAGACTCTTTGCTGATAAAATAGCTTCCGAGGTGAGATAATTAGATTTGAAACGAATAATGCTGAGGAAGAAAGAAGATAACGGAAGGATATATCAAGCTAATAATGGTGCGTCTCTCTCACTGGTGATGACGAGGCTGACGAGAAAGATGATTATGTTGTATGTGTCTCTTTCATGTTCGATGGCAATTGACGAATAGCTTCCGGCAGGTAAGTGAGCGTACTGACCAGAGGTTGAAGCTTATCTACTCATTAGACCAAGCGGAGATGAACGTGAGTCTCCTTCCCATCATGGATGTACCAAGCGATCCTGTTTGATGCTAGGATCGTACCCGGCTGACTGCAGTAGAGATTAGGTTAGTCAGCTAGGTCGTCCGATCTGACTATAGAATACCAGCATTACGGTCTCAAAGCTAGACAAGGGGACAAGAATTATTTAGCACCTTTTCCAATGGTCTTACAAGGGGATGATAAGCGTTTGTTGGATATCGGGACGGGTGAGCAGCCATGTCTTCCCGGATGACTAGGGAGCTGATTGTGCAGGTACAGGCATTTGGTATGTAATAAGGAAACAATCATATGGAAGCTGAATGGAAAGGGCGATAGAAATGGCGTTAGAATTTCCTCATGTCGAGGTGTTGGTGAGTCTTTTCTTGCGCAACATGTAGGGGAGTCTGGGTAGACCATCTGATTGACGGACGATCATAATCATTGTCATGTTCTTGAAGAGGGAAAGACTGATCTTAGGGAATGGACTTGGCACCAGTACAAAGAACCGAAGGAGTTCCTGACAATTGTCATTTTCAAGTGGACGATGCGGCTTTAGGATTACCATTTTCGGACGGATACTTTGACGCAGTTCATGCTAGACTTGTTATCATAGGGGTGAGTTTTCCCATCAACTCTTCAGTACCTCTCCTCAGAATTCTTGTCGTTCTCCCTCATCTGAGAAGGGTTGTTCCAGAAATCTTGCTGATAAAGAAGATCCGAAATTGGAAATCCCTCATTCAAGAAGTTATCCGCGTCACTAAACCAGGCGGTCTTGTGGTTTTTGTCGAAATGGATGCTTTACTCACCATGGACGGTATACCAAGGGATGAACAACGAATTCGTGCTCCAGGGTTCACCAAGTTCTCTGATTATCTAGAACGGTCAGTCTATTTACTTCACATTCATATTACACGAGTACTGACATCGAAAGGGCTATTGGGACACGTGGACTGGATGTGATAGCAGGAGGTACAACCATACCGAGATTATTATCCCAGCAACCGATCCTGGGTCAAAATAGATGTTACGCTTCTCTTCCCATGTGGCCTTGGTCCAATGGTGAGTGGACCTATCAATACATCTTTCAGACGTTTGATCAAAAGCTGAGAAGCTGAACAACAGATCCTATATTGAGAAAGACAGGGTGAGTCAGTTCACTCGCTGATCGTCTGACGTATAGGGAAATCATTTACGGTGATTCGCTCGAGATTCCCGAGGTGAATCAATCGATTCATCGCCAGAATCAATACAGTAGCTGATTTTCAGACTTGCAGACTCATGAGTGTGGATGCTTGTGGATTATCCATGCAGGAATACGATAATCTTAAAGATGGCTTTTTGGGTGATCTTGGTAGACCAGGGGCCGAAATGGTACATACATGCCTTTCGATTCTCCGTGTGACAATATCTGATCGATAGACGATACCAATCTGGCATAATTGGGCTTTCAAGTCCTTGTAACGGTGGGAAAGATCCTTGTATGGCATCATGATGGATTATTGGATGTATCATTTTGTTATCCTTCTCCATTCCTGGTTTGCTTCAACTAACAAGCTACTGTATCAAGTGACCGCATGTGCCGGAATGATTTCAGAGGTCGGCACATAGAACCATCAGATCAAAGGGAAAGCCACATTGATCGTTTTGCGCCACATGCGCCATGCGCCATTTTGCCAATCTTCCCCTCCCTGATCCACTGTCAATCTATCACATGTCAATCATCACCTTGCTCCTTCCCGACCATCCAGACTCGCACGACATGTTCAACAAAAGTAACGCAGAAGCTTCGTCTTCCTCTTTACGGACGTACTCTCAGTACATACCCCCAAGACAAGAGTATAGACCTCCCTCACCACCGAATTCCAGTTCCATGTCAAGCTTCTCGATTCATAGCTCTATAGAGGACCAAGCGTAAGTATGAGCAGCTCCACAAACTTTACAGAATCCAGAAGCTGACAATTTAGATTCAGAAGTATGTGAGATCTTATCTTTAAACATCCTGATCTGACCAAGAAAGTGGATAACGGGAGAGTATATCAAGCTCAGAATGGTGAGCCTGGAGATTCAATCTAAAGGACAGCCGCTGACTCGGAGACGATTATATGGTGAGCTATAATCTCTGAGAAGTTTCAAATGAGACACTGTATGACCCTACCAGCTACCAGCGGGTAAGTAATCCGAATGTCACACATCGTTGATCGAATATACTCATTGCTCCTGTAGACGAAGATGAAAGAGAAGTGGGTCTTCCTTTAGCCACTTGCTATTGAATCAGTATGCTGACCATACTAGCGTCTTGGTAAGCGGACTTCCCCCTCCATATTCTCTCGTAAGGAGAGCTTGTGTTGACACAGCAGAGGGTCAACATTACGCCTTGAAGGTTAGGCAAGGAGGCAAGAATTATCTCGCTCCTTTCCAAGAGGTACTTCCGGAGGATGGACGAGATTGTAGGCTTTTAGACGTCGGGACGGGCACAGGGATATGGTATGTCGTAGCTGCATTTATGACTGTGTTGCATGTAGAGCTGACATTTAGGGCTCTGGAAATGGCATCAGAATTTCCAGAAGCAGAAGTCACCGTACGTTCCTTTAAGATTCAACACGAGCTCCGCGCTCCAAGCTAAGCTGATGCACAGGGCGTAGATCTCGCTCCAGTCCAAAGACCCGAAATCTTACCGAATAATCTGTCTTATTTGATGGACGACGTCAGTAAAGGAATACCCTTTCCAGACGGATATTTTGACGCTGTACATTCTAGACTTCTACTGGCTGGTGTGAGCGCCCTCATCTCTCTCTTACCATCCCGTGGCGTCAAATGAGGATCATCGTCGTGGATATGAGCACTCTTCAGATACGATTGCGAACAGACTTCGAACCTGACCTATCCGTTGAGAACTTTGCAGGATGAAAACGACAGGACTGATGAGCAGATCCGAAATTGGAAAAGCTTCATAAATGAGGTTATCCGAGTTGTCCGACCAGGTGGTCTGATCGTCTTCGTAGAGGATATTGGAAGATTCTGGGTGGATGATGTTTCTCCGGAAGAGTCCAGAAAGCGGGCTCCGGGTGTGAGCAAATGGTCCGACTATATCGAAATGTGAGAAATCCGCTGTCTTTCTACCTATCCCTTGCCATCTACGTATCGAAGGCCACGGAAAATCTACATGTTTAGTGCTGATAACAGGGCGTTGACCGAACGGGGTTTCGACAGTAATGCTGGTTCAAAAGCCATCCCAAAACTTATCGAAGAACACACACTACTGAGCGAACGACAAACTGTGTATACTTCTCTGCCTTTGTGGCCCTGGTCGACTGGTGAGTAGTTGTCACACATTCGCCCGAAGGCGATTAGTCATGATAGCTGATCTCAAGATCCTCTCCTCAAGAAAACTGGGTTCGTCCTTCTTCTCTGTCAGTGAAGGTGCTGATATTCAGAGAGTTGATGATACATGACACATTGTCCATGCCAGAGGTACGATCTGACGATATTCACGAGGAACGATGAGCTGATGATCAGACTGCTCGATTGTTGGTGGTGGACGGATGTTCAATCCCTAATCAAAGATACGACGAGCTCGTAGCTGATTATATGGCAGATATCGGTAGACCAGGAGCGAATGTTGTGAGTCATTCTCTGATAGTTGTCTCGACCATGGTTGACTCGAAGGTGTTACCTGTATGGCATCATTGGGCTCGGAAGAAGGTTGAGTGATATGCTATCTGTCTTTTAGTTTTGTCCGAGTATAGATTGTAGCTGCATAAGTGTTTCAATCATGCCTTGCTCCTCATCTCTGACGTAAGATTATGGTGGGGTGTCTTGGAGCTCTACCAGACGACCTCAAAGGCAGTGTCTACTACCGTGTCTTTCCGCCCCCCAAAAAAGCGGAGATGATCATGACATTGTCAACCTTCGGCGGTCAAGGCCTTTTGAGCAATCCGTGAATCTCTTTCCGCTCAATACTCATATGCATCCCAACAAGTAGCGACTACTTCACTAACCCATTCCGTAAGACAAAACCTCCTGCACCATGCTCCCAATGTCGGTCCGCGCGCTGACCGAAGGTCAATGTGGAGGATGTGTGGCAGTGTGGCACCTTTACAATCACTCTCTGATCGCCCAGCATACGGTCATCGGTATTGAAGAAGTATCACCCTCTGATCTTAAAGTAGATAGAAAACCAGTGATAAGTTTATCATAATCTTCCGTTGACATATCCAATCCGTCTTGAATAACATCTCGAAAAGTCTTTCCTTTAGTAACTAACCTCTCATATAATCACTCAACTCACCTCTGGTAATTCTTGAACACTTCCATATAATAAAGCACTAACATTAGTCATATTCGATCCAATCGAAACTCACCCTGACTCGTGAAGTCGTGGATCTGAAAGTCAATAAAAATCCATTCATCTGCGAAATTTCTACTCCCAATTAGTAATGAGTGAATGTACGATACGAGTGATGTCGAAGGAAAAGAGAGAAATACTTACCATCTGACCAATCCCAAAATGGAACCAAACACAATTTCTCTTCAACATGACTGAATGATCCACTTTCCTTTATCATTTCCTTGATCAATTCAGGAGCGTCCGGAGAACATCCCCTAGCTACTAGTGCTCTGAGGATAAGTATATCCGTAAGGTTGTACGGGATTATGACTATGAACTCACTTGCGTAACGCACGACACCAATCGGCCATACCGGAAGATAATGCAGATGGGTTTTTATTAGGTCCGGAAAGGAGCCAAACTTCTGGTGTACACTCAATTTCGTTTGTCACTAACATACCACCCGGTTTGAGAAGACGAGCGACTTCATGAACGTAGGTTTTCCAGTCTGACATCTTTGAGATGTCAATCATTATTATTCTTCAGGCTCCAGCATACCTGATTCTGATACCTTTCCGTATCTGACGGATTTCTCAACGAGTAGATTGGCATGATACACTGACTTGGGTTTTCGGAACGACCGTCACTCGCGCGCCGCAAAGGGAAGAAGGGTAGAGGTGAAGGGGTGATATGATATGTAAGGTCATATCATGGATTGAAGTGAAGTGTATCTTTAAAACTCACACCTGAGAACAAAAGTCGAGAATGAATCACATCAAAATGACCATCCGGAAAGTCCAGACCTTTGAGTACATCACCCAATATGAACTGAACATTTGAGGGAAGATTATCTTTGATTTGATCCTGAGCCAGATCTGCGCCCTTTGATCTTAACATTTTTCTCCATCGATTTCAACTACTGTATGACACTTACGATGACCTCGACCTTTGGATATTCTTTGGCGATTTCGATAACCCACAATCCGGTTCCTACAAGTCAGCATCGAATGACGAGATTTCATACTTACAGAGCCTGTCGGAACATCCTCGTCCTGTCTACGTCGAAAGATGGGAGAATGTCGATAACAGAGATGTCATCAAATGGAATGGTATCTTTGATAATGTAAGAAAGATAGTGGGGGTAAGGAAAGTATACTGACCTGTACCAATATCCAAGATACGTTGTATTTCACCTTCCGTTGACTTGTTCAATACTTTATCGATCGGTGCTAAATAATTACCTCCTTGTGCCTGAAATAAGTTAACTGTAGGAACAATCTTTCCGAAACTTACGACTTTGATTCCTGCGTGTTGAAGATTTAGTCTCTGAATTGATCAGTGAGATTTCGACATTGAATCGAAAAATGAACTCACTCGCCACTCGCGTTCGTCAGTTGGAAGCTATAAGTATGAGTAGTCATAATGATAATAATCGAAAATCATAAATCACCCTATATTTCACTTTTCGAATTAGTGAATCATAAACATAATGGTGGAGTACTTGTTTGAATGATGTAAACCCACGATTTTTCTCTTGATATTTCCTTCCACTTTCTTTCATATTCAGCGATTAGAACCTGATGAAACGAAAAAAAGAAACCATACCAGATGAATATCTAATTTCGTTAGCGCTGACTTCATCGGAATGAGAGACTTGCGACTCACCTCTTGTCCATGTCGACGGAAAATTATGAAAGCTTGTTTGGTTTTAGTCTACTAATAAAGTTTATTGGTGAAGGGTTAAAGGGAAGAAGGCTTTCAAAGAAGAAAATGGTTATACCCCGTCAACGCTTATATAGCCATCGCCGCCAAGCCGATTTCCACGGCCGTGGACCAGACCATTGTCGGCCGTAGCATCGACAGGATGTGCGGCATGCGTCTTGCGGATCAAACACAGTATCATCGACCAGATGGATGGTGCGTGGGGGAGAAACCATGCCTTTGACAAGGGAGATATGGAAATGGATTGATTCATATCACAACAATGGATTATACTGTACAAGTACGTACTTAACATTATCCAAGTTATAAAGATACCGTTCCCATTAGTGTTTCCTTCATTCCTGTACGTCGTTTTTGAGGAGTGACTCCTCGTCGACTGAATGAAGCTTCTTTCGAGCGGTGTTATGCCAGTAGTATGCACCCTGCCCGTCAGATTCTGCAGGGAAAAAGGAAACTACAAAACTTACAACGTGACAAGAGGGATTATGAACATCATCGATCCAACCTTTCTTCAGCTCTTCGAATTTGCTAGGGGATATTTCTGCCGCATCGAGGATAAGATGTCGCACGGCATCAGGAATCTCGATAGCATCCACCAACATGATCTTCCTTGATTGTCAGTCTTCTCGACACATACGAAGAAAGGATGCTCACCCTGAGGCTTTCATGTGGGGTTCTATCGGTCAGCTGGATTTTTAAATAGATCAGCATAGATCTCGCACGTCGAACAAGCTACCAATCGTTGATGATCGGGGGAGAGGGGGTGAAATCGGTAGACCTCACCATCGGACCACGGAGACAAAGGTATGAACATTCTCAATTGCTCAACATCCTCCAAAGTTCCATTCTGTCGGATATATTTGACGATGTTGGTCTTTGCTGCATCGACGTCCAAACCTCGTTTCTCGGTTGCCCTATGTGGTCAGTCTAGATAGAGGAATATCAACGGGACCCAACTTACATTGCCAGATAATCACAGAACTTCGAAAACCCAGGTGCAATCTTAATTTCTTCCTCTCTCGTCTTCTCATGTAAACTCCAGCGTCCTTCAACCTCTACAAACACTGCCATCCCACCCGGACGCAGAAGCCGTGCGACTTCATCCACCAAATCCTTCCAATTCCGTATACCCATATACAGCACCCGACAGTGAATCAAATCGAAATACTCGTCGGGATATGGGAGCCCTCGGACCGCGTCTTCATGGATGAACGTCAGATTGTCGGGGAGATCCGAGTCTGTTTGTATGGGGGCAAGATCGACGCCCTGGGGCGTGAGCGAGCTTTCGCAACAACGCACGAGGCTCTCAGAGCGGGCGTTTGAAGAGTCACCAGATGGGTTGGGGCTGGCGAAAAAAGAAGGCAGTATGGGGAGAGAACGAGATTGGACTAGAAAGCAGCCCGACTCACCACCCACTCGGCTTTGTCAAATTCCCTCGCCATCTCTATCACCCTCAAGGTCAACACACGACTCTCCCAAATCAACAAGTCTTACCATACACCAGTCCCACAGCCAACGTCTAAACCTCGTCTCCCCTCCCCTCGATTCTCCAACACCTTGTCCATGGGAACGACATAGTTTTTACCCTTTTGGAATAACTTGCAGCCATAATGCTGATGATCCAGCCTACTCATCTCCTTTTGATCGGCAGGTAGGACATAATCGTCGTTTTGGGCTTGGTAGAGTCGCCCTTCATCCTCTTAACATATCAGCGACCTACTATTCTTTCGAAGATGACGTACCTCGGAAACTAGTCCCGTCAGCCAGTATCGAAATCACGAAGAATCAGGTGACTCACGCTCGTCGCTCCATAGTGCTACTCCAAGATGCCATGGCTATTTCTCAGTGCCTTTACGTGACTAGTCTGGAGCAAAACACACCTGTCCGATGGGACGCTTTGGGGACGCATGATGATGATGAGTGATTGTCCAAGACTAGTTAGACTGGAAGCATTGGATTTTAAAAGTTTGTAAAGGAGGGTCAGGCTCTTCAGGGCATCGTCCGCTATGGTCGGTGATTGAAGCTTGTTGAAGTGTCGTAGACCATGTAGGGCGGAGAGGCGGGCGACTTCATGTTGTTGGACCCAGCGATTAGCGATTAGCGAATTCCTCAGTGGAAGTATGCAAAGTATAGTATACCGTTCACTGGAATCTGCAAGATTTGCATGCCCTTTTGGAATGAATGCGTCTGGGCGCAACGATCGGTCACCCAGACATAGGCATGCGATGAGATGCTACACCATGGATGGAGTAGGCTCGCGGAGTACTTATTCACCCGCCACGAAGCCCCGCACCTGGCTAAGGGTGAGTTAGTAGAGTTAGTACATAGAAGACAAAGGTCAGTAATGACATGATGCCAATCTATCCTTCACTCTCAATTAACTTTCATCTGCTTGTACATCACTCGTCCATCTCTTAAGTCCTGCTTCCCCATGTCCATCGGTCATCACTATCCTTCTACGCCACCGGTCAAATCACCACCTCGGGCAGCGTATCATCTTCATAACGCTACTTTCCACGACGATCCCGACCCTCCCGACGGCCACGTTCAACGCCCGTACGACTCATTCGGGCACACTTTGATCCTTTGACTCGCCACTGATACAGATAGGAACTGACCATGACCTCCCTCGGGCGTGTACTCGTACTCGTACTCTCACTTTTTCTCCTCCTCCTCCTCTGCCTCTCCCTCCTCGGCTGATATCGCTCGTTCTCATCTGACTCAACCCCGCTCATCTCAATTATCTCGTCAGATCTTCGGCATCTTAATTGGCCCAATCTCGTGATGCCTGATATAGATCCCAGGAACATCTATCACACTCGAGACTTTCCGCCCGAGAACCGGCCGGTCATTATTGCAAGGGACGGCAGACCTCATGATGGATTGATCTACTTTGGTGAAGATGGGTATGCTCGCATTTTGCCCCGAGATAGAAGGGAAAACACACCTGATTCATTTTGTAAGTCGTCATCACCCTAGATCGTACTAGCACTTTATCCAAAAACTATATATATATACAGCACGAGGTGCTGCAGACTAAAAAGAGGAAGGATATTTCATTGTGAGTATGGCTGACGCGGGAGCCGATTTCAGTTTTTCAAGTTCTATCGATCGAAGAATGTTTGTGGTTCCCTGGTCTTCTTGGTTCCAGCTGACATCTCGAACAGATTCCGAGAAGATGAAGGGCGGTTGTTCCAGGCGTACAATGGTGTGTGGAGTCTACTAACTTACCCTGTCACGAGGCATACCGAGGGCTAATAACCCATCAGATGACTATTCGGTGATCGTCTTCGAGCATGAGAAAAGTTTCAAGAGCTGATAGGGCCATTTCTAGCTGCCGTCGGGTGAGTACAGTACCCATACTATTCTATCCTCCTTGTCCCCAACACTTTCTACCCCGGTCCTGTCATCAATGCAATACTGTGCCCTCCGCCTCGACCTCATACCATCAGGAATGGATTTCGGAGTGTGCATTGCTGACATGGACCAGATGAAAGAGAAATTGAGGTCAGTCGCCATCATGGCCACCTATCTAACTCTTTTGACTCACGTACAGCGGTTAGACATACAACACCACGCTATGAAAGCGAGCATGGGCGGCCACAATTACTTAGCCCCTTTACGAAACGTCCTGCCAAATGGTGGTGAAGGAAGACGTGTAATCGATCTTGGAACTGGTCAGTTTGACAAAATCAGTTACCTCTATCCAAGTCATTCCACATATCAAATTCCTCTACCATGACTCTTCTCGCTCTTTGCATGACTACCTCACCCCTCCAAACGATCTCCCTGACAGATGAGCTCCATATTCTGACATGCAGGGACAGGAATATGGTAGGCCCTCCATTCGCGTGGTGACCGTTACTCAATCGACAAAGGGCGATAGAGATTGCCATTGAATTCCCCCGTTCCGAAGTCGTCGGTGTAGATCTCTCGCCCATATTCAGAGAAGGCGAGTTACCGGATAATGTGCAATTTACAGTCGTATGTTGACCTTGTATCGTGTGATGCCGTTAGCGCAGCGCTGACACAAATCAGGAAGACGCCTCTGCCGGTCTGTCGTTTCCCGATGGTTCTTTCGATGTTGTCACAAGTCGATTTATAATGGCTGGTGTTCGTGATTTTATTCTCGCCCCAATAATCCTTCTCGTCTTCCTTGGTAATCAGTGTAACCTATTTTGTCTTGATATCCGATCTTCCAACCGACTCTCCGGTGGTCTGAAAGGCTCTGTCACCGGAAAAACTGGTAGAATGACTGATTACAGATCCGTAATTGGACATCCTTCATCGCCGAGACAGTGCGTTTACTTCGGCCTGGTGGTTTACTATACATCATCGATGCAGAGTTTCCATGGCGGATTAGAGATATTCCTCAGGACGAGGAGACGCAACGTATGGTAGGACCAGGATTTATCAAATTTGTTGATTATCTGACCCGGTACGTTCAATTCCTATTTTACAACTCACCTTCGTCTGTGATCTTCTACCATCTCCTCTCTTCCATGGTTTTGACATTCACATGATCCTGCAGTATTCCGCTATCTCGCCATGTTCGACATGTACTCCTCCTTGACCAAACATCTCACATAAAATGCAATTGACAGTCCAGCACATTCGACGGCAGGGGTTATGACATACTTTGTGGATCACGTACGATTCCACAGGTCATGCGTGAACACCCAGAATTAGGGCATGTAACAACTATCGAGTCATATCTCCCATTATGGGGATGGTCCTCCGGTCAGTCAGCCTCTTCCAATCGTCGAGGCTCATGGTTCTGACAAGTGTAGATCCGTATATGAAGCGAGCAGGGTGCGTCATTTGTTGTAATGACAGTCTGGTCATTGACGGATTAGAGAAATCATGTTAGCTGATTCGAGGGAGATTCCAGATGTGAGTTCGACTGATCATCCCAGACAAGTGCTGTGGCTGTTCCACATGAGGAGTCTCGAGTCGGGCTGATGAGAGACCGCCAAAGTCGTCATTAAAGAAGTTTGTGGGATTAGCGACAGACAATTCGCCGATATTAAATCCGGTTTCTTACATGATTTACTTCGTCCAGGTGTACATTCCGTATGTTCCTTCTTGACCCATCCCGTCATCACCTCCTCATTTTCGACGACTTCGCTCGGTGACATCATGTCTTTTTCGTGCCAATCACTGACTGCAGGCTGTTAAAGTATGGCATTCTTGGAGCTTCAAACATCCTGGCGGCAACATTCCCACGTAAATTCAATTCCTGCAAAGGAAAAACAAGACGCAAACGGTGCATATGCTTGTATGATACACAAGTCTATAAGTGGTATTCTTCTCTATATCTGGCGTGATTGCTATGGACTCAATGTCATACTTTCTCTCCCTCTCCCGTGTTTTGAGGTTGACCCTCTTCATTCAGCTTTGAATGCCCAATTGTGCCATACGGGGAACAACTGATCTCAGCATCTGATCTCATTGACGAAATTGAATTTGTTAAACTCACAGAGGTCACTCCAGGTTTCCCGACGTCGTCTCTCCATCCACGAACGAGCTGGTTGTATTCATCGTTCGAGATATCGCAAACATCTACTACGAGTTTTCGACATGCCTACACTTCAGTTGAGCCGTTGTTGTGATTCAAGCTCCTCACCTCAGGTAGCTCCCTAGCATCGACTAACATATGTTCACTGGTCATCAGCTTTGTGAGTGTCAGAGCAAAGGAAAGAGGCTCACCCCACACGACGTAAGACAGGATCGTCACTCCAAGGCCACATCGGTAATGGTGCATACACCTTGTTGAATTCTTCCAATCCCGGATGGGCCATTAAGAGATTGGGTACGGTGGTGCTACCCGCTTCGGCGTCTAGCCCGCGCAAGCGGAGGCCCCTGAGGTCAGTAAGTTCTGACCTCGACTCGCCCCTGGCGGTGTACAGCGCTTCTCGTCAAAGAGTATAGAGCAGTGGGAGAGTAGGAGAGTTTCAATACAAGACAAGGTCAAAACTCACTTGATAATATAATCTCGTAACTTGAAGAAACCAGGCGCCAGAGCGCGTTGCTCTTCCTCTGTACCAGAATTCAGATGACGCCAACCATCGCACTCGACCATGACAAGTAAACCGCCTGGTCGGACGACGCGTACAGCTTCATCGATGAACGCCCTCCAGTCTCTGATCTAGAACATGAGCTCCTATCCCCCGTCTCCTGTTTTGGAAGAGGGTTCTTGGGCAGGAAAGATATAAACTTACACCACTCATGAGCAGACGACAATGTACCACCTCGAAGAATCCCGTGGGGAATGGGAAACCCTTCGAAGCGTCGTGGACGACGAATTTGCAATTTGGTGGCACGCCCTTCCGAGATTGCATGGGAGAGAGGTCGAGACCCTTTTTAATCAATTTAATCCTTCAATCAAATGAAAACAAAAAGAGAGTACGAACGATGACATCGGCGTCGGGATATTCGGCGGCAATCTCTCTTGCCCTGACAGGTCAACGGAAAATCTAGGAGGTGAACGTAGGGAACCTACCAAATGCCTGTTCCTGTACCAATGTCCAGAACACCCTTGCGATAATCGCTCCCGTCATTCAAAACTTCATCGATAGGTGCGAGGAAGTTACGGCCCAGTTGGCGCTCTTTGAATGCACGATGTTGCGTATCTAGTCTCTGAAGGCGTCAGTACTGAGGTGACCATACAAGTGTTGAACGGGGTAAAAAAAATGAAGCTCACATGGATTTCTGCCTGGTCTGGTAAATTTGGTAAGTGTTTTTCCTTGCTGAGGTGTGACCCGTGATGTTTGCTCACCTGCAGGCATCTGTCCGTTAGATCACATACACACACCACGAAAACAAGTTTACGCACCACATAGTCTTCTGCACAATCAGTCCTCTACCCTTTCATTCTTAAGGATCTTTCGGCAAAACTCACCATTTTTTGCTTGATATCTCCTCCCTCTATCCGCTTGAAAAAGCGTCAGTCCTCGTCCGAGTCTCAAAGCAACAAGCGTACCTCGGAAACTGTATGGTCAACACTCTGATCAACAATTCGTACGCAGAAAGATGGGACGCACTGCTTCTGGTGTCCCTCATATTTGGTAGCGGGGTTTTCACGACCAGCCATCATGATGACAATCTTCTTGACACGGCGTTTGTTTTTTTTCTATTTCGAGGGAGAAGAGAGGAAACGAAGCCGTGATTGATACAATCGGAAGGCAGATTTGAGAGTCGAGAACAAGGGTTTATATGGTTTAATAAGAAGTCAGAGATCCGACGTCGGGAAATTTTCGACACGAGACACGATGATTCATGTCTGCGAACCCCTCGTTAGAGACGGCGGCATACATGCCCCTGGGGGAAGTGGTGCCCGGAACAGTCCCCCAAAAAAAACAGCTCGTCAACCTGCAGCCGTGGGAGCTCAGAACGTCCCGCCGAGATCGCGTGTAGACCGACCAGAGAAAAGGGTAGAGTGGGGTGGTGTCAAGTTTATCCGCAACGAGGTGAGTTCGGACAAGTCGGGTGGGAAAATGGTGATGTGAGGGTTCGGACAGGGGGTGAGACAGGCGTGCGTTATTGGACCCCAAAGTCCAAACCTCAGGTTCGACGACGCCCACATTTCGGGATGAATGGTTCTACCATACCAAAGGTTCGTGTCAAAGGGAGCGTTGATAGCATGACATCAGCGACAAGGGCGCTGGAGGCGATGAGCATGCATCATACGTGCGATGGATGACCCACCTCTTTATGTTGAGTGTGTGATTACTTCCTCATGTCATAAGAAACAATATGTTTTGTCCGTCATGTCGAGAACGAGGTCGGACAGACTGGCGATAGAGTGATCCACTCGGCAAGGTAAGACGGGAATGCTTCAGAGTAATATCCGCGAATCTGTGAATTGCGATGGAGGCGAAGTGTGACTTCGGCGTCTGGCCCACTTCCCTTTCCGAGCATCCTTTACCTCCCTTGTGTCAATCTAATTGAGGCACTGGATCTCCCGGGCGGATACCGCACGGTTTCGGGCGTCAACTTCATCTCCTGATCTCCCCTTGTCTCCTCTTCTCTCTCCCAGTCGTTTCGAAGCGTAAGCCGTCCATGAACACCAAGAGTAGATGGCTTCACCTACAAGCAGCGCCCTGCAAGTGATGTTGACAACGAGGTGCACAGCAACTGGCATCGTACTCCACGGCCAACGTCCCCGAGGACTTAACAAGCAAGCGTGTGGTCCCTCATATCCCCCGTTTGTGTGATGCTGATTTCAGATGTTTGAAGACCGGGAGTCCGGGAATACGGAACACGGAATGACCAGAGGGCGGGAAGATGGGAATGTGGGAAGCTTGAAGACGCATGTGCGAAACTTGTAAATGGCAGCGTCTATACATATGAGCCCCCTTTATTGTCAGCGCGGATCCTGCCCGTTCATGATTTGTTCGATCGAAAGTATGAGAAAGCACGATATTGTATTGGGGAAGTTGTAAAGGGCTTACCCAGCGAGGATCTGTATAACAGTACCAGATATGAGGTAATGTATGATCCTTGTGCGTTGCTTCCGCACTCGAAGCGCCTCGAGGCATCGGAACACCCTAGGGACCGGTTTTCGGATCTTGTCCAGATATTGAAGTCACGTAAGCGACATGTTCATGGAGAAATAGGGTCTCGTGGTGAGGAGTGATCCGTTGGTCCGAAGATCGTGGGAACTCCGATTTCCTTGCATATCTGGGCATCGAATCTCTGGGGGTATGACGTCTCAGCAATCGTTCACTTCTTTTCCTTTGACCTGAAAAATAACAGATTTCCGTTAGATGATTTCTCGCCTTGACCTCATTGGGAGCAATTGTTGGTAGTTGATTGTCGACGAGTCGGTTCATTTTAGAGGACCACACGAAGGCGCATTCGGAAGGAGGGTTCTTTAGATATCTAAACGGAGTCTGGAGTGTGCCGTAGTTAGATATTAGCCGAATCCCCTTTCCTTGGGATATGCTTACAATACGCAAGGGGGACTGACATGACGCGGACTAGTCTAACTCTCAAGTGATGAGATAATGAAGAGTCGGGCGTCAAACGTTGGACTATCCACCGGCATGTGTCTACAGCAGCAGTATCTCTCATCAAGTGGCTTGCCGGGCTCTGATCTTGCCCGGCACCGCCGGATCAGCTTCGGTCAAAGGCGTTAGTGAGTCAAATCCAGGATACGGCTGTTGTTGACAAGCACTTCATCACAGGTAGCAGATGGGAACGAAATCTTGCAGTGGATTTGAGGTTTATACTGTTGGGGACGGGCCACCTTTCTTTCTACCCCAGACAACACTCTGAGGTACTCCCTACTCGTCAGCAGAGAACAGAGCCGTCACTCACCGAATTGGCACCGGGCTTCTCAAGATCTGCCAGGAAAGCAAACTTTAGATCTTCGTAATCTCGAGGAGCTATTCCACATCCGTCAATGATCAAGAGACGGAGAGCCTCAATGTCAGCTCGGTCGCTTTGTGACACGTCGTCGCCTACATCGGGTATATCTCGAGCATTTCGCAGCATAATGTCCCTTGGAGTCAGCTGCGTTCTCCCCGACAACATCCGACATACCCCGACTGCTTTTGCCATGGATCTGATGGTCAGTGTCACCCAAAAGTTTGTCCCGACTCACCATTTGACCATCCCCAAAAGGGTTGGAAGAGGGCAACCCTCTCCACAGCTTCCATATATGGATGTTCACTGATAAGCCGGGGTAACGATTCCGTCACATCGCTCAAGACATGCCCGCGAACGACCAATGCTCTGAGGGGTCAGTTGTCGGTAGGTGAAGCTGAATCGTGGGCTCACCTTGCTACGCACTCCGAGATCGCCATGAACCCCGGCGCAATGCTCCAGTGGTCTACATCTGGCTGGTCTTGAAGTACCCAGGGGAAGCTAGTCTCGTGCGAGATGAACAACCCACCCGGCTTGACGAGACGGATCATTTCGTTTATATATTGTGGCCAATCTCTTATCTTACATCATCAGTGACCTTCCGAAAATATCAGAGACTGGGCTCACCCCGGCGACTAGGGTCCGGCCTGGTTCTGAGTTGAGTTGCCTTTGCGTGAGATGAAAGCTCACCATGAACAACGTCAAAGCGACCATCCGGGAACGGAAGACCAGCAGTTATGTCTCCTTGCTGAAATTCCACATTATCGGGGAGGTCATTATCATTCCAGGTTGGCGCAAGGTCCACGCCAATCACCTCCGCGTTCGGAAATTCTTGTGCTATCTCACATGGCCTAATGATCAGCGGCCATTTTCACTACGGAGAGCGTACCAGGCCCCTGAGCCTGTTTGTCAGCTCACGTCACTCTCATGTCACTTACCAGTCCCCACGTCTAGCACAGACTTATCCTTACCTGCGTTGGGCAAGTAGGCAGGTATCGGAGCGAGATAGTTCTTGTTCCCTTGACTCTGCAGAGATCAGTAAAACGCTCTTCGATCAGTTATCATATGCGGAAGTTGTCTCACCGCTTTGATAGCATTGTGCTGCAGGTCTGCGAGGGTCAATCAGAACTTTCTCTGCACTTGGAGCGCGGACCGACCTAGACGCTAATATTGTCAGCGGAAGCTGTGTGTCAATGTCTGACCCACCTGAGTTTCTCGCTCATCTTGAGGCAAGTCAGCGGCTCTCACTCAAGGTATACTAAGGCGATCACCTGCCGGAAGCTGAGCGCTGGTTAGCGCATGTCAGCTAGGGGAATGGGGACCGACTGGATAGTCATCTGATGTCAGTCACACCCGTTGTTTGTTTCACTCACCGTCAGTAGCTTGATACAGCCGCCCTTCGTCCTCTAGGCGGTAAGTCAACCCCTCATGAGTGTCGATTCCATCTCACCTCGAAATCTGCACATGAGCATGGGCACCTTTGCTGGAATCATACTGACGCTCTGGTGTTCATAGAAGATCTTAACGAGGAATCAGCTGATGAATATCAGCCAAGCTCTGTGTGAACGGTTAAAGACTCACTGACGACCGAGTCGGTATCTGACAACGGAGGGCTTACCAAATTACTGAAAGGCGAAGGCGAGTTTTCGACCATATCCGCTGGTGTGATGATGACAGGTCGAAGATTCTCATCTTCCGCGGGGACCTGGGGTACACGCATGTCAAAGTCAAGGTAAATGGATGGAATGCAAGATGATGGCGGCTGGTAATCGAGATGGGATATGGACGATGAAAGGAGGCCCCGGTTGTCGGAGCACTCGACTCCCGTGACTACGATTGAATAAGGTCATCAGCGTTGATGGCGATGATCAGCAATTTGACCGTCAGTCGAGAGAAAAGCACTCTTTGCCCAGAAGAGAAAAAAAGAAACAGAATGGCAGAGGAGTGTACAGGGAGAAGAGTAGAGTGAGAAGAAGAGAAAGAGAGAAGAGGGGGGACCATTCCGATCGCCAAAGTTTGGACGATCCAAGCGTGAAGGTGAATGACGTCAACCATGTTTAGGTCAAAATCTCCATCTCCATCTCTCTTCTCTTTCCCTTGTGTACCTCCTCCCAACCTTCAGTATATGCTATCCCGATCTACATTCAGAATTTTTATAAGGCCTGCGTCTGACTCTCGTTTCTTCTGTCGCCCTCCGCAACCTGTCTCGTCTACACTCGGGCCCGTTATGAAGCGAGAGGCCAGTTCCCCGGGTGAGAATATTGACCCATTTGTTGTTGGAGGCTGAACGAGTAGCATCACCTTCAAGTAAACGTCGCCGGAGATCCTCCACTCCTGAGCTCAAACCTGTCATTTCCTCCTTCAGCTCGGTATCCGAGTTTGGTTCCCAATGGGACGAATGGCCAGCGCCCAGGGCCGATATGACTGCCGCTCGGGAGTTCATCATCGACATGTGAGTTCTTCAATCTTTCACTTTCCTGCTCTAATGCTCAAGAGTCAAAGAGAAGAGATCGGTTGTCATAGTACCCGACAAAGATGCGGATGGTCTATCAGGTGAGCTAGCTTACCTAACTCTCACAAGCCCAATTTATCATTTATAGCCGGAACTCTCCTCTACAAGACTTTGCGGCTTCTAGGACATCCCCCGGAGCTGATATCTGTCCATCATCTGCAGAAGGGTACAAACGTTCATACAAATGAGGAACGAGCCAGACTGGCTCAGTTCGGAGTAGACAGGGCTGTGGTTCTTGACCAAGGGAGTCGGCCAGGGCCTTCGTTACTACCTACCGGAGATCCTTCGACAATGAATGTTCTGATCGTGGATCACCACATGTCAACGGAGGTTAGTAACGCAAACCTGTACACGAAGAGTGAGCTGACACAACTAGTGGCCAGAAGGCTCAAAAGTCTTGACAGCTTGCCGTACACCTCCCATCGCTACAGCCGCTTTACTCACATATATGTTGCTTCGAGACCTTCACCCCGCCGTTACCGAGAAGGAAGGCTGGAGAGCAGTTATGGGTGTCATAGGAGGTGAGCTCTTTGTAAGGCCCCGCACATGAGCTAAAGGTGCAGATCTTGGTACTACCACCGCTAAATGGGGGAATCCTCCATGGCCGGGCGCGTTAGGAAAAATCTTGAAAGAGTCGGCTTCCCTGCCTTCCAGCAAGTAGCGCTGATAGTCACAGACATGGAGCAAAGACAATGTCTGAAGCTGTTGCCTCTATCAACGCACCACGACGGACAGCAGAATATAACGGTCAGTCTCATGCAATTCAATACATGCGTGGGGACTGATGACAACAGTGCCGAAAGCCTGGGAAGTGAGCTTCCCCACCGATGACCGATTAGAAGAGCTGAGTGTCAGATCTTCCTGAACGCGGATAAAGCGTCAGACATTGCCACAAATGCTTTCTTGAAGCTCTGCAAGCTCGATGTGAATGACGAAACCTTACGGTGGGCTCGTACACGTACTGCCATTCTCTATTGTTATTTCACGGTTGATGACGTGCAGCACCCAGATTCACCACGGACGGTCGAGTGGCTGTGATAACCATACACACCGGCTTCCAAGGTAAATTTCAGTGCGATACGCAGCTAGGAGCTGAGCTCACGATTAGTTCACCCAGTTATAGCCACTCGCTGGGCAGGTACCCTAGGGAAAAAGAGCAAAAATCTCATAATGATCATGGTCAGCCGTTTGTCATTCACTATCATCCGCTAATGTCATAGTGTGCCAACACCGGATTCAACCCCGACCCTAGCAAAGTATCTTTCTCCTGTCGTATTGCTGCCAACTTGCGTTCCCTCCCTGATGGCGAGCGTCGTCAGTCTTTTCATTGTACTCCGATTGTAAGCTGACCAGGGGACCAGCGGACTTGATTGGAATGTTGAATGAGTACGGCAACGGGATCGAAGGCTTCAGGGAGCGAGTGGGAGGTGATTTTGCTCGAGGTCACAAGGAAGCGACAGGGGGTATTATCCACAAGGTGAGTTGCCTGTCACCCCTCTGCTATGTGACACTAATGGAGGAGGACGAATTTGCTCTGTTACTCGCACACATGGGAGTCCCGCCGGAGGGGACACCCAGAAAGAACACACCCAAGAAAGCTCCTCCCAAAGTTGTGGACTCATCCCAGAAAACTGGCATCAAGGACTATTTCAAGCCAGTTTCGGCTGTGCTCGAGGGAGATGCAAAATGACCCGTGATGCAATCACCCAGCTTTGGGTTGGACATTCCGGGTATTCGAATAACCGCAAATGTATCCTCTCAACGCTGTGAACCCTTCTCATTCGTCCTTCAACCATGCTCATCTCTCACTACTTACATTGGGTCCTTGATCTCTTGGGGGTGTATATGCACTTCGAAGGTCAGCTACCCATCGATAAACCTCTGAATGTCCCAGATCGGGCTCACTTCCCTTCCACATTCCTTCATGGTTACGCCACGGCAGCCACCCAGATTGAAGGGGGTGTATCGGCGGACGGGAGGGGTCCGAGCATCTGGGATTCTTTCAGTCGGGAACCCGGGGTTATCAAGGATAACACCACAACTGACATTGCAACGCGGTCCTATCAGGTGGGTGCCTATCACATCACATTCTCTCCGTCACACACGCGAAGGATCGGGCTTGGTAACTCCATTCACCAGCGAAAGGACGTATGTGGAGCTGGCAGATTTGGCTGATGTAGCAGATGTGGGGAGAAGATGTCGATCTCTTGAGCCAACTCAATGCCAACACGTATCGGTTCTCAATCTCATGGTCTCGCGTTATCCCATTAGGGGACAGAGACGCGCCAGTCAACCAGAAAGGTCTTGAGTATTATGACAGACTGGTTGATGCGCTTCTGGACAATGGCATCACACCATTCGTTGTGAGTCACTCCCCTCGTGGCTATATCGAAGTGAATGCTGAGACAAAGACACTGCACCATTGGGATGTACCGCTTTCCCTCCAGAACAGATATGATGGGTGGTTAGTGAGTCGACCATTCTCTTCTTCCTAGACTTTGATCTTTTCTCACACCTCTCACCAACCGCAAAGTAGAAGCCCCTCCTCCGTTTCACAGTAAGCTTGTGGATCCCTGCGAGCAAGGACAGACCTGAATGAGTATATGATCTCAGTGACGAGCGATCAGGTAAGACCTCCCGCTGATCTCAGAACGCGGAGGAGATGACCAAAGACTTTGTGCGCTTTGCTGATGTATGCTTTGCACGCTACGGCGACCGTGTCAAACACTGGTGAGTCATCGTCCCCATCGTTCAGTGGAGTGTAGTTGAAGTATCAGGGTCACGATAAACGAACCTTTGACAGTGACCAACATCGGCTATGGAAGTCCGAAGCATGCGCCAGGATACGACAGTGTCGACAAAGCTCTCCAGTACGTGACATCTCATCCTCGGAAAGGCATTGCTGACGTTCAGTGCGGGTTACGGCATGTTACATGCTCATGCTCACGTGGTTGATGTGTATCGACGGATATATCAGCCGACCCAAAATGGACAGATCGGGATAGCTTTGTGCGGCACGTTCGGTGTTCCTTTCAGCGCCTCGGAACAGGGTGGGTTGCGATACACGCAGAAAAAGCAAGACTGACGGAAGAGATCGTGTAGCCGTCCAGGCAAAGTGGGACTTTCAGTGGAGTAAGTTTGAGTATTACTTGTGTAGAGCTGACAAGAAGACTGGTTTGCCTCCCCTATCTTCTTGACTGGCAAGTATCCGGAGTCGATGATAACTCATTACGGTACCCGCCTCCCTCCCATAAGCTCGGAATTATCTTCGCTTCTGCTTGGTAGTGCGGACTTTTGTAAGTCTTTCTTACTGTTGAACCTATACTACTGCAAAGAGAGAAACGAAGGGCTAATCTCAGTTGCTTTCAATACCTACTTTTATAATGCTGTCAGTAAGTACATAATGTAGAACGCGACACGAACGGAGATGCTGAAGTACGAGGAAGAGACGGGGACGACGAACTGAACGCATTGACCACCGAGCACTATCACTTCTCCAATGGGTCCGAATTCGGTCATCCAGGTAGGTTGCCGTTCCTCCGTGCTGTCAAGCTGACATGTACAGTCGGCGAAAACGGTTGGCGAGGAGGTGATCGTCCTTTCTTCATACTTCCTGTGGCTTACGAGGCAGTTCCTAAGAGATTATACGACATGGTCCATTTCCTTGGCAAAACATACAAGAAGCCGATGTATCTCACTGAATTTGGCTTTGCTCGAAAGAATGAACAAAACATGGATCTGATCGATGCCGTTGAAGACGCAGAGAGGGTTCAATATTTGCAGGAAGCCTTAGACGCTTTACGACTGGCAGTGCACGAAGGTGTCGACTTGAGAGGGTGTTTCATCTGGAGTAAGTGCGTCTTGAGGCACCGCAAGTAGTGTGCTGATCAGTAGCTTTGACGGATAATTGGGAATGGTCGGAAGGATTTACGTGGCGATTGTGAGTCTTTGCGTGATTCGAGACAAAGCTGACCGTTAGTGGAGCGGCACATACGGATGTCAGTCAATGCTATAGGGAGAACAGAGCTGAGCTAACGGCGTAGATAGAGAGCTCGAAGAGGACAGTCAAAAAGTCGGGAAATTTCACAGCAGACGTATGTCCCTTCTTTGAGGTCCGATCAGTGCTCATTTCAGTATTTCCGTAGATACGTCGACGATCATTGCCAGGCATCATGACACGTCACCATTTGATCAGACATGTAAAACGGCATGCGGCAGCTGATCAACCGGCTCATATGTTTTCTGCTAACGAAACCCCCGGTGGACGATGAGGATAAGCAGGCTCCGCTGTCGAAATGGAACGGCTCGAGTTGACACACCAGCAAGCGAGGTGGTCGCCTGACCTTTCCCACGCTCAAAGGAGGATCTCGCTTCTGGTTCAAGCACAAGTCAGAGATTTTCGGGTGTTTGAGGAAGATAAAGGATGACGATGTTTTGCAGTACCGAGGTCGCATCGTGGAAGAGAAGCTCCTCATATATCAGCTCCCCACATTCAGGACGTCACATATTCCACTACTTCTTCGCCTCGTCTCTAAAGTGGACCTTGACAGCCGATTCGCAAGTGACACAGAAAATCAATATGGCGTTCCCGAACGAAGAGAATGATCAGTCGATCTCAAACTTCCCTCTTACATTCCCCTCCTATGTCCCGAACGCCAACGCGGACCGTCAAGCCAATAGGCAGACTTTCGAAGTTCAAACAAATCACGATCGACGTCCGAACACCGAATCCATGGCCAACGTCAGTGGGTTGCCAGAAGTCGAGAGTCACTTCGAGAACCCTGAGCTCTGTCGGATGGATCGAACAGTCTGCGGGTATTCATACCTAATCGGTGAACTCACATCCTCTTTGACCACTGCTTGTGCCTCGATTCCTACACAAACCAATCACTTATCTGGGGCGGCGAATCTTCCCGCTTTCCTTGGCGAGATGAGGGAGACCGCATGGCAATTACGTAGAGCGCAGTCCCTCTATACAGCTACTTGGGCGTTGCAGAAAGCCGATAGGTCTGTACGTGAGTGGCGGGAGGCCGAGACTGGGGATATGGAGGAGATGAGAAGGATATATGAGAACTTAAACGCAGAGATGGAGATTGTACGGGAAGCGTATAGCAAGTGTGAGGTGACATTGGCCGAGATTGATCGAGAGAGAGTTTTGTCTTATTGGGGTGATGATAGTATTGATGTTGATAAAGACTTGAGTCGTTCTGTCATTCGACGTACAGCGTTCCCTGATGAGGAAGACCGGACGTATTCAAGTTAGTTACCTTATGACATCAAATCTCAGTGTGGGATTGACGGCTGAGACTGAGTGGGTATCACATGTGATCAAGAGATATGCAAATGATATGCGACAGTCGAATCTAACGTGAAGATCATTCGTCCATGAGTTCTGCCAGTTCTCTCTGTTCATCCTCTGTCAACTCCACAGTCTCCTTTTCTTCTTCATAGACTAAAGGAGCAGGATTCAGAAGTTCTTCAGACTCAGCCTTCACATTTCACATTAACAATCGAGGTTGACTTACCAGGTATAGACCAATTTCTGATTGTACCGTCTAAACTACCGGAAAGTATCACTGCTTTACCTTCTTTCCTCCAAAGACGGAGGACGGATACTTCGGCACAATGACCAGGTACGAGGATCGGTTTTGGGGTTTGTCCTTCCAGTACGTCATCAAGAGGGAAGACGTGTAGATCTTCATCGTCGCCTGCGGTGAGGAGGAGGGATGGGGAGGTAGAAGAAGCGGGAAGGGGGAGAAGGGATTTGACGTAGCCTGTGTGGGTGATGGAAATGGGTTTAAGTGAGTGTGATTGGGGATGAGGATGGAACATGATGGATTTGTCCATTGATGCTATATACGTCAATTCATTTCACCAATGTACTGACGACAACCTCTGCCAGCTGCTACCAGATTTTGGTGTAGGGAGAGAAGTACGTGATTGGAGATATCGTCTTGATCTAAGGAATTCTTGAGGCTGTGCAGAAGTCTCATGGTGAGGGGTTCACAGTCAGTATAGGAAGAAAGACGAAAGCGAAGGAGATATGAAGAAGTCAAAAAAAAAGTTCAGAAGTGGGGTATGAAGTAGGCAGAAGAAAAACTCACCACTCCACAATCCATCTTCAGTAGCTAAGATAAACCCCACACTAGTCTCATGACCCTTTATATCCCTTCTGAATACCAATTGATCATCTTTCAATTCCCATTCTTTCATCACACCTAAAGAATCTGATGTCCATATATACACCTCAGTTCTTTGTCCGGATTCATCAGTGAATATCCGATATGTCGAACTTTCTACTGGTCTTGTATGTTCTCTGATCGTTTGTATACAGATGGGCGGGTTGTTTTCTTGTAAAGGAGAGAGATCCCATAGACGTAATGATCTATCTGATGATGTTGATAATAGAAGGGGACGTGGAAGTGGGAGGATTAAAAGGGATTTGACAAAGTCCGTATGACCTTTTAAGATATGTAACACTTGTGCTGTCTATACTTTAGCTCTTCTCCATTCACTACCAGCCAACTCCAACTCCATCCTTTACCCTCAAACCCCACCGAGCTTTTTTCGATACTAGGTTTTCTAGGAAGACCCTTTTATTAGATATCGTGACCTAAAGAAAGCCCGGTGTACGGTGTCCTGGTAGGAGGAATGAAGTTGATAGTTGAAGATGTAGATCCATGATCATAGAGAGATTACAGGTATTGGTGCAATAGACCCACCTTGATATCCCATATCCTGATCGTCTTATCCCACGATCCACTCAACACTCTCAATCCACCGGGGGTATCATATAAAACGACGCTGGTCACTGGTCCAGAATGACCTTTATATAACTTTTTCGTGGTGAAACTCTACATATCAGCTTTATCACAACAACTTTGCAATAACTTACGTTGAGATCCACTCGACGGATTTGCCAACCGGATTCTGCCACCCAAGCTTCATCACCTTCTATAACCAGATCTAATACTTTTGATGAGATACGAAATGGGTTACCGAGCTTTTCAGCAGCTTTGAGTTTCTTTTGTCTCGCAGAGGAAAACTCTAGATCAGAATTTGTTTGAAAAAGCAAGTCTGTATCGTTGGTTTGCATGGTCTATCTCAAGCTCTGTTGATGTTCTAGTAAGTAGTGATTTTGAAGTGTGCTCATAGAGATTTTCAACCTCTTGGAATGCAGCGAGTACATAGTGGTCCGTGCCTTGACTAAGTACCGTGGGCCACGCGATCTGTTATTTGAGGGGATCAAGTAAAATCTACGCGGTTCTCACTCATACGCCCTTCTGTCACCTCTGTAACCCCTATCACTCCTGTACTTCTCTTCACTCTTCCCAGAGTGGACTCACTTAACAGCTGTCGAGAGGGATCACCAACTGGTCAAAATGATAAACCGTTACCTCTCGAATTTCAAGGCTATGCCTGCTCGAACTCGTCTTCTTTCGTTAATCATCTTCACCCTCTCTCTCCTCTTCCTCTCTCACATTCTCTTTCCCAACACTCACCACATGGCTCGTCGTTGGACGACGGCATCTTCCACAGTCATTCGTTCCAAGTTCCTGCGTGCTAAAGCTCAAGCTCCCCGACCTCCTATACATCACCCAATACCCAAGCTCATGGCAGATGCGAGGGAAGAATTCGATGCCAAGCTCAGACGACAATCTAAAACGCTCGAACAGGCAGTGGCAGAGTATCAAAAGCGATACAAACGTATGCCTCCGAAAGGTTTCGACGAATGGTTTCATTTCGCAAAAGATCATGGGTCTATCATGATTGATGAATACGATCAATTACATGCTGATTTAACACCTTTTTGGTTATTCTCAGGTGAAGAATTACGAAGACGTTGTATTCAAGTTGGATTTTTGCCTTCAGTAGATCTGGTACGTATTGAGAAAGGTCAAACCAGGACTATAGATGTTAGTAAAGGTTTCGACGATTCAGAAGTAGGTGCGAGAGCAAAAGGTTTCAGAGTAATGTTGGAAAAATTCCAGGATAAGTTACCGGATATGGACTTTCCTATCAACGAGAAAGCTGAAGGACGTATTCTTGTACCTTGGGAAGAGAATCTTTACTCCAATTTGACTGCTGATTCTTCCCGTGAGTACATTTTCTCCAAGTCCCCCCACCCTCTCTCCTTTGAAGCAGGAGTTTCGATCGAGCATGGCCGCTGACCTCAACAGTTGGGATCGAACATGTATTAGGAGGAGAGTTTATTCCGGATTGGAAAGGCGACGGAAACGTTTGGGAAGCTTATCGACGAACTTGTGAACCTTCGTCCCAGGCTAGACGGCTCTTCGGCTCTCTCCGAGCCAGACTTAAGGAAGGTCAAGTTCCAATTTCTCGTTTGGCCGATGCTGGTGTTTCTACAGGAGTAGCGACCGATGACTTCCAATTCCCTATAAACGTCGATGACAAATACAATTTCTGCGATCATCCCTGGGCGCATTACAATCAAGGTCATTTCTTTTCCGATTGGAGAACCATTCATGCACTTTATCCCATGTTCTCACCAGCGAAGGGAGTGGGATATTCTGATGTTCTCATTCCCAGTCATTATTACTTTTCATCGACGAAAAGGTATACCTATGGATGGGACCCGGTGAATATGATCATCAAGGATGTAGATGACATGGAGACGAGATGGGAAGATAAGAGCGATGATATATTTTGGAGGGGAGCGACTACGGGTGGAGGATCCAGTCCTCCTGGTTTCTTGGCCCAATATCAGCGTCATAGGTTAGTGAAATCCTCCACTTCTTATCCTACGACATGGAATGGTCTCCCATTAATCTCTTTGGTAACGTTGATATTTTGAGAAAGTCGGCTCATACTCAGATTCATCAAGATGACATCGGACACTTCAGACGTCAATAAAACTGTCGTCTTCGCCGACCCACCAGGTACCGATAATTTCATTTCTGCACAAGTCCCCATTGGCCAGCTGAACGCGGATATGATGGATGTGGCTTTCACCAAAGCTGTCGGGTGTACACAGTATCCAGGTGGCTGTGATGGAATGAGAAAAGATCATAGATTTGCCGATGCTGTTCCTCTTGGAGAGAATTGGAGACACAAGTATTTGATCGATATTGATGGTATGGGTTATTCTGCTCGTTTGTTTGCTCTTGTGAGTGTCCCGTTTTGTCGTTGACCCTGTCTTTATGTGTTTGGTCCCTACTCGAGATCTCATCTCGTTCAATCTTGCTGGCATAAAGATGCACAACGCTTACTTGAACAGTTGAAATCGGAGAGTGCGGTGTTGAAGTCGACTGTATACACCGAGTTCTGCTCAGAATGGTTACAACCATGGTGCGTTCATGTTCAACGTTGATCGTCTTGAGCTGACAAGCCAGGGTGAGCCAGGTTTCTGCCACGACTCACATGACCCGATCACTGATCAAGATGGGTAACCACTGACATTGCAGCTGCACTACATACCCGTCTCTCAACTATACAACGAAATATACAACCTACACGCCTTCTTCTCTGGCCCCTCTAAAGCCATGCTAGCCGCTTCCAACTCTACTCGAGGGCTGTATCAATCCTCAGGTCTGACAACTCGGCGTCTGGACGGTGATACCGAATTACGGAAGATTGCCAGCGCGGGACGAGAATGGATGTTTACCGTAGGAAGGAAGATTGATATGGAGAGTGAGCCCGTTGTCCTCTTGACCTGCCAATTCATCTTTGCTCATGTTCAGTTTACGTTTACAGGTGAGATTCTGTATTCGGATATTCTCATTTCCAGTTCTCATGTTCTCACATCTATCCCGCATTGCCCGTGACATTACCCTCACTGCCGCTTTGGGAATCGGACATCGCTCGAAGAAATACCTGCTAACGCTGTAGATTGTGTATCGAATGGGGAAGGTTGACAGCGGACGATAGGGACGCAATGACCTACAAAGGCTGAAGGAATACATATATGCTTGGGATTCTGATAGATATGCATCTCATCTTGCTTCACTTAGTCTTTTTGTTATTCCTCGCATACCTTACCTCGTAGCTTACCCGATCAGATGATATCTGCGCTGAGTTGTGACTCACAGGACCCTGGTACCCTGAGTCGATCGCCATCACCGACATGTTCCGACATCTTCACACATTCCAGATTCTACACTCTACTCTTAAGCGTTCAACGGTGGTGAGGGTGTTTGGACCACTAGAAAGCATGATCACAATCACCGTCGTACGTCCATCATGATGCTCAAAAGAGATGGGCGACTCGACTGACGATATAGGTCAGACATGGTGAATCCACAGGTTTGTACTTTCGTATTTCCTCATCTGCCAAATACGACTGAAGTTACTTAACCTCGACGTCTAAATGGATGAGGGATTCTCTTCTCTTGGTTTTTGGTCTGGAGTCTCTTAGCAGTGATCTTGTGTGTAATTAGATGTCTGATCGATAGATAATCTTAAACCTTTATGGGCTGGTTGGGCCGATGCTCCTCTTTCTGTTCATGGTGAGTGGTACTCTTCCACATTTCAATCGGATTCTCTAGCATCTACTATTTCCTCTCTCCCTGATATCAATTCCATGTGCATGAGTGATAACTCTCCGAGCTCTTTTAGTGGGTCTAAGACTTGATATCCTTTCCTCTATATGGGTCGGGTGACTATCGCATCATCCATGATCTGTAACTTAGACTTGGGTGTTTCCAAGAAGGGACAGATCTGTTGCTGATGATCAGGAATGAATGCAAGTCTCCCTTTTCTCCCCTTTCCGTCTATCCCCGTGTCAAATCGCTCCTCAGCTTTCTCCCACAATCTCCACTGTATACAATGTCAACCTCACCGTCATCAGTCTACCCCCACGTATCATAGGTCGTACGACAAAAGAGAAGGAAGAGGAAGATGTAATACGGTACTACCCTCATATGAGGGGTATGAAGGTCTCAATGGATCTCAATAAACCATTCCGGTGCTATTCAAGCGGATGGATCTGGATGTTATAATATGAAGAAAAAAGTCACGAGAGGAAAGCTGACACTCAGCAAGCGAAAGCCCTTGGAGACTCATTGAAAGATACAAGGGTCGATTCTATATTCTGTTCTGATCTCTTGAGAGCTCTATGGACAGCTCAACAAATTCAAAAACATCAACCTGAGAAACCTTCTTTGACCATTACGGAATTATTGCGTGAACAACATTGGGGTGAAGGTGAGTATTTGATTGGTCTATCCCGACTTTTATCCCTCTTTCCGGCCTCATGGTTTCTCTTGTCCACCTTTTGGATATCCGTCCTCAGAAATGGCGTCTTTGTTGTCGAATCCAACTGATTTGTTCACTATCCACGCATCTCACTGAGAAGATCGCAGAGTAGAAGACGCAGGAGAGTAGAGAACATGGTCAGGCTGAAATGAATTTTCAGCCGAACACAAACCATGGGGAGAAGGAGGTTATACTCGTGAACCCGGTCGACATTTCAAATTCCCAGGAGGAGAATCCCTTACGGATGTAAGACATAGAGCTAAGCAAGCGTGAGTCCTATTTATTTTTTTCTCACCTGTCCTCCGCCCTCCCTCCGACTCGACCAATTCTGGCCTAAAAGCGCATGTCATTATGATAGAGATAGCTTTGGGATGGATGTTAAGGGGCTGAACTCATGTCAGGATCGCGGATTTTATAGAACCCATCTTACAGACCAACCATGGTCGACCGGCTAGTTCGAAACATATAGTAGTGGTAGCACATGGGATATTCAACTCTGAATTTATCGGAGCTCTACTTTCCAGACGAAAAGGACAAGGATCATTTGATTGGGGTTATCGAGGTGAGTTTATGTAATCTCATCCACTGTTCCTATCCTCCTTCACAAGATCTGAATGACCCCTATTTGGTTAGGAGCAATTGGACCTCAATGTATCGATCATCTACGAAGCGTGATGATCGGGAGGAAAGGGGGCTCGTCGACAGCGGAATAAACGTAGTGATTGACGAAAGCTGATATCAGGTATGACCAACGTCAGTACCTCTTATTCTCAACTTCAAACGTTCTTGCTGATTCTGTAGACAGGTTGGACAAAACTTGAAGTCGGGTATGCCGTACGTACCTTCTTAATCTACTGTGATAGCAGTTCATGACGGATAGGACGAATCCCCCGATTCACTTCCACAGCACATGGAAACTCATCCTAGAACCCCAATCTCTCCTTCATCCGAACCTTCCGAACCTCCTCCGGCGCATGACAGGGGGGAATTACCACCCCTCTCAGTGAAGATAGTATGTACGGATATCACTACTCATCTTGATAACGTTCAACGACCACCGGGAGGGTTAGGTAGACAAGGGTATGATGAGAAACAGGCAGATATCAGAAAATTCTTCTCTGGAGGTGATTGATATAATATGTTTGCTTGTTCTTCTTTCTTCTTGACAGGTGGCTTCTATGAAGAGATCCTTCCGTTTTCTCCTGTATAGCTGTATGAGGGGCAGTTTAGTGGAATGGAAAAGGGGAGAAAATGCATATACTATTGATTTGGATTATTCATTCTTCTATATCTTCATCGTCCTCTAATAGAGATTGCAATCTTCGGTGTTGCAAGTCGGTATCCAATGCGTCCAAGAGTAAATCCAAACCTGGTCCATCGAGAACGTTTTGGATGCCGGTCAGACTGAGGCCAATACGATGGTCTGTCACTCGGTCCTGATTGTCAGTTCTTGCCTGGTTGCGCACATGAGTGAGATTGCGAAGAGCAGTATACATTCTCGCAATCGAGTGAGGGCAAGGAAGATAAAACGACCAACCAACCTGTGGAAAATTATAAGTGCGGATCTTATCGCTTCTCCCCGAACTTTTCACTTGACTTCGACGGGTTGAACGACGAGCTTCTACCTCTTCGGCGTGCTTGCGCTCACTCAATCGAGCTCGAAGGATTTCCCATGCCCATGCGCGGTTCTTTATAGTCAGTCTTTCTCAATCTTATTGAACAACGATACTTTGCGCTGGCAGAGATCTGTGTCTGTTCTTCCTCCCCTCCAGTCTCGGTCCGAAAAGCTTGCATAGCAGTGCAGACAGGGATGTAGTGCGTCGATGGATTCCTAAGATAGTCAGAAATATGAGGTGGGGGAAGGTGGATGACATGAAATTAGAGATGAACATACCTGATGTTGTGATCTCGAATCTTGCATAGAGACGGTGATACCCGTTGGAAGGTGAGTTAGACGAACGGCAGATTCAGTCTTGTTGACATGTTGACCACCTGCACCTCTAGATCTCATGACTTCTGTCTTTACGTCTTTCGGATCTACTAGTGGTGCATCGGGTAGATCAGGATAGATGGGGAGTATCTGGTTGTCAGGAGTTCATTCTCTCGCTTTCATCAAACCATCAACCGTCGAGACACTCGAATTAACACCAGGATCAACAGTGAGGGTCAGTCATGAGAGTGAGTCATGCTACAATGATAGTCACTCACTACTACAGCCGCGGTACTTGTATGTACCCTTCCTTGAGTCTCCGTCAAAGGTACTCTTTGAACTCTATGAACTCCACTTTCCCATTTCAATCTACCATAAACCTCTTGTTCTTCTAAAAATAGTGGTTTCTCAAATTTGATAGTACATTCTCTCAACCCACCACCACCTTTAGCTCCTGCACCTTCTGTCTGACTCAAGATCTCTCCTTTCCATCCCTTTTCTTCGGCGTAGCGTTGATACATCCTCGATAGATCTTGTACGAACAAGGCTGCTTCTGATCCACCTACTCCGGCGTTGATGGATATGATCACTGGTAGTTCTGCCGCTGGATGAGGAGGGAGTAGTAAACCGGGTAAATCATCGGTTACGATGGTATCGAGTTGAGAAATGAGATCGGTTTGTTCTTCCAAAAGCATAGACCGAAGTTCAGGATCGTTTTCATTGGCATAGTGTGATTTGAGATCTTCGATTGACTAGTCATCAGTCAACACTTTTTGCTTCCTATTTACATTCCAGATGCAAAGTAGTCGGACTTGATGAAAAGATGGAGATAAGGACAGGGGGAAATATGTATGCTCACCTGGAGAAGCCTTCGATATCTTTCCCAAGTCTCAGCAAGAGGCTTCAACTGTCTACGGATTTTAGCAGCTTCGACATTGCTTTCTGTGTCTGAAGTTTGAACAGCGGCTTGATCATATCTCTCGATCCTACGTCGGACTACCTCGAGGATCTTTTGTCCATGATCATTCGTGCTGGGACTCGCAGCGCAACTCCTTGGGGAGGTCGAGAAACTTCGGGGAAAGTTTGAAGGGGAGAGGGAGGAACCATTGTGCTTTGAAATGAAACCCTGAGAGCACGATACATATGGCGTGGTGGGGCTTGCAATTCCTGATCCTGATGCTTGCCGATGAAATGGTCTCACTCTTTTGCTTGTGAGTGGTATTCCCTTACACAGTGACCGGGGTAAGGTCATTGATCGTACGCCTCGTACGTTACGTGTAAAGTAAATACCAGAACACCAAAGTAAAGTTGACCAAGAGATGCCGTAAGATTATTTGTGTGAAATGGAGTAATGATAATGATGTTTACTCAACTGGCTGAGTACTATAGTACTACTTGTAGTCTCGATCCAAACCTCCTTCATCCTTGATCCTTCTTCGCCTTGCACACCTTTCGATCGAAACAACTTGAGGTGAGTACTCGTTACCTTATCCTTCATGTTACTTTCTCCTCCCCCCCCCCTCCCCCCTTCTCATCCTCTTCACAACACAAACAATGCCTCATTTTCCAATCAACCCCGCTCTGGTAGCCCACCCACATTGGGTATCTTCGCCGACTCTGCTTGCCCTCCCAGTGGAAGGCGTTCCTCTTCCTCCCACGAGGGAGGTGCTCAAGGCTCTGAACTCTTTCGCTCTGCACTTAAGAGCTGACGATGACGAGCACATGTTCCGAGCGAAGCAGCTCCTAGACATGGCGATAGATGAAGCTTGTGAGTTCAAACGTAGTTGTGTCGTGTTGGCTTGACCCACCTTAGATCGACCTCTTCATCCACCTGGCCCTCCAGCTCTAGACGACATTCGGCGTTCTGTCGATGAGCTGAACACCACGGTCGCAGCCCTCGGCAATACGGTCGCAGCCCTCGGCAATACGGTCGCAGCCCTCGTCAATACGGTCGCAGCCCTCGCCAATACGGTCGCAGCGAATCATGCGGCCAGTCAAGCGTCCTTGAATCGTCTTGCCCAGAGTGTGAACGTCATCACAGAGCATGATCTTCAGCGTAGAGCGATGGTACGTCTTCTTGTCTCCACACGTTTGCTTGCGAATGCTCACCCACAGTCTCGTAATGCTTTCATCGAAAACTCGATGCCCCGAATGGACGCCGATTGGGTGGCCGTCCCAGTCGTGGGGGGTGTACCTCCAGGAGTCGTTCTCCCTCCCGGCTTACCCATTCCTGTTAGTATCACCCCGTGAACCAGTGAGACCTCATTGAGCTGACTTGAAGTGGCAACATCACCCCAAGTCTGCATTGGAGATCAATACCATGCCGGGTGTAGTGGTCCGTCGGTGGCTCGCCCACTATGGTGTCCAGCCCGTCCGTCGGGTACAAGCAAACAAGGTCATGTTAATGACCTTTCTGACCGGGGGCATGTAAACTCTCGGCAACGTGGAAACCGGGTCAAAGGGTACTTCGCAATTCGTAGATGTTCATACACTGACGTACAGACTCGTGCCGATGACCTACTTTCGGCCCGCCCCACCATTTTCGGGGGGAACGTTGTGACCGCGTGCCATCCACCCCCCCATGAAGAATGCTTTCGCCGTCTACATAATCTCGCAATTTGCTTCGTATCTTAATTCACATTCCATTGCCACCGTCCACCATCCTAAAGATGTTCTCCAGACCTATCATCGCTGTAGTTGGGCTGACCCTCGTATCTGCCGAAAGTTTATCCGACTATGTCGAAGGTCTTCAAAACGCTTTCACCTCGGCCGGGTTGAATCGGATGTCTCAAGGGATAGCCAGTATCAGTTCGACTGACTTTGGTCAGAGAATGTTGGGACAGATGCAGGCGGATGATGAAGTTACAATTTTCGCCCCCATGGATGATGTGAGTGATGATTTCTTTTCCTCCTAGGTTGTAGATTGTAGGGCAGGTTGCAATGGGGAGAAAATATGACACGAGGCTGACAAGACAGGCTTGGGATCCTCCAGGACCTTATGGAAACTTGAGCGATCCTCAGAACATAGTGACGATGCTTTCGTATCAGGTGAGTGGTATGACCTCCACACATTCTTAATCTTTTCGGCTCGGATCGTGGTTTCCGTCTCAAACTCTTTGAATGATAGGGTGGCAAAAGAAGGAGATGTTGGTGGTAAGAAGGTTCACGACTAAGTCCAGATCGTCACTACCAACCTCACTGCCTCGAGGATGCCAGATCCACCTTCACACACAATCGCCTTCACTCTTTTCCGTTCGGCTGATCATACCCTTCCAGGGGATCAAACTCAGGTATTAGTAGTGGAAAGGGCAGATCCTGGATTGGTAGTGAGAAAACCAGATTATAATCTCACCACTACTGGAGATGTCAGTTTCTATAGTAACGTGGTGATCTGGCCCACAGACGGGGTGAGTTGTTCTTTCCCCTTTTACATCATCTCACATGTGATCACATATTTCCTTTCGAGTCTCTACCTCTCCCGATTGCTGAAACATACCTTGGTTCACAATAGTACGAGTCAGCTATTTTTACCATATGAGCGACTGCACAAATACTGACCGATCAGATCATCCAACTAGTGGGTCTTTATTGATCATTGATCAAATGACAACTCACTCTACCAGCCTATAGATTCCCTCGACGTCTTATCCCATATTATCGATTATCCAGATGGCACTATCCCCGCTGCCGGATGGGAGCAGATACTTTCTAGTACAGATCTCACTGGTTCTTTCGAAGGATGTTTCGGATGTACTTTCTTCGTCCCCATTGACAGGGCTGTTGAAGCTGTCAATGGCACTTTACAAGGATACAAAGATAATTTCAGAAGAGCCGTCGTGAAGAATCACGTGGGTCATTTCTTTGTTTCTTCGTTTCGTCCTTTCCCACTCCAACTAGAGCTGATGCTTCAACCCTAGATAATTTGCTCACACTTGAAGAACCAGCTATAAGTGGATCAGAAGCTGACAAGATAGATCATCAACGGAACCACCATCTATACCTCTCAGTTACACGAAGGAGACACTTTCGTTACTTCTGGAGGGGAGACCATCGCATATGCTTCCAATGATACCGGAAGTTATTTCCTCTCTCATGGACAAGCGGCACGATTGGTCAGAGGAGATATCCCAACTTCGAACGGTGTCATTATTGTGAGTTTACGTTCTATTCTCGCATCCTACCCTTCCTCATGATGACGCCTTTTCCGCTACTGACATTTCCACTTTATGGCTACAGCTTTCTCGTGGGGTGATGCCACTGTCACTTGGTTGTTCTGGCACTTACATGCGCTGATACGCCAGCTCATCGACACCGTTTTCCTCGAGACCAATACGGACACAAGCAATGCTGACCATGCGTACGTCCTCATCACCTCACCACTGTCCTTCTCAAACAGTAAGACTGACAATCAGGGCGGAAGACAATAGAGATAACGCTCCGACAGGTACTTCTCTCTCAGGTATAGCAGGTCAAATCCAACAAACCCTCACCCTTCCTGCCACTTCGTCCGTCGCTACACCCACTTCTACGGGTTCGACAACGGTATCTGCTGGTTCCGATCAAAGTTCTGCTATTTGTCTTTCTGCATTACCGCTATATATCTGGATGAGTATTCTCACGATCGTGACAATGTCCTCAGTAAACGTATGGGAGGCGTGAGGAAGCAACGAGGAGATGATCTACGAAACACACGATTTTCATGAGGTTCAACGCCAAGATAAGGGATTCCTATTCAGATAGTTTATTTTATTGGGTCAGGATGGATGTATGATTCTTGTATCAAATGCCAGGTGGACCATAGGTCATGTGAATCAGTCAGTCGACTTGTCAAACTCCAACCTTGCGCTCTCTGCGATCAAACTTTCCATCCATCGGAATGCCTTGGTGTCAGTATTTCCCCCCTGCACGGCTTCTCCATATCAGAGTGATTGTGGTTCTTTGACCATAGATTTTGTGACATTTGAGAAGACAACAGAGACTGAGTGAAAGACAGGAGAAGAGAGAAGAGTAAGGTAACCCACCCTGGTCTGGTACCCCATCTCATCCATCCACTGGGTAACTTCATCCACATCTTTCGCTTTCTCAGGTAACCTCCCTCTCCTCTGTAACAACTTTACTCTTTTCTCCGTAGCTGCTCTCCGACGTTCCCTATTTGCTCGTCTATCGGCCACTTCTTCCGGATCTGAATCAGGGTCAGAGGCGGAGGATGAAGCTTCCGAATCTGATGGAACTGGTAAACGACGGGCTCTGAGAAGATCACGATGATGTTGACGTATACGTTGGAAGAGGTCGAGTTCTGGGATAAGTCAGATGACCAATTCCCTCCTTTTTCCATCTACTTGACAAGGGGTACATGTACTTTCCCCCAATCGGCGTTGCTTGAGCGAATAGGTCTCGAAATGTGAAGGTCTAGCAAAACCAAAGGGAAGAATGTAGTATCGAGGGATGGGTAGTGAAATGAACTGGTGAGATTGTGAAAACTAGGAAGAAGGGATGAGATTGAAAGAAAACATGAGACAATAAACTCACCCCAATGACACATTTTATGATACACTTCTGTACGTTTATGACAATGAGTACCCATGAATAATTCTTTGGGTAATTTATCTTCTGAATCGATGGAAGAACTAGATTCTGATTCCGATTTTGAATCCGAATCAGAATCTGAATCGAGAGGTTCGTAGTTGTTTCTATCGTAATCGTCCCCATCGAGATTAATCTGAATGACTGATTTGTAATTTGAACGATTACATGCGTCACAATGTTCAGTGGGGTGATCTAGTCTGATCGCCTGAAGGTTAGCTGAAGATCTCACCGATCCCTCTCTCCCTCTCTCCGCCTTTCTCATTTCTTATATATGACGAACAGGCGGATGCGGTTGTCACGGTCAATCAGGACGGAGAGGAGTAAGTAAAGAGGTCGATGTCCAGTCGACCTGCTCAAGATATAAGTCTCGAGAGATGGAAGAAGATAGAGATGGTGTATGTAACTTTGGAAGTCGTGCTTGAAATCCAAGACTTGGGATGGTGCCTAACATGCGAAGAGACCCCAGTTAAATGGATAAGAATGGGAGAGAGAGTACCAAAACTGACATAGGAACGATTCCAAAATTGGAGAGGGAAAAAGGAAGTAAAAAAGATGAAATACTCACTCGATAAACAGGATACCTCTCTAAAGCTTTCACCAACCTACTTGGCCAAATTTGACTTCTGACTCTACCTTCCCTATAACCAGTCATCTTCCTTCTTTGATCTTCTAATTGAGGTAATAAATATCCCGCTGCATCACCTTTCAAAGGTAAGATCTTTGGTCCTTTGACAGCTAACAAAACAAAATATTGAAAGACGACTTTCAACTTGAATTCCGGAGTTTGAGCAGAGTTGAGAGAAAATTGATGTGGTAATAAATCATCAGGTACATGACCACCATCATCAATTATGAAATCTTCTTCATCACTTTCACTTTCATCATCATCATCATCTTCTTCTGAATCATCAGAAGTGGAAGATTCAGAAGATGAAGAAGATTCTTCTAAACCTAATCGACGAGCACGAAGATGACGCATTTTACGTTGAAAAACAGTTTCTTTTACACGTTCACGTAGACGTGTGGAAGATTTGAAACGTTCTGGTTCATCTAGCTTAAGATCTTCTACCATATCTTCAGGAGAAGATGAATGAGATCGTTTAGAACTTTTATTTTTGTGTCCTTTTTCGCGGTGAGATTGTCCTTTAGAAGGTTTATCAACTTGTTTTCCTTTTCCTTTTCTGTCTTTGTTTTTCATACTCTTGGACGAATGTCCATCTTCGGTTCGCCTTTTGCCTCCTTCGTTGAAAGCCTTTTCTTTACCCTTTCCAGTTCTGTAGGTAGTGACAACTTTTCGTTTCTCTCCAATGTGTTTCTTTATAGTTCTTTGCATCTCATCTTCGTCAAGTGAGGATTCTGCTGAACTGACATGACCACTGGTCTTTTTCTTCTTCATCTCCTTTTCCTTCTCCTCCCCGTCAACGTCCACAACAGGATCAACTACCTTTGATGTGCTAGATGGACCATTTTCTATCTCCTCGTCCGCATGATCCACACCAAAATCACCACCTGCAGGAGTCGTAGCGGTCAAAATATCCAAAAACGAATCTGAAATATATCCATCTTCCTCCATTTGACCTTCTGGGGGATTGTCAAACACTAGAAGATCATCTTGATCGTTTAGGAAAAGAGCAGCATGGACCATATCTTCTGATATCCCGGGTAATTGGTCAGTTTCGAGTGGAGGTATAAAGTGATTTTCTTCCATGTGAGGGGCAATTCCATTCCGGTCGGAAGAGGGAAAAATATGAGAATCGGCATTGATGATATATTGACTCAAGATTTGAGGTGATAGAGTGGGTATCTCTACGAATGCAGTGGTGGTTCTTGACGATGAGATCTTTCCTTCCTTAAAGCCTTTACCACCTCTCCCTCCCCGTCGTCGTTCTACTTGTCCACCCTTACTTCTATTGCTTGAGTCGGCCAGATCCATAGACAGTTCTTCGTCCTCAGAGCTCATTCCAACTCTTTGCGGATCTTCCTCTCCACGCAGGATCGCAACACGCGACGGTTTTCCCCTCCCCCTTTCAGCAGAGGGTTTCACACTCGTTTTCGTATTTGTAGCCAAACGAGTTCTTGAAGTCGGAGCGGGAGAACCCTCTATCTCAGATATCCCCAATTGTCGTTCCATCCGTTGACTCCTATGTCCCGACGAAGGTGAAAGAGGATCGAGGAGGATATAAGGTATTTTCCTTCCTTTTCTTTGCGCACTGGATGGCTTTCCAGGTTGTCCAACAAAAACGATTTTACCCTTTTTCTCAGGTGTCTGAGCGTTTTTATTTTCTCCAGACCTGTTCTCTTGCAAATTAGACCTCGGCTTTCCTTTTTTATCTACTCCAGTGGTTGCGATGTTTTTACGTGTGTTTTCTTCTTCTTCTTCGTCTTGAACCTATAACGTCAGCATCCCTGAGTACAATGGAAAAATGAGGAACGTATGGAGAACTGACAATTTGTTTCCTTCCCCCTTCTGGTCTCACATTGTCCTGGGGTATCTCGTTATTCCCTTTTTTGACCCTGCCTTTCCCCTTTCCCCTTGATTTGACAACTTCTTCAATCTCAATATCAGTATCCAACTCATCTTCTCCTTCTTCATCATATTCAACCCCAAATGCTTGTTGCTGCTGATGGCCCTCGTTCTCCCTAGAATCATCCGGGTGTTGCTCCTCGAAATCCCCACCCTCAGCCTCATGGTAGTCGCCATCATTTCTTTCGCTCTCAAGATCCTTTTCTGAATAAACATCCTCATTGTTTGGATCTCGCTGGTCTTCACTATTAGAACGCAAATGTTTCCTCCCTCGTGTTCCTGACCCCACTTTGATCTGAGACAAGACGACTCCTGCCAACCCCTCGGAACCTTCGCTATCCCCTCCAGGGCTGTATCTGCGTGTTGCGGGTTGACGTCGTTTGGTGGGAGATTGGTGAGGAGATCGGGTCGATGGACCAGCTTCGATAGGTGATTTATGAGGGTCTTTGCTCGATGGACCAGCGCGTGGAGAGAGATGGGGGTCAAGGGTGGATTGTCTTGCCATTATGACCAGACGTGGTGGTCCCGACTCCTATGCGGGATCAACTGCTCGCCGTCGAATGAGACGAGAATACGGGAGATGTGTCGAGAGCCGTAGTGATGACTGAGGGGCTACTCAGATTCGCTTAATGTATCTGATCATTGAGAAAAATAGTGATGATGAGAAGATTTTGAGTGGCCGGAGTGGACTGGCGACGATTTGGTGCAGCAAGGGTTAAGCGTGGCAGATCCTTCTACTGGTACTTCCTTTGTGGCGCTGAAAACGTTTGAAGGATACACAATGGACAAGGAGAATGCATATTTTGTCGACTGTTTGACTCTTTTAGTCCATGTCACTCAACTAGCTTTTCTCACGAGACATTTCAAAGCATGGCCCATGCCAACACACTGCCCAAACCCCAGAGAGCACCAGACTTGAACTCCACGTTGATTCTACCCGCGCCGGAAGTCGAGCTCGAGCTGGCGGCTGCCGACGAAGCACTGGGCGCGCTGGACGAAGCGGGTGCGCCTGACGACGTGGCAGTAGCAGATGGACCACCGGAAGCTGTCACTGAACCACTAGAGAGAACGGCGTCTTCGTTGGATGTGCAGTTGACATTGGAAGGAGGGGTAAAGTCGGAGAGGAGAACGAGGTCGGTACATTGGAAAAGGAAGCCGTCCCCCTGAATGTCAGCTCGACATTTCACACCACCTTCATAAACCAACAAATGTCCTCCTGCCATGATTCGCTAGTAACACAAGAGGGGGTCGTCGATCAGTGGATGATGAAGTGAAAGAGATGGACAGGAAAAGAAGAGAAGGATGAATGGAACTCACCCCGTCAAACTGAATTTGCAAAGTCACCAAACTGCCATTTGTCAATCCAATGTTCAAAGAACTGAAATCTACATTCCAACAATACTCTCCCTCGTGGACCTGGAAAAAGTTGGTGAGGAGAGGGATGGAAGTTCCATTGGAAGTCTTGTTGAAATCGTCAAACGAAGTGGGGGTCTCCGAAGTGGAAATGAAAGCGACGACAGATGCGGTGGTATGATGCGAGTCGATCCAAACTGTGTGTCAACGTGAATCATTGTTAAATTGTATTTGTGAGACAACGGCGATCACATGACCATATGGCCGGGATATGGGTGGAGCATGAAGTATGAGTTTCCCTGTGTGAGGATGGGAGTAAAGGGAGAGAGAGGAGATGACTCACTTGGTGCTTGTGTCAAAGGGAATGGTTGTCTAGTCTCGACATCGTTGAACCCTCCGCAAAACTGTTCGTGAGCTTTGACAGTTCCCAAATTTTCACCTATCCACAAGTATATGGAAAAAAACACCCCAGCTTTTAGAGTGGGTAGAAGTGGTCAAGATATGTCAAAGTCGAACTCACCTTGGGTTCATCATCATCACTGAACCCTCTGGAAGTCTGTTAATTAGCTTTCTTTCGATCTCGAAGGACGTCCTTATGATACGTACAGGATAATCCAAAGTGAAATGAGCCAGGACGGTCGAAGCGGCCAACACAGCAGAAAGTACAAACATTTTCATCTTGGTTCTGGTCTCTTATTTCAACAATTCGACGGTGGACTTGTGAAGTTCAGGGTAAAGTCGGTAAGTATGGAATGAGACGAGGGCACGCCAAGGGGAAGAGTCAGTCTTTTATATCTAGCTGTTGTATATCCCTTTGGCATGATGCTTAACGAGAGGATGATTACTTGGCGACCAACTACAACGACGATCGCAACATGATTCGTCCGTACGCACAACGAAATGTCGGCATCGTAGTGGGGTTCCTTCAGGCACGTACCATTTAAGCCGCGGGGAAGCGAGGCAATTTCAAAAGGCCTCTACCAGTGGAGTGCTCAGTGACTTACCTGTGCTCGTACTGTTGCAGGTATGCAGGTCTTGTCTCATGAGATAACATGCAGCATAAACATCATCGAGAAGGGATGAACCAAATAGATCTGCATCTCGGCTAGGTAGCGAATAGATCTGCATTGCATATTTGGAGTAGTACAACATTTGCAGCGATTCCAGCAAACTCAAATGCCCGCCTGAGCCATTTTGTTTCCGTCCTCAACTTTTCCATATCTTTACGTAATCCCACTTTCGCGCCCAAGCTCGAGTTCTTTCAGGCGACGTTGGACTATCAACTAACTTGCACATCATGGCAGTAGAGCAACGTCCTTGTAAGTTCTCTTATCGTCTTCCTTGACCACACTGACGAGATAGTACCCAGAGATGCGAGATTGATCTCTCTCATCTTAGCTTCGAAGGGTATACAAGATGCGGAAGATAGGGTGTTACACCAATTACTCGATTTTGCCCATCGTGCGTTTACACTTCCATCCATCCTACTACTATCATAAACAGAGGCCAGTCAGGAAGGAGAATGGTACTTGGAAAAGATTTAGGAGCTAGTCAGGAAGGTAGATGGTACACTGGATAAGTTGAAGAGTCCAATCAGGAAGGAGGATGGTACGTTGGATAAGGTCGAATGAGGAGTGTTGAGTGAGAGATTATATTACATGATCGATTGCGACGAAGGAAGAAAGGATATTCAACTGATATGAAAGGTTACACTGCCGACGTATTACAATCAGCTCAAGTATTAGCCGATCATGCAGGTCGTAATGGTCGACCGGTGATTGAGAAAGAAGATGTAGAATTAGCTATAGCTATAAGACAAAGAATGGAATTCGTAGAGGGACCTCCTAGGGATGTGAGTTTTCTTTCTTTCCTTTTTTTCCCCTCCCATCAGTTATCACCTTATCTTTCCTTTTACGCCATATCTCTCGAAGGTATTATTCATCTCTTTAATCGAATCCTCCGAGTTCGAGTCACTGTTTCATACCGATCGGGAATCCCCCTCTATCCAGTCCACCCTGGTTCTTCTTCCTCTGTACCTCAAGTTTTCCAAACACCTCGAAACCGAAATGTACAAAGACCTCGAAACCAAATTGCAAACTATCTCTTTTGGCATGATGAAAAACAACATTAATAGCAACTTCATTTCATCGACCATGTTTCGAATACTTTGGTGCACACGTCTGGGCAGTATGAAATGAACAATGTACTGATTACCAGTATCTAGCATCCTTAGCCCACGATCTAAATTCCCGTCCATTACCCATCTTAACCGAAACATTCGAACTTGTTCGTCTTCCTCCACCTCATCAATGTATCTCTAACATCTCTTTCGACCTCGTCTTAGATCCCACAGCTATAGAAATAGGTATGGAAGAAAGTGAAAGTTCTTCTTCTGATGAAGAGAGTGATGAATTACCGACGGATGATGATGTTGGAGAAGGTGAAGGAATGGAAGAAGAATATGTGGAAGGAGATGGGGATGGGGATGTGGATGTGGAAGAGGATGGTGATGGTGATGGTGATGAAGAAGGTGATGGAGATCGGGATGAAGAGATGGAAGAAATTGATGTTGATGTTGTTATTCCTGGTGTTAGAGATAGAGAGATAGATGAGGACTATGATGTTTAAATCGTTGTAAATCTTACCATGTATCACTATATTCATTCTTCGTCGGTATGCTTGAATCGTTGACAAAAAAACATTGAGCGGAAAGATAATTCAAGGTGTGTTGGATAAATGTCATACAGGGTTTGCAATGCGAAATCATGAATGTAACATGCAAAAAATGCTATGGTTGAATCGTATATTCGTTATCTATCTCCCGGCTCTTCCTCAACCTTCAGTACTCTACTCCTGTACAAAGCCTATACCCGTTCCTGCTTAAACGCTACCATCTTCCTTCTCATCAAATCTGGCTGGAGTTATCCCTCGTCGATTTCTAGAAACAACTATCTTGTTGAGATGAACCCGATGTGCACATAAACATGTGTCTAAAGCTAAAGAGGATCCATCAAGCAGATGTACTACCTTGTCGACTCCCACTTTGACCAGCTTGAAGAGAAGCATTACTCAATCTACTATGTACAGACATGGCATCTTGTTGTTGATGTGCCAGTTCTGCATATCTACCTCGTCAATTTCTTCCTTTTGTATTGTAATATCGATCTTCTTTCAATACACTGCCACTGATCCCCTGTCTAGCCACCTCCCGGATTAGATATGGAGCACCGAGAGACGAACAAGATAAGCACAGAATAAGTAATACCTCACAAGCCACAGATGAAGGACGGATAAGTAGCGACTAAAACAGTAAAAACTCACAACATCTTGTATCGCACCAATTCACTTTCCGTCTCTTCCTTTTCGATTTTACACATTACCAATTGTCTAACGAGTTCGACATGTTCTTGATTACTATAATATCAGTGTCGTTCCGACTTTCGATCACCCTTCAGTCTTCGTGTTTGTACTGAGCGATTCAATGACATAGTGAGGTGAAATGTCGGATGTGAGATAACTCACGAGCTGGCTAAAGACACTTCGAGTTGTTTCCTAGATATTTCAGCTATGCAGCGTGGATATATTACCAGATGAGTATTCGGAATGACATAGATGAGAGACGAACCTACAAAAGTACGTATACGAAGAAGTTGCGGGGACTACACATAATATAGCGGGGTTTACATGAAGGATTCGGAAGGGGAATTAGGAGACGACATACACTTGAGAACTCAGATTACGATTGGCATTTCTCAACATGTCTAATTCCAACGCATGAGCATTGAGACTGCGTAGACGTTCGTTATATTCCGCCTCATACGAGTCGAGCATGAAAGGCGTTCTGACGATCAGCGGAAGCCGTACCGGGATCAGGTCATCTCAAGCTGGCAGCCCTTGTACCTTGTGCTGAGTCTTCCATACAAGCAGGCTCGGTGAGTCCTAGACGAGTAGCTGCCCACAAACGCGTAACAAAGAGTCCAAATCGGATCTGGCTCAGCGACGAGAGCATAGGAGATACAATCTCCGGTACTCCATGTTGGGCGGACATTATAGAAGAGATAAGAGGCAAGGATCAATAAACCCACATCCTGACAGCATAAGCATCCCGAACAAAATCATTAGCCCTCCATTCATCTTCCCCCAACATATCTCCATCCGGTCCCTCATGAGCCTCATCCTCTCCTACTCTGTACACTTCAAAAAGGTCGCTTTGAAGATACGTCAAGATATTTTCGAACTCCAATTGGACCAATTTATCCTCCGACTGCTGCAGAAGAGCAAGAGAGAAACGAAAGATGGCTTCGATACCTTCGGCGAAGATGATGTCGAGGACGCGGTAGACGAGGGTAAGGGGAAAGCTGTTCTTAGCACAGCACTTCTATTTGTCTTCATCCACATCTGCCTCGCTTTGTCAAGGTCGTACGATGGGTATTATATGTAGGTTATACAACGAGAAAGACTCATAACCGTATGTGAAGACTGAGTGAGAAGAAAGAGTTGTGGGTAGTCTGAGGATGGTGTGGAGAGACGACATACCGATTGGCAAACAATGTCAAAAGCCACGAACTCGCATACATACTGCTTTTCACTCCTTTCTTCAGCAAATGAGCGTGTAGCAAAGGTAACAAGTCCTCTATGAGCCGGTCGAATTGGAATAGCCGGAGTTGTAAACCGGGCATGTCTGCAAGATAGTGAGAGCGGAGATTATACGAGTCCATAAGTCTGACAAGAACACAAAAGGCTTCTTCGTCGGGCATCTACTGGTCAATCTGGAGACATTGTCATTCGACTTCCCCTCGTCACGTCGCCTACGGGGGGTGAATACCGAGAGAAGACCAAGGACGGAGAGGTCTGTCAGACAAGGGGAAGATGATGAAGAAGTCACATACATTTAGCAGTAATGCAGCCACGATGAAGGCCAAGCCTTGAGTATAGCCCACTTCTTGATCATATCTGCTACGTGAGTATAAACTCGCGTTTTGATGGTTTCGAACTCACAAGCTATACGCTTTGACCACCAAGAACAAACTCTCTTGTCCCACTCCGCCGCCCTCTTGGAAGTATTTGTGATGAGGAAAAGTCCGACTGAGATCTTTGGCAATTGCCTTTTCGTGCGGTGATGTTTCTTTCAGTAGTTTTTTGTATGTTTCTTCCAATGCAGCAGATTTGGACGAGGACATGAGCTGCCAGATTGCCCCTCTGATTGTCAGTTTCTCTCGACCTCTCGGATCATGTCCACAACTTAGCTCCCTTCCTGTGCCGACTAGTGCAAGAGGGTCGGAACAGGAGCTGTGCGCATCTTTCACTTACCGGATGACCGCCGGTATTCCTTGCTGAATAGCTCTACTAAGCTCCTTCGGTCTTGTCCTGGCAACCTCTTCGTAATCCTGTACCACAGCTCCCCAGAACGCCCAATCTATCCCTTCTTCCCCCTGATACGCTTGATCGTCTGCTTCACCCCCCGCAATTCCCTTCGCTTGTCTCTCTCTCCGCATGTCCCTAGCAGCATCCTCCATCTCCGCTCGTACTCTCTCGAATCCTTCTCTTAGCTTCTCCCCTTCTCCCATTTCCTGACTGATCCTTCTGTCGCGGGAGGCTGCCTGGTCTTCTATTCGGTGAAGCAAGAACGATGTCAAAGCCCCCCTGGATGGGCCAGCCTGGGCAGCTGAGGTAGGGGTGGCATTGGGTGAAACGGTCGGCATCGAAGGTGTCACCAAAGGTTGTAGACTCGAAGCTGGGGTACTGGAAGTAGATCTGGTAGAAAAGAGATTTCCGACTGCTGAACGCCAACCTTGACTCGAGTTCGAACCCGCTCTGGATTGTGACGGAAGGGGAGGATCAGTGGCAGGGATGCCCACTCCTACGCCGAAGCCGAAGAATGTGGTTTTAGGGGGTAGTATCTGAGCTGGAGGTGTTGCTATGGGTTCACGCAGAGGCATTGTTAGATCCTCGGGAGGTGTAGGTGGTATAGGAGACAATGAATAACTTGCCGTGTTGGAACTGAACGGAGGTTTCTCAGTCTTATCGCCCAAACTTGGCGTTCCAGCAGATAGAGGAACCTCTGAAAACACGTCTCTGCTATTTCCGGAAACCGGAGTAGCTAGAGGATCTTCCATTCTAGTCCCCTTCGGACTCACATCGGGTTCTTGAGGTGGTGGTTTGATATATTCTTTCTTGGAGCTCGTATCAGGTGATGGGGTCAATGTTTGGCTCTTGAAGGATGTGAGAGAGGATGAGCTATTGGTTGTCGCTAGAGTAGGCTTGATTGATCTGAAGGAAGTCGAGGGCGAAGTTTTGATAGCTGCTGGACTCTTTTGCTCGAACATAGCTGCGGCAGCTTTGACCCGACTAGGGCTCACTTTGACGGTTGCCCGTTCCGGCGAGTGGGCAGTGTGCGAGTGCAGGGATGATGAGGACGAGAAGGCAGGAGAAGAAGTGGGTATAGGACTATCGGTGGGCACATCTTCAAAGACATCGTCGGGTTTGAGATCGATTGGTAGTTCAAGCTCTTCAGCAGCTTGAATTTGAATGTCGGTTGGGTCACTCATGGTTGTTGAAGACGGGACAGCCGCTACCAGATCCGTCATGTCGGTCTTTTCTACTCCCAAGCGTCGATTTCTTCCTCAGAATTGACGGGGAAAGCTCGTGGACGCGTCAGAAGCAGGTCAGTACGAGTGAAGGCGAAGTGGTGGAAGGAAGGTGTGCTCTAAAGGGTGGTGGTGGTGGTGGTGGTGGGTTTGAAACAGAACAGGTCATATATGGACACGATTAAGGTTTGCCTTTTGACTTTGCTTCCGTCGGAAACTTGTCCCACACTTTCTTCACCCTTCGAGCCAAATTTTCGCTGCAAATTACCTTTCGACGATATCATGGCCATGTCTTCACAACATCGAGAGAAGGAGCACAGATCTGAAAAGAACAAAGAGAAGAAGAGATCAAAGAATCTCTCTCCCCCTCCAGCGCTGTCAAAAGCTATCATCGAAACTTCCGATGAAGATGTGGACGACGACGTTGATGGGAAGGACGGGAGAAGTGAAGAGGATTCAGATGTGGAGAGTGATGATCTGGAAGGTATCCAGCCTAGGAGAAAAGCAAACACAAATGGACTGGAGGCTCCTTCCCGCCCCACTGCTCCATCAGGGAAAAGATCTCAGTGAGTTGCAGCGAGCATAGAGCTCATGGCTGATGACAGACCATACTCTCCTCCATCAGGAATGATCCCATTGAACAAGACGACAGAAGTCTCCTCTTCTATATTCGAATGGGACAGACTTTCAAAGATGCCCGGAGTGGAATTATGGGCCATCAGAGTGCCTTTAGACGTGAGTGTGTTGCTATTTTCACCCATACCTAATTCACTTGAACTAGCGTTACAACAGATGCTGAGATTAGTTCAAAACATCTCGTCTTTCTTCCCTTTCTCTCTCTTCCCCCACTTCTACCAGACCTCCATCCGGTACTCTGAAGACCAAACACACAACATACAGTTTAGTCACCGCTGGCGACATTAGACCTTCTTCAACGGCCGTTAATGCTCAAGGTCGGAATCCCACTGCCGGACCAGGTTTGGCGGAAGCCATGTCGATGGACGTTGATGGAGATCTGGAAAAGGACATGAGGGGAGAAGGAGGGGAAGAAATGAGTGGTGGAATGAGATTATTGGTACCTCGGGCGAGTGATGGGAAACTGTTTATCTGTGAGTATGCGAGTCTTTTCCAGTCCTAATTCCGTCCACTGCATCGGTCCGTATGAAGTCTTAATGGGCGGCCCTTCACCATCTCACCTCAGCCGTCTTTGTTCATATCATAAAACATCGACAGCTTTATGGCAATGTTGAGGAGGTTCTCGCTGATATCAGCTCCGATACCTATAACCCGTCATCTACTTCTCACTCCTGATCCTCTCCCACCACCTACTACAGACCCCGCGGTCCCACTCCCTTCTTACCTCTCTACACCCAATCCCTCTCAACCTCTACAACCGTCTTCCATCTCATCGACCCCACTCAACGCCATCAACGGAGACAAGGAGATCAAACGAGTCCAACCTCTCCATCTGTTGAAATTCCGGAATCAAGCATACGGTTTTGATACACCCGGTCCTATCTCCTTCACTCCTCCCGAACCCTCACTCGACCCTGAGGAAACCAAGAGCACGCCTAAAAAGGAAAAGGTCAAGAAAAGGAAAAGTGAGATGACGGACTTGACTACCAAAAAGAAGATCAAAGTTTGAGGTTGTCTCTTGAAAGAAGAACTGCGATTACGAATTTATAACACAAGACGACATCGTATATGCATGATTCCCTCCGGAGAATATTTTTCACTACCCATGAACGTTCGGGATTAGAATTGAGAGTTAGAGGAAGATATGAGAGACAAGGTATATATGCCGGGAAGACTCGATTTGAACCACGACTATCACATCACCCCCGAAGCGCTTCTCTTGATCATCGATGCTCTGTTCAGATAGCGTGGGAGTGTCTTGGACTCACCTGAAAGGATGGAAATGGAGTGGACATATTACGTACCATTTTGGTGATCAGGCAGTGGAGCGCCCACGTATGCACCGCTTCACCTCCAAGTCTTCCTGATGAACATAGCATCTCAGATTTACAAACTCCCCACTTCAAGTCTGGTTCATAGCTCAAGTTACATTCATTGCCACCACTGTACAATCTATGATGGTCACCGCATCCGACCAACAAGAAATTGACGTTGTTGCAGGAACTGATTTCCGCTACCAAATTGAAATTCACAAGACTTACTTGCAGGTTAGTCGGTCGTTTAAAATTGACATGACTGCACGGACAACGCAGGAGGAGCGAGCACATGGTATTGTAGTGAGGTCTCTTACAAAAGTGAGTTCCATCGCACAACAAAGTGCTTCCCGGCGTAAAAGCTTCGAAGCTCATTTTTCACAGATCATTCTAGACCAATACCCAGTGTCAAAACCATTGAACGAACCAGGTGCCAAGAGAAACGACTTGGACTCGATCATCATCAAATTCACCCCAGATGTCATGAATAAAGCTACAAAGAACGCACTGGAAGCGAGGATGAGTGATATTTGTAACCAATTCTTCGATGGAAGGGAAATCCGGTCATTGGGTGGTGCAATGAATCATACGGTCACGTACCATGGCAACATCAAACCTTCTAAGCATGTCCTCGATACTCTGTTAACACTTCCTGACTGTTTCCCCCTCCAACAGGATCCGTTAGACCAGATTCTGTTTTTATTTCCCGACAATACCTGGGCTCCGAGAAGGGCACATCACACCTACGATTCTGGGTCTGGGATTGAGGTTGCTTGGTATGAGAAGGGTGATACGATCTCTGATACTGACTTCGTTCCCTGGACCTGGGCTGGTCATCTTGCACGGTTTGCTACTGAAAAGCTAAATGCATCCACAAGTGATCATGATGAGCAAGCGGCTTCAGATTTTGACCGGTCGCAATTTGAAAAGTCACACTGGAAAACGAGTGCGTGAGGAGATGAGGTGTGGTGAGAGAGAGATGAGGAATCATGCATCGCATATGAAGAGCGACTGTACGAGTACGAGTACGAGTACATCTGCTACACTGCTAATCACGTCTGAGAGGACATCTTCCCAGTTGGTGGAGACAGTCATATCATGCATTTATGACTCGACACAAGGAGAACAATCATGAACCTTATGAGGATGCATCCCCTTCCACCTACTTGCCGCTCAATTCAAAGTTGATTTCCTTCAACCTCGACTCCCACCGACCCACATCATTCTCGAGAACATTGACAATCTTCTCCAATTCCGTCTCCAACTCCAGGTTTTCCGCTTCAGTTCCCGAGGCCAAATTGGTGAGCCTCCATCCCATCGCCATTTGCGGTGACGTAGGGATAGGAAGGTCGTTGAAGATTTGAGATTTGGAAGAGGCGAGTGGAGAGTCCGGTGGGGCGGATGGAGACTCGCCGATGCGCAGATGTCGAGTATGGTATTTGAGCAAAGATGGACGATGTCTGTTTATCAGCCATCATTCTGAGCCAAAAAAAAAGAGACGGGTAATTCAGTTGAAATCACTCACGATATAGTCACCAGGGTGATGCCTATCGATTTGGCGTGTTCATACATCAACCCTTCGACGTCGCTTGACACTGCTGAAGTACATTCGTCCAATATGGCATAATTCGGTCGGTGATAGCTGACGTCAGCTCTAATCATGAATGAGATTGCAGTCTCACAAAAGCCTGGCCATTCCCATCTATCGAGGTCAGTATCAATGTACTCATCATATGGTGCTCACTCTTTGTTTCTCTCCGCCCCTAGACCGTCAGCAAAGTGTCGCGTTGGGTGGGAAGACGCTCGAGAAAGAAGGACGGTGGATTAACTTACGACAGAACATCTTTCCATTCTTTTCTCGTTTCCCATCCTCCCTCGCGAGAAGGCAGATACTCCAAATGGACGTGTGCCAGTATGTCCATGAGCTCCGCATCTGTCCGTCCCCGAGCTTTCATCTCAGCGTACGACTCTGGGCTATCTCGTCAGCTTTATCTGAAAGCACTGAAACGGCATGAACATACTAGATGACCCTGCACATCAGCATTTCATCCGTAGGGAAAGATGACAAACGTACTGGTCACGTAGACTTCCGATACACAAGTAGGGTCGTTGAGGTAAGAAGAAAATTCCCCCTTCTCCCTGATGGGGTCTCTCTAACGATCCCGCCCATGTTGGCCAGAGCTCGGCAATGATACGAGCGGTTGATGTCTTTCCCACTCCGCTACACAGATCAGCGCTTGAACCTTGATGAAGAAGGTTATACAGACTTCGGGCCAGTAATGAGAGTATGATCACCCTTCTCCACCCGCAAATCCAACCTACGAAGTAATTCTTCCCCTCCCCTCCTAGCTCCCACTCCGGCAGCCGGTGCGACAATAGGTACGCCCTTGAGCAACAGGTGGTCCGGACCGACGATGACCTGACCATGGACATTAGACATATCATAGAAGGGCTAGACGTCAGCTGTTCTGACAAAGTATGGGAAACGACTGGCTGCACCTGATCTAGTGGTAATCCCTCCGGACGTGGATTTACAGGATAGATGCCGTCGTTCAAAGCGTGGAGAGAGGCGAGCAGACTGTACACTCGTGAAGTGTATCCAGACAACTCGGCAAGATCCTTGCCGGAATACATGAGTCGTCCACCAGCGTCCGCAAGAGAGATCAAGAGACGTCGGTTAGACATATAACCTGAAGTCGATCAGCCTATGTTCTCTATATTTCTGGGGACAGAGTACACACTTTCCGCGCGAGACGCCACTTGACTGTGTCCTCCTCCCGTCCCAATCTGCAGGGCATCTTTAGCGGCAGGGAAAAGAATCGGTATAGACATCAAGGCGTATCCGCAAGCGGACCAGAAATACTTGATGACGAAGTCTTCCGTCATTCTGCCGTGTCAGCAGATGATCCTCTCCCGGTGGACTAGACTGACCCGTAAGGTATGCGTACCTTGAGTGAAGTCAGCTTTCGTGTTCAGTCTACGGGAAAACGTACCTTGAAGACTGAATGAACGTGTCGAACCAGACGTTCGTACGTGGACCAGACAATGCCCATCTCCCTCTTTCCACCATTGTAGAATCTACACCTGTCAGGAGCTTGCCACGAGAGAAGGTCAAAAACTCACGCCACTTCCTCCCCGTCTCTGCCAATTCGGCTAAGTCCAGCTCGGTATTCACCTTCCAATTTGGCCTCCGAAGCTGCCATCCTCCCAAAGGCTGGTGTAGCGGCCCGTAGAATCCATGCGGTGAACGCATAATTTGTGAAGAGACCTAAAGTACCGATCGGTCCCAAGCTTGCTGCCAATTGGGATGTGAAGATGATCAAGTCGAGCGCGGGCTTTCCGATATTACCGCTTGCAATGTCAGCGGGGAGTCATGAAGACAAGTCTACCTTACTACAGGGCCGCGAGGGAGTCACAGAAGCGAGTCACATCGGTGGTGATCAACCTGCCATAATCAGCTCAGCTAGTCCACATATTTGTCCGACTGACTGGTCGGCTCCTCCAGCCGCAGCGTCGGCCGCACCAGTCTCCTTTCTGGCTTTCGTAACATCGACGTCCGACAAAGCAGTCACAGTTCCCAGTCCGAGACCGAATTTATAAAAACTGAGATTCTTGTTTCTATTTGTCAGATCGACCACTGGTAACACGAGCTCACAAATAAAGATCATCAATATATCTCGTCAAGTTTGTCCGGAAGGCCAAGGCAAGTTTTCTCTCCAGATATCGAATCTGACAATAAGCTACAAAAGACATTTTCTGCTACAACTGACTAACCATCGAGTTGGTGTATGTGCTTGGTACCGCTAAAGCGAACCACCATCCCAAACCTTGGAGAAATCCCTTTCCGTTTGCTGATACCTGTGCATCAGAGCTCTCTCCATCAGTCAGCATATAGGTAACCCACCAGATCACGGACGATCCTCCCATCCAGACGCGCCACCATCACACTCAGTACAGTCCTTGCGACGAGAAAAAAGGTATGTAGAAGGAGTAGAAACGCTTCCTTTCCAGTCTTGCTTATTGGGTCAGCCCAATACAACATCAAATGTAGACTCACCTGGGGAACGCAACCCTCAGAACGGCGGCCAGCATTGACCAAAACCGCTTGTTGACTCCAAGCTTCTGCCCCGGCTTTAGGGGTGGAAAGAGAGGGAGATGGGACTTGTAAAGCTCTTGTGGTATGGGCTGCACGTGAACTCTCGAGATCCTACCCATGTGGGGCACTAGCACGGTACGTCCACCTGAAGGATGAGGGATGAACTGGTCGTCAGGAGATGTTACGTCGCCGAACTTTCACACGACCTCGAGTTCTCGAAGATCTTCGAGGGCATTGTAAGCTCCTTCAAGAAGAATGTCGGGCGCAATGGCTTCAGGAAGAGAGGAAAGAGCTCAAGAATAAGAATCTCACTCACAAGATCGACCATTTGCTTCTCCAGGGCAGGTGTGTTCCTGTGTGTCAGGATGCGGTGGCATGGTGGTCCAAACAATCCTCACAAAGGTGTCTGGGACTCGCGTTGTCGACGCTCTTCCGATCTCATCCTTCTGGTATCTCTCCATTCCTTGAGCGACAGGGTGGACCATAAATCTTTGGAGCCTCCCAAGGGAGCAGCGCGGGCCAAAAGTAGAGCGAGGACGGTGACGGCCACAGCGCGTCGTCGAGCCGTTGGGACACGGGACAAGAAGTCGACCGGAGTGGAGAGAATCATCTTGCTATCGATCATCCTGCTGGGGTGATAGGTGAGTAGGGGACTGCGTATGGTCTTGAGGTTAAGAGAAAGGATTCAAGTCGAAACGTACTTACTGGGTAGCTGGTGGGTGTTCATTAGACACCGGCTCTTTATAACCGATGGCCACGTGGGAAACTAAGTCCGAGCTTGAACCATCGGTGTCATCGGCCATCAGGACCAGCGCACTGACCTCTTTCTTCTTGCAACTTTTTGACATCTTTTTCCTTCACTTGACACGATGGATAAAGAGACAACACCTACCCCTCTCAGTACTATAGCAAACAAGTATCGTGGAGCCGCCGTCGAGGTCAGTTGCTACTCTATCCTTCTTGCCTCACATCCCGAGGGCGTCCTAGATGGAGGTGGAATGTCGCGACGTGCCGAGCTCATCAGATTTACAGGACTTACAATTACCGCCGGCTATATGTATGGAAGAACATCAACCTATCGGTCTAGCTCTGGAGAAGGCGTACGAGCACGAATTTGATCAACTACCGTGAGCTGGGTGTCTGTCATTAAACTACTGCACCGCTGATGGCGCAGAGTCCTCAATGGTCGTCGAAAACCTATAGGTTATGTGGACATTTCCTTGATCAAGGACAAGTTCAAAGCTGCCAGACTAAATGAAATGGATCCCGTGTGTAAGTCATTGGTGGTTCTCCCTTCGTCTTACACGTCTCGTAACTTTATCTCCATCAATCGATGAACTGCGTCAAACTCGTATACGGGCGATTATTGCCAGCAGTCCCTGAAGACGGTGAGTTTCGGCTGATCTTTAGCTAGACATACCACCAGATTTTCCTCCTACTCCTCCTCGCACCCATATACCACCATCACACCCGACACTCCATTGGAAATTTTAGAACAGTTCTTTGAGACCAGTCGGACAGAGTTCGCCCTCGGTAAGTAGTTAACTCATCGACTTGCCCCAGCTGGTAACATGATCACTGACCCCAGTGACCGACAGTGAGCGCAAATGGGTATTGGCTGTGGCTACGAAGACAGATCTGGAAGTGAGTGACTCTCTCTTGAGTCTCACACATCCTTCTATGATACTTGACTGATTGTAGACATTTGTGAAACGACGAGGATGAGCTTCTACGGCGAGGGATCCATCACACGTATACGAATTAGATCTGTATTTCAAACGATTCTACCATATCATACGACAACACTATCAATGTATGTCCTACACATAATGCGAAACTCGTCAAACTTACGGCAAACTTATCTGTTCATTGTCTCGCACACTGACCTAGTCTCTCGTGATCCGCCTTGTCTCGGTCTCAATCCGCCTCATGTCCGGCCGGCAGTAAAGGAGACTCAAGGATGACATTCGGGGAGAAGCTTCTGACGGTCGTTTCCAGCATTGGCGACGTCTACAAAGGACCCGCTTTTGAAATGACGCAAGTCTCTCTACTGACCTCGAAAGGTACCGAAACTTATGTGAGAAGGACAAAGGAAGCGTTCATGACGGTGTGTCTTGCTTCTCCTTCATCCTCCTCTACAGTGTGCTTTGATCGTCCAAATCATACCTCGCTCTCCTCGATCACTTGCAACGTCCCACAATGCCTATGAACATCGACTTACATAGGATACACCATCCACTGGTGAATCCACAAGAGTGAGTGGGCTCATTTCATTTCATTCCCTTTCCTTCACTCTTGCCTAGGTGTCTATGTCATCGGCCCAGGTTATATTTCCCCGACAGACGAAACACAATGAATTCTTCCTTTCACGCTTCACCAGATGTATTTCCTCTTTTCACGTATCATTTGTGACATTGCTCGAGTACACCATGAGCCCAGGTGGTTGTGAAAGGTAGAGTGCTGAGATACAGACTACCATGTCCCACTATGGTCCTTCCAGGAGGTGGTCGTCTGGCCATTTATCCTGCAGTGAAGACTCGCTGGCCTGGACCTTGTCTCGGTGTCGGGCCTGGGGTAAGTCTCTCTCCATAACATTTCATTCATACCATCACACCCCCTTCTGTCAAATTCTTCCTTCAGTCATGATCTCCCCGTCAAGAATTGTTCTATTGCACTGGTCCTTCTTATGTACTGTAAGACATCGCTGGAGAAGGGCGACAGTCAGATTGTTGACGTAGAAGAAAAGAATTGACCCTTAGCTCATGGGTATGCCTCATCCTTTAGGCTCTTCTCTCGCTTTCGGCGTAGGAACAGGTATCGACAACACCGCCGCCGCATGGAGGAGGTATTATGGATTAGGCGGTTGGTTGACTGGTTATCACTCTGGGTTCCGTATGCCTGGTCGACCGGGCTTAGGTGGATACTTTGGTGTGAGTGTCTCATTCCGTCCTTCTCATCTCTGTCACAGTTGGTTTTCTCACTTCATAAATCTTGTTGTCAAGGTAAACCAAGGACAAAGCTGAATCGCAGGGGTGGGACATGCGTGACTAAGAACCTCGCATCCGGTCGACCTCATCAAAATCAGAAGAGAATGCTACGTGTTATCTATGATTCAGAGATGTTTTCAATGTCAAGATCACCCAGAATGCATCATGTGACAACCCCTAAATAGGAAAAAGAGAAATAAATCGTTATTCATCCTCTGGATCAGGTTCATCTTCTTCACTTTCATTCGCCCGTCTTCTTCCTTTTTCCATCAGTACATGAACATCTCATCGAAGCAAAGTTCACGTACCTTTCTTTGCCCCTCGTGTTTTTCTCGATTCGGCTACTTGACGAGCAGCGGGTGGCGGAGGTCTCCTTGCTGCTCGTTTCTTAGCAGCTTTGGTCTTGCGCAATACGTCCGCTTCGAGAGCTTGTTCTTCCAAACCTTTAGCTTGATGTTCCGCCAAGATCTGAGATCAGCTTTATTCTCCGCGTTTTAATCACTGCCACTGAAAGTTCCAAGAGGATGATTAGAAAGAAGAGTCGAGACTTGACAACTCAAATGTAGCACAGAACACGATTGATATTGAGGCAAGTACCTGTGAGGAAGATGATGTGAAAAGAGGGAAAAATTACTGACAGCTTCGAATTCTTTCAGTTCAGTTTCCGGCTTATTGGCATTCTTGTTAGCTCTGGCTTTGGCTAAAATTTCGGTGAAACGACGGAACACGGTTTCTTCGTGTAATTTATCTTGATAGAAAGGTAATCTGCGTGTCAGAATGTTCATCTGGATTACTGCATGCTTTCCCTCATACTGCGATGACTCTGGTAACATATCACCAGGGTCGTGATATGTGATTCGAGGTTTCATGAAGCAGAGAAAAAAGAAACGACGAGAGGGGTTGGCAATGCCAGATGACCAGAAGTGAGAAAGAAAAGTCGAGAAAATTCAGTGATGGTAAAAATGTGCAGAGAAAGAAAGAGATGATAGTGGGGGTATGGAAAAAAGGGAAAAGAGAATGAACATACCCTTCAATAAGTTTCTTCATAGATCTTTCAGACTTGAAAGGAAGTAATGAAAGACAATAAGATATATCTCTCCATTGACGTTCTTCAGTTGCTAAACGGAATCTTTGACATAATTTTTCCACTATTGCTTCTGCTTGTTTGTCCTGTTGGTCAGTTCATGGTTCAGCTTCTTGTCCTCTTTTCAAGCGACTAGCCTTGATCCGATAGAAAAGTAAACCAAAATTACGATTACGAGTCATATCAACACCATGAATAATATGCTCTGTAGTAGATAGTCCGAAATAGGGGAGAGCGTCGGACAGTGGCTATAGAAAAGGACATGCCGTTTGTTGGAGAGGACATAATGGACTAAAGGCAGGTAGGGGAGTTCAAGCAATGAGGAGAGGTGAGAAAACACACCTTTTCGATAAAAGTGAAGATAAACCTCATAGTCCTCTCAAAGGTTTCTTCATCCACCGCATGATTCCCAATTGATAAATGTGAAATAACATCTTGTAAATTATTATACAAAGCATTATCTTTGGTAGATAATTCAGTGAAAAATAGTCTCGCTAAATCTGAAATCCTTTGATCTGGATCTTCTAAACATTTCGCCATTTCTCCTAATTGTCCTTTAACTTTGATCATACCGTTCAAGATCAAATGAGTGAGGACCATGAGTGTGTTTTTCTTTACTACCAAGTCTGGATCGGCAAGACCTTGGTATAAACGTTCAGAGTTCTGACGTCAGTGTCAACACTTATCGATCATTTTGGGCCGAAAAAATAAATAGAAAAACTAGACGTAGTAGGATATTCGGGTAAATTTGTTGGGGGTGAAAGTTATGGAATAGGGGCAAAAGAACACACAAGGGAAGAGGATAAGAGGGGAACAGAAAAAAAAGCTCACATCATCTATCATAGAACCGAAACAAACCGCAATGTCCCCTAACGCGATCACGATGTTCGATCTCACCACTGGATCTCGGGATGTTTCGAGAATCTTGAATAACAATACCAGATGCTGCTCGCAAAATTGAGCAGAGACACACATGAGTTTGGTCAATGATAAAGTGGCAGCTTGACGCAGAGCGGGGGACTGAATCGTCAGTCATTTGCCCATCTGCTCCATACTGTACAAGTACATAGCTATGCCGTGTAGACCAGACATGACCAGCCGCCGAGACCTGCCAAAGACACTCTGTGGAGTACACGAAAGCTCTCCAAATAATGAGGGAAATCTCAACGACTCACTCGATATTTTTTCGGACTGGCACAAATGTGCGCAATCATAGGCCCATATACCGCCAACAGACTTTTCTCTCCGTACAACAACTCTTTCTCTCTGATACCAGCAATGAGCTCGCCAATATCATCTTCAGCATTACCAGCAACAGCATCAAGATCATTTGAATCTTTTTCAGCTGCTTTAGCTGCTGCTTTCTCTACGTTCGTCAGTGAACGTCAACAAACAAATGTCTAGAATGGCTACGACTTACCCTTTGCTTTCTCATCTTTTCGTCTCTTAAACTCTCTCTCCACAAGTTCCAAGTACACGATATGTTTGATAGCTACGTGACCCACGACGAAGACTAGTTGAGCAAGATTGAATGCGCCTACATGATCGGCTTTCTCTTCTTGTTTACCCTTCAGAGAGCCCATGGAAGATGAACGAGATATGGGACCAGGAGTGGGAGGTATCGTCTCGGCTAAAGTTCCATCTGGGTGACCATCGGTCTGTGTGGCTTCGGTATCCGAGTTACTGGGTCCAAGAGTGGGAGATGTCGTTTGACGAGGAGCAGGAGTGAAGGCTTTTCCGGTCAGGTGTTTGATGATGACGCTGCAGAGAAGATCAGGTTGTTCACCAAGAAGGTAGATAGTATTGATAGCTTGTTCTGCCATGCCAAACCTGGTCATAAGCCCAATCGTCGTGGGTGGAACGTCGAAATGGCATCAGAGTACGACAGAGATGAGGTACATGCTGGTTTGAAGGAGTACAGAGGAAAATCACTGAGAGAGGCGAAGGAAAGACTGACCAGTGGGGCGACCGAGGGGCATTCTCAACAATCTCTTGCAACTTTAAAAAGATTGGACTGTCCATGGGAAGACGCATTGTTTTATCTTGCAATGATCCCTTGACCTTCTTTGCGCTGCCCCCAAGACGCTGTAGAGCGATACATGTATACCTTGCCAATACCAGGTCATGCTGAGCGATGTTAGCACGTCTTACAGGTTCACTGCACCGAGATTCGAGGGGATTCTTGGGCGATTCAAGGATAAAGGGATAGCTCACAAGGCCAAGTGGACCCAAGCCGATCCTAAGCAGAGAATCAACACGCTCCGTCACCACCTCACGTTTGGCCAAAGCTAGCATACCGAGGATGATGATTGCACCTTGACGCTGAGCCTTTGGAATTTCTTGCTCGGCGCCTGTGGATCAGTCACAATCTCCCTCCCTCGACCAATGGAGAGAAGAGTAGATATGGCCAGGTGCGGCACTCACTATATACCTGCCACAGCTTATTGACGACATCTTGATGTACACCTCCATCGGCCATCATGGTCCTCATGAGTTCCTCCAAGCTTGTAAGTTCCGCCAGAGTTGCGCCATATGTCCGTCTGCGTAATGAGCATACATTCGGTGTATTGAAAGAAATGAACCGGGGGCACTGACTCTATCATATTCTTGGCAATCCTGTTCACTTGCTGCTTCGGTGATAGATCCGGCACCACGTCAAAGTACAGTGTTCTGTAAACTTCGATCAAATTACTTCGGATACCTTTTCCTTCCACACCATCTTCCGTGGTAGTGGCATTATTGTCCTTCGTCCAGATAAGATGAAGCATGGTCTTGATCCCTTGATCCGCGGAGGAGATGTTGTACTCGTACGCTATACGGAAGAATTTCATTGCCTCCAGTACCTCAGATTTCGATGTTGAGACCAGCAATTGACATAGAGTTGGTACGGCACTTTCAATCTGGTTGATAAATCGGAGTGCGTCCGAATAATATTTCTTAGTGAGACGGAGTTGTAGAATGAGATTCGGATCGAGAGCCGATTGCTCAGCCTCGACGGCTGCGATGTCGATTTGAGACTTTCGAGGTTTCTTTTCCTTCACTCTCGGCGACGGATTGCTCTCAGCTTGTGGCTCTGCATCTTCCGGGCTGTTGAGATCTCCCTCATCTGCAACAGAAGTATCCTTGCCAAGCGTCTCCCCCTCGATTGGTTCCTCGGGCTCTTCTTCCGACTCCATACCTGTATCTCGCTTTGCTTTTTCCATCTCGGCTGTGTCGACTTTCTCCAGCTCGATACTGATGGCATCGTATCGATCTTGCCATTCTTGCAGGTTCAGCGTCCCACCGTGGAGAGCTCCAAAAGGATGCGTTTCGAGTAACCGGGTGAGAAGCTGTATTGCATATTTTCTAGCGGAAGACGTCTTGTCTTCAAGAGTGCGGATGGTGAGGTCAGTGATTTGAGATCGCTGCTTTGGAAACTTGGTAGGTAGGCTGACGTGAACAAAATCCCGTTCTCGGAAGGATTAACTTACTCGCACAGCTTGATGAGAGTTGTAAGGACCTTGCTCCGGACCCAAGAGTTCAGATCAAGATACCGCTCCATGAGTAACTCGAAATACTTTTTGATCTGCTTTTTCTTTTGCTCTTCATCTCCTTCGTCAGAGGACGAGAGATCCTTGATACAGATACCGATGATCTCGACAACAGCCATTCGCATCGGATGCGCCTGCTGATCAGCACCTCTCCACATTGGGAGCTCGAAAGACTCACTTCGCCGTCTAGATGAGCTAGCAGGAGCGGCATTTGCTTCTGCACCAGTCTTGGACTTAATTCCGCCAATCTGATCAAAAACCTGGAGAAACTCCTTGGGCCTTTGACATCATTATGAGCGAAAGTCTTTCCAGCCACATCACGAAGTACTTCTTCACCCAACTGACCAAAATCGAACTCCTTTTCCAGAATGGCCAGTAATTCCGCCATGGGTTCGCTCAGATGTTCAAAGTATGTGAGATTCTGCATGATACTCGTTTGCGCACCAAAAGCGTGAGAGTGGAATTTGACGGCGAGACAGATGACTTTGTATATACCGAGACGAATATCGTTGTTTTTCAGATGCGTCTCAACTTCCGCCAGTTGATATGCAGGTTTGACAAAACACGATACGAAAGCTTCTCGCTCGGAGGAGGTTCGCCAGATTCTAGAAGTAGGAATTCGAAGTGCTTTGTGCATGGTAGTGAGGACTAAGGGGAGTTGATCTTCCCAAACGAAGGAGGAGGAGGATTTAGATTTGGTCTTGGATTTGGCTCCTGATTTCCCTCTACCTCCGGCTGCGGGTCTAGCGTCCTCTGAAGACTTCCCCGCTCCCTTTTCGGCGACGGTGACAAACCATTGAAGTAGGAACGCCCAGACTTCGAGTGGCTGCTTATGAATCATAGGCGCGTCCAAATCCTCGGCGAAACCCTGTCCACTGACGAGGGTCATGACGGCGTTGCTATGTTGGGCCAGACTGGAAGTGATAACATCGAGGAGCTTTGTGAGGATAGCTCCATCGACGGAAGAATTATCGGCATATTTGAGGATTGACCTGAAGATGTCGAGAGTGGTAGGAGTGGAATGGAGTAGGGAATCCGGATCCGCGACGACTTCTTCGATGGCCGTGGAGAGGGAAGAGTCTATGGACGATTCCGAAAGTGAAGATACATCAAGCTCTTGGGGTATATGATAGAGACTAGGGTCAGAAGATAGGGAGAGTAGCTCCTCTTGAAGGTTGAATTCTGCCATAATGGCTGGGAGGGGGAGGGGGAGAAACAAGGCGACTGACTTTGTTTGCAGAACAGAAACGCGTTTGAACATATGCTTAAGGCGTTCCGACGGAAGTACTCCTCTGATCTATTCGATCCCCCCTTCTTGGAATCACTGCGCAGGGCCCCGCTTTCGTACACGTACCCAACCAGGGTGCTCCTTTCTCGGACCTTCAACCTCACTACCTTGCTTTGTTGTCGTATCCTTCGGTCCCGTGGCTTCTTCCTTGCGTCTTCTTGGGCAGCTCGTATCCTCCCATTCACCCATCAATCATGAGCCAGAAACAGTTTTTTGAGACTATCACAAAGGTCAGTCTCTCAGCCGTTTTGCTGCCTTAGCTGATCTTGCTTACAGTCGTTCGTTGATGTACCGATTACCGATGCGGGAGTTGACACTGCATCTTTTTGCGAAGCATCAGAGAACCTCGTCAAGATATTCGGTTCGTACTCATGTTTCATCCTTCTTGTCATGTCAATTGACATCCCAGGACTTTTTGGCAACCCAGCTTTCCAAGTTGTGCAAAATGACCTGAATGGGAATATTGCAGTGAGTCAACCAGCGACTTCATCTCCTCTTTCATGTCCCAATCCTTCAACTTCATGTTCAACCCGCAATCATGTGATAGAAAGAATACTTATCATCAGAAAGTCCGAGCATTCCTAGCTGCCCACCCAGATCACGCCCAAACCCTCGAATCACTCCTCGCCCACGACAAGAAGATACATCCGAACGAGAAAGATCGTGATGTGTCGCGTGGACTCATGTGGCTTCTCAGAGGACTGAGATTCACCGCCAGGGGGCTGCGGATCAATCTTTCCAACCCCACACAGGAGCTCTCTGCGAGCTTTACAAAAGGGTACGAGGAGACTTTGAAGAAGTATCATGGTATTATGGTTCGACCTATCTTTGCTGTGAGTTCTCTCCTTATGTTTCTCCCTATCTTGACTCTGAGTCCCCACAGACCTCTGCTACTGAAACTCCCCTATCTGTCATACCCGAATTGGCTTTCCTACGCCTTAATTTCGTAAAGATTGCGGCCTCCCGACCACATGAGAGACGCGTATGGCAGGTGGTGTGAGGGAACCTTGCTTGACTTTTGCAGCTCGCCATGAAAGCCTGTCCATATCGAGCCACCTTCTACCCCAAACTCGGAGAACCTCAGGATGTCGTCATGGTCAAACTTGAAGAATGGCTGTCCGCGCTGGAGAACATCCTCAACATCGAAGAAGCTCATTTCGTCAAAGAAGGACCAGGACCTCTGTAGTTTTCTTCATGCTTCGAACCCCACATTATGACTCCTGCCTGATGAGATTTGCATATGACTTGCATGCATCGTGTAACCGTTAGTTACTTATTCTGTGGATCCACGGTACTCTACACTGGAGTGATAAGGGACCAATGGGTAATGCCACGTGAACGACTCAGACGCCTCCGCGTCGCTGGCTGCTTAGCCTGCTCGTCCTGTCTCTTACATTCCATCTTTCTCTTGACTTTGCTTCATCACTGCTCTCACTGCTCAAATCCCCCTAGGCTTGACTGTTTCTTACTTAGAGGTAGTGGACAGAGGTACTACTGATAACTAATCAATCGAGGAAGCAATACTACCCAACCTATCACGATGAATCAGGTCGGTCCAGTCCCTTCCACTCCCCTTACATCCCATCGTCATGCTTACCTCTCATCTTGATCTCTTCTGGGCATAGAAAGTTCATGTCATAAATGGTCTTGCGATCGCTGACCGGTAGCATCCAGCCATGTGGGGACAGCCCATGTCTGCCTACGACGCGTTCAACGCACACGCCAGCTTCCCTTTACCTATGAGGTCTGCTCCAAAGGCACAGCCAGTGTCGCATACTCAGTATGTCCTCCTCTTTTTATCATCCTCATATCCTCTGTATACCCTGACTGACCATAATCTGCCATTCTCTCATACTCCCTTCATGACTCAACGCCTGCCTCTATGACTTTCTGGATAACGATAGGTGTGAGATCAGGACTAATGTCAGACAACCCGTCGTCACTGGTACTTCGGTCCTTGGCCTCAAATTCAGAGGTGGTGTCATGCTTGCTGCGGATAACTTGGGTATGTAATTTCCTACTTCATGATCCACGAGTAATGGCGCCATAGTGGGGAAATAACGATCTAACATACAGCGTCATACGGGTCTTTAGCTCGATTCCGTGATATCCAACGTCTTCACCCTTTAGGTCCCCACTGCGTCATGGCCGTTGCTGGTGATATGGCCGATTTCCAGTGGTTGAAAAGGGATCTCGGTTCAATTCTGTGAGTTATCCCCTCTCTTTTCCTACCAAGCGTTCCTTTCAGGTCTTACGTTCGTTGTTGTCGACTAGATAAGAAACATGATGTTTGGCAGTCAGTGGCAGTGATCAACTGAGACTAACATTGGTAGGCGCGAAGAAGAAGCCCTCTCTCTTACCGATAACCACCCATCTCTATCCGCTGCCAACATCTACAACTATCTCTCGATAATCTTCTACAATAGGCGATCAAAAGGTGATCCAGTGTGGAACACTGTGCTTGTTGGCGGATGGGATGAGGCGAAAAAGGAGAGGTGAGTGAATCCACGCCAACTGAATGGGACCAAACCTACAGCTCTTGCTTTCGCAGGAGCTGCTATAGCTGCGACGCAGTGACTGACGACTAGCTTCCTCGGTTATGTCGATCTTCTCGGAACCACCTACTCCTCTCCCACTTTGGCAACGGGATATGGAGCTCACATCGCCCAACCTCTACTCCGTGAAGCTTTCGAAGCTAAAGCAGGTCTGGACGGTAAAGGCGAGCTTCCAACGGCCGAAGAAGCGGAGAAGCTGTTGGACGACTGTATGAAGGTATTGTTTTACCGTGATGCCAGAAGTTTGAACAAGGTCAGTGATTAGTATCTTTATATCTCACACGTGGGCCGTCGGGGCGAAAGACAACACAGCTGACGAGCAGTATCAAGTCGCTACTATCACGGCCGAAGGAGTCAAGATCTCGGATTCGAAATCCGCCAAAACCGAATGGGGTTTTGCTGAGGGTCTGAGAGGATATGGTGCCCAGGATCGATGAATGGCAAGGGTGTGGTGGGGTGTACACATATGCATGATCATTCTCTGGCACCTTGCATTGCAGAGATCAGAGCTCGAATCTTTGTCCTGCCCGGGAGGCCGCCAACATGAGTCGGTTGTAGGCCGTACGCCGAGTAATACATTCCACGTAACCAAATCACTCCCTTTCTCTCTCTTGTCCTACCGGAGCAACTACCATCTCAATAACGTTCCTTTTCAACATTGTCCCTCTTTGCCTCAACTGAATGGACATTGCAGATACTATCTTCATCATTCGTATCCTACCTCAACTGATCATTCATCTCGCACTTCGAATGCCGATCGTGAAACATGTGGTCCGACTTCCTCTGTACACACTACATTTAACCTTCATCATCTCTTCTCTCCTCTTTCGACTCTCTCATTATCTCCTCGCCTTTCTTTCCTCCTTAACACTGTCACCCAGATCAGTTGAACGACAAGTGTCCAGATCTTCCTCCGACCCCTCTGCGAGCTCTGGCGTCTCTTCAAGCTCCAGCTCTCTTTCTTCAACTTCGAACACATCTCAGTCAAAGGAATCACATCAAACTTACTTCAATTTGCCCACCAAACATACTTCACATGATCTTCCCGCCGAACGTCAAAGTCATACACAGAAGAACCAGAAGGAGAGTAGTCTGAAACATGTCGCTTTTGTCTTCTACACTCCCGCAGAAGTTCAGAAAGTCGTTGATATGAGATGGGAGAGTTTCAAATTGGCTTTGAAGAGAGAAAAAGTCTTGGTGGAATGCGTTAGGAGGGCTATTACTTGGTCTGCGGAAGAAGGAGTGGAAGAAGTCAGTTTCCATACTGGTTCAGGTGAGTCCACTTTTCAAATCCTATTTTGCTGTTATGGGCCTCAAATCCTACCCGTTGGGATCCTCACTACTCTTCCCTTTGGTATTGATGGTCCTTTTAATTGCAGAGGGTTTAGTATATGAAAACTGCAATCCCATTGCTTCTAACCCCCCCGGCATCTCTTGCGGTACTCTCATGCGAGAAGAGATTGGGGTCAAAAGCCACTATGTGTATGGTAAACTGACTTGCAGACATGGGTCCCGTTATACGTGTTATAACTAGAGAAATGACGGCTCTTCCTCCCTCTCCTCCAGCATCAGGATCAAGTACTCCACGAAAACGTCCTATCTCCTTTTCCGATGATAAAGTAGGTAATACTCCTGCGTCTACTTCCCTCTCTCCGCTCTCTCATAGAGCGACGTTACGTTGACTTGTAGACAGCTGCGGAGTGACGTGACTTGAGCATGCTGACGGAAAGTGGTTAAAATCACAAGATCAGGATCAAAACTCTCAGCCACCAGTCATAAGTCTTACCGTTTGTCCACCTATCTTCAAACGTACGTATCTTCCGAGCCATTATTCCCATCCTCCATTTCATTTTCTGTTGGTAGAATCGTACCCCGAGCTTCAGAAGCTGATGATGTCCTGGGATGTAAGTCCTCTCATCCGGTCTCAAGCTGATTCTTAGAAGGTCACGCTTCACATGATAACATAAATACAGAAGAAGACAGAAATACTGGATGTGACAGACGCCTTGTGGTTCATGTCTTGAACCCTGGTGTTGATAGAATATGGGGAGAAGTAACCACCGAGCTATCCAAGTCCGTCACCACAAGCAGTGATGTCGATCAAGAGAGATTGGATCAATGTATCAGAGGTGAGTCATTCCGATATCTCACCTCCACTGTTAACTACCGCCAAAGCTCGTGTTTGGTGAGTATGAGCTGATGACATAGAACGTATACCCATGTCAGATCCTGATTTACTGATACTTCATCCCATTACACCTGTCTCAACATGGAAAGCACTCTTTCCTATCCCCGCTCCGGAATTACGGGGGTACCCATTTTGGTTTCTGCGGATCACAGAGATTTAGTGAGTCACTTTTGTCCTTCCGTCATTCTACCCCGCCCTCTCTTTCGGCTCCCCCCCCCCCCTCGTTCACTATCTACTATCTGAAGTTAGTCCAAAAAAGTCTTTAAATACGGACGTTGTTGCTATGGGATCACGAATACTGACCTTTCAGCCAACATCCAACTTCATTACCTTTCCACATTCCAACACCTCTGGTCTCTCTCTTACGACAAGCACGTGACTCTGCTTTACCCGCGGTGCAGAAAATCGCTAGACGCATTCCTCTACCTCCGCCACCAGAAGAACAAGGTGTGATACAAAGAGACGAATGGGAGGGGGCGTTACGAGCGTATAGAAATGTTGAACAGCGTCTGGGGAGATGATTTTTTCAAACTTATTCATCTAGTCAGTCAATGAGAAATGTCTATCATGTTGCATCTTATACACAGCATCTCGAGTGACGAGCCTTGGGATGACATTCCCATGCGTCAATAGGGATCTCCTACTAACACAGAGCGACCATCAGGACAAAGCACATGAGACGGACAATGCGGCTAGCGTACGGCTTTTATGTATTGAAATACGTGATTCCAGCAGCACAGAGTCGTGATGTGAGGGAAAGAGGTGGATACCTGGCTCCACTGGAAAAGTACGAGTACTCGTACCGTACTTTGAGAGATCACCGAATTTCCAACTGAAGCAACACTGAAGGAAAGAAAGTGGATCGGTCTCGAACTCGATACATTTATATGTACAATACTTAGCTACATAATGATCTACTGAGGAGTTTCGGCGCAGGAACGTTTCTTAGGAATAACGGAGCGAGAGTTATACGAAGGGAGAGAAGGGATTGGTGTTTCGGCAACACGAGAAGGACCAGCGACTTGATGACCAGGAGTAGCCAACGAGCCACGACGGGTAGAAGGGAGGTGATTAATGGGGGAAACATCGAGGAGAGAAGATATACCGACAGGAGGAGAGTAAGATTCAGGGATAAGATGGAGTGAGGTATATAAAGGAAGATGAGCTTTTGGAAGAGGTAATTCGAGTGTATTGAATAGATGTATCATAGCAGATATCTGTCCGATTGAACCGACAATCTCATATGATGGTAAAGATTGATGACGACCTGAAAGTGATACTAAATGACTTTCTAAGATAAAAGCGATATGAGAGATAGTTGCTTGTTTCCCTTCGAGAAATCCCTATTTTCAATCAGAATTCAGACTTCAGACTTGGTATTGGAATTGAAAGATAAAGTTGATTGAACTCACTTCGTGAAATCTTGCATCAGGACCATTCTTCTTGACTGAACATTTCGAAGTACCTTTAGCAGAACATTCAGCACAAACTCCATTCACTAGTCTTCAGCATATGATTTGACCAAATTAAGGAAAGAGACGTACAAGGTCCAATACAACCGACTCGGAAAGAACCTCCAGATTCCATCCTTCTCTCACAATCAGTACATAATTGACCTTCCAATCTGACAACTGCACTAGACTTGGCGCGAAGTCTCCATCCTTGAGCTAGACGTTCGAGCTAAGATAGAAATCAGATGAGATTGATTGAAACACGAAAGAGATTTACCGCATTTTTGAACCATTTTTGAGAACTGGGGTCTTCAGGATCAGCTTCAAAACGATTGTTGGCTTCTTTCAACAGAGTTTCCACCACTGATGAATACGTGGTTCTGGTCCACAGTTGAGCTAAGAAACAATCAACAATCACTCGTATGAAAGAAGTTCGAGGAGGAAGAGAATGCTGACCTATTTCAGATTCAGTATTACCAGAGAGATCCAATTCTAGAGCTTTGTTGAGGGGAGGAGAGTGTTTGTATTTATCACGGATTTTTATCAAGTCCACAGGATAATCCGGTTCTTCGGGTTGAGGGATACTTTCGTTGATAGAACCTATGATAGTTGAATGTTCGGATTGATTGGAAGAAGGACGATTTTGGACATTGTGAGATTGTGAGCTACGTGGAAGAGTTTTGCCAGAAGTGTCTTTGTGATTGGGGTTTTTCATGTTATTGTGGACTGTTAGACGGTCAGTGATTGGAGTAAGTTGATCAGTAGTCAATTGATGATGACCAGGCATGTTCTTAAGCAGTGATTGAAGAATGAGGTTAGACAGATACCGATAGATTTTGAAGGACGACGGTTGTGGGTGAAACGGGACAGGAAATTTCAATAGGATGGATGGATGGATGGATGGATGGATGGATGGATGGATGGATGGATGGATGGATGGATGGATGGATGGATGGATGGATGGATGGATGGATGGATGGATGTGATAACAGGGGGTTCTCGTTCACCAAGGTTGACAGTCGAGAGCTTGATTCCAGCGAGAGGAAAGGGCATAGACTACTTGAGACGAGCGGCAATATGGAGTTATTGCCAATGTGGCGCAGTGGTGGGAATACGTGGATGCCACATTCCGTATGAATTCCAACGGAATCTACCCACCTGAAGAGCCTTGATCATCTTCGAAACCCTCTACGATCTACGAGGGTAGCAAGTACAGGGCAGGTGTCTTTCAAGCTTTTAGGCTCTGATCACTACCGGCTGCCGTCACTGCTGGGAACTTGCAGCACCTTCAAAGAGCTGCTAGCTGCTGACTTGCAAGAGGAACGGAGAAATATGGCTCTACCCGGTACAGAAACTCTTCGTTTTCGACGACCGACCACAGGACCTAATGCCATTAAACCTAACAAGGACAAAGCTGGGAAAGACAAAGATACTTTCGGGACATTAGGACAAGCATGGAAACGTCGACATGGAGGTTTATTACAGGATCAAGTTGGAAGACAAAGTAATGGACCTTTTATCCCTTCCATGTCTTTCGCAGTGAGGTTGTTATTACTTATGAGAACTACTGGAGCTATGTATAATGTTATTGCGGATTGTGATGAGGGTGAGTGGTCCTATCACACCTTTATTCCTGTGTCTAATAGTTCTTGTTCTTCTTTTATCACAGGGTCCCTTCGGTCAAATCCACAGTTTTCTCTTCTCTTGGCTCTCACATGGTTTGGTCTAGTCGACGCATAGCTTCTACCACCCGACCTACCTCACCTTCCCTCACTACAGAGTATTATCGTACATTGGGATACTCGGTGTAGGCTCGCTATGGTCTTCCGCTATGAAAAGGAGAATTTCGAAGAGAGGGTACATGGCCTAGCAAGTAGTAACAAGGCAAATATCACTAATATCAGTCTTCAACTTCTTCGAACCATTACATTACTTCCAATATAATTCAGGATTTCAAACATGGGAACTCTCACCAGAATTCGCAATACGTTCTTGGGCATATGTATTATTACATTGGCCATTGGCGTATATAGGACCTAAAGTACTCGGTTTAGGCAAGGCGAGTCCACTCCTCTTTTATTACCCTCTGCACCATGCACCATAGTATACCATCTCTGTGGTTATATGATCACTCACTCTGGTGTAAGAGTGGGCCATGAATATTGCTGACCTCCAGAGACAAGCCTTCTTCGCATTACGGATATTCCTAGGTGCTATTTCGTCATACTGCGAAGCTCGGTTTTTCCGCGCCGTCGTACATACCGTCAATGAAAGAGTGGGAAGGTATTTGTTATTCATGATGATGCTCAGTGCTGGAATGTGGGGTGCGAGTGTATGTGAGTTGAGTCGTGTCTACATCTTCCTTCTTTGTGTCTCAAGTCGTCTACACATCCTTCATCAACCTTTTTGTCAACTCTACGGATCTCTATCATGAGGCAATAGTCGTTCTGGTTTGAAAGAAGTCCGAGTATATAGTCTCGTCTGACCCCAGCCTTCCTCCCTTCAAGTTTCACAATGTACACAACTATGTTAGCTGCAGCCGAATGGCTACATCCCTCCACTTCGACACCAGAAGGGATCAAACATGCCTACAGAGGTACGTTCTTCGTGGCTGTCGGGGCGATTGTCGGTTGGCCTTTCAGTGCGGTGTTGGGTATACCCTTCGTCTTTGAATATCTATTCTTGACGGGAGGTGATGCCGTTGTTGGGAAAGAACGATCAGATTTGTATAAGAAAAGATGGATGACGATGAGTAAAGCTGTGATCGGAGCAGCTTGTGTAGCTGTACGTGTTTTCCCCTCCTCACTCTTCTCAACGAGACCTCTCCCCCTATCTCCTCGTTTCCCACCATGACGACTTCCATGACGACTTCCATGTCTCCATGCCATAGTCTCCGTCCCCACTTTCGATTCCAACCACAAACACAGTACTTTTTCTCTTCTCTCATACTCCATACCTGTCCTGAATTTGATGTGACAAAACGATGAATTCAAACAAACAACACATTAGAGATATGCCGGTAATATATACTTACCCCAGATCCCCATCTACCTCATTGATTCGTGGGCTTACGGTCGACAAACATTCCCGACTTTCAATATCTTGATATACAATCTCTTCCCATCCCTCTCTTCCTCTAAAATAGGTGGACCAGATCTCTACGGTACCTCTCCCATCCATTTCTATTTCCTCAATCTCCTCCTTAATTTCAACTTCCTTTTCCCACTTTCTCTCCTTTCCCTCCCACTATTATGTTTGACTTGGAAATACGATTACAGACGTCTTGGAAAATCTCAAATGCGACCTAAACCAGGTGAAACAAGTCCTTACACTCTCCTCTTCATGCGTCTCCTTCCTTTCTATCTCTGGTTCACCATTCTCAGTCTTACACCACATAAAGAAGAACGTTTCTTATTTCCTTCTTACCCATTATTATGTTTCAACGCTTCGGTATCTCTTTATCTTCTTAGAGGATTAATTGAAGGTCTTTTCATCAAATTGACGAATTCGCCATACCGAGCTTCGAGATCAAACATCTTTCCAACTTTCACACTTCTCGTCGTCATATTTACTGGGTTGATATCGATCGGAAGATTAGTAGGAATGTTTAAATGGTATCATGCCCCTTTAGATCTAGCATATCATTTCGAATATAATACAATACCCTCTTTGCTTTCTTCTTTAGGATACACACCTAAACCACCACCGAAAGATTTCAAACAGAGAGAAGGGGAGGTTATCGTTCCTGAATGGGATTACACACCTTTGGAGGAATTAGATGAGAAGATCACCATGTGTTGGGCGGGGGAATGGTTTAGATTCCCAGGGAGTCATTTGTTTCCAGAAGGGATAGATGTAAAATGGGTCAAGACGGAATTTGATGGGATGATGCCTAGGAAATGGGAACCGAGTGGGGAAAATAAGGTGGGTTGGTGGCCCAGAGAAGAAACCAGGGTGGTGAGACCGGGCAGGTTCAATGGGCAGAACAAAGCTTCTCTGGAGGTGGGAACTTATGTGAGTTTGGGCTTTTTTTTCCCTTTTTGTCTTCATGTTTTTTGGTTTCTGTTTTTGATGCTCTGATTGATTCGAAGTTGACACACACAGTTCGCAGTGGAGAACTGCACATATCTCGTCGACCTCTCACTCCCCTCGAAGCCCATCACCGAGCTGGAACCAGATTACACCTCAGATGAGCGATTCATAAGAGAATGGTGCACCACTTTCCTTGATGGACCCAGTAGCAGGTGGTGGGCTAGACTGATCTGGCTTCCGTGGGATTTGGGGGACGAAGGCAGGGTATATGGAAAATATTGTCTTTTACGGAGAAAGTGAGGGTTTCTGAGACGAAAATAGAGAGGGCCAACGGTCGTCAGAGGTGGTACCCGATGGCACAAGCGGTGCACCTCTGAACACCATCAATGATCAAACCAAAAGTATACCATGCAATGCATTCAGCGCCTAGTAAACGTAAGCAAGAATTTTACCTCCCGTCTGCGTTGTCAGTTCATTTCTACGCACTAAAAAAAACCACTTACGTGCTTTCGCCTGGCCTCTTCGTGGTCCATGATTCCGGATGAGGTGGTGAGGATGATCTTGCCGAACGAACGGGCGGGAAGAAGCAAGTTGACCCAATTTTCGACTGAATCGAGTTAGCTACGTCCTGACCAGACATGTCACGAGTCTGTTTGATCCGGTACTACCGCGCTGAACGAACGACTTCATGAAAGATAGCCTAATCGAGAGATGAGACTTACTCTCATCAACGCCGATGTTGAATCGTGGTGAGATGACACCACATTTGTTCAATCGACCGTTGAGCTGAATGACAACCTTGCCAGAACGGTGGTCATCGACAATTTCAAATTCACCGATGTAACCTTTGTAGTCAGCAAACTTGTCTGACAACTGTCACTGAACGAGCAAAATCCCCCCCCTCATTCCGCCCGGACGTTGAGAGTAGTGTTGTCAAGTTACAGTATGAAATGTCCTCCCCCAATCAGCCCACCGAGCATCGCCCCCGGCCAAAAGGCCCCAAGACCGCCAGATGGGATTAGTATGAGGAGATATTGTCTCTATTCCGGAGACTTAAAGCCTCCACGAGGTGGAATGTACGCGTGGAGGCAGTTATTCTCCGGATGGCAGGAGGATTGGTACAGAAAAGCTATCAATTTCAAAGTCGGCGACTCGAAGAAATAAGAGTAGAAGAGTACCAAGAGTACGCGGGCGTGAATAGGAGCAATTGAGACTCACCGTGGTGTTGCATGACAGAAAGCACTTTGACGGTGACCTTTGATGATGGACGGATCAAGACTTGACGCTTTCCACGACGTTCGGCATTGACGATGTTGTTCTGTGTTTTGATTCGTCACAAGCAATGGAGAGAGTATGACGGAGCAGTCAAACAAGTAAATATATAAGAGTCAATGAGGGACAATGAGAGAAAGAAAAGAGCCATGTCAGCTAGAACCGACCGGAGTGAAAAATGCAACTCACCATAGCATCGTTGAGGACAGATACGCGGACCATTTTGTTTATTCGAAATTCGTATTAGAGATCTACCACGTTACTAATGTTCTGGAAAGAAAAAAGGCTCTGCTGACTCGATGCGGGTGCGCCAGGTATGACGGCCGTAAAGAGTTTTGATAGCAAAGCTGAATGTCGATTGAGAGAGTAGAGAGGAATTGAGGAAGGGAGAACATGAATTTCGACCACCAAAGTAAGTCCCGCGTAACACCGATTTCGGTCAGTCAATGTGGCACTTTTACATTCTCACCAAGATGATGAGATGCACTTTTCCGTTCACTTTACATTGCACCTGCGGGGACAACATGTCAAAAGAGGGGCAGACGGTCGTTGTCGGTCGAGCCCAAAAAGGGCCGAAAGGGTCTCAGACGAAGCTGGGAGATGGCGAGGTGGATCGAGTGAAGATGGACAAGGAGGTGGTGAAAGCTGTCTTGGCCAGCCCGTTGACTGTGGCGTGGTATGTCTTCTCTTTCGAATCCACTCACCTCAATGCCGTGAGGCATACTGGGCTCACCCGACTTAGTTATCACTTGGACTTGGACATGACTAATGCTAACGCTCAGGCCTAATCTTCCTCGACATTTACAATACGCCGTGACTCAGGTGCTCCCTCTTCTCTTGCCAACCGAAGTGGCGGATTATCATGTGTCCCGACAGAGATGTCAGAAGCGTGCCAACAGATTAGCTCGTACGGTCGAACGAGCTGCTAAAAGAGGGACAAATACCCCAACTCATTCCGAGGCTACTACAACACATGTTGCTGGTGGGTGCTCAATGCCGGAAGACGTTACTCTTGATCCATCACCCTCAACGAAAAGCCCTGGTTGCACGAAGAAGAATCAGAGTCAAGCTTCTGTCCCACAGGCCTCGACATCTGGTGAGGTCGAGAGAGGTCCCGCGCGCCCTGAAATTTTACAACATTTAGTACTCGGTATCAACGAAAGTATTAAAGCTCTCGAACAACAAATTGACGTGTTGAAGATGGAGATGATGATGATGGCCGACCGACTTGCTCAATCAAACGGACTCAAATCCGCCCAAGTGACACTCCCCACTCAGCGATTCCTCCCTACCGCTCCAGACGCCCCCGTCCGTCCCCATACTTCCCCCCAGCTTGAAGACCGAAACGGAGACGTACTCCTCCACAAACCACCGGCTGCTTTAGCTTTTGTGATCGTCCCATTGCCCGATATCAATCCACCAGCCTTGATAGATCCAATACCTCAATATTGCGCCACGTACAACTCTTTGGTTTACCAGCATAACCATCTCTCCAAGATATTCAGATCACGTATCAAAAGAGCGGATTGGGGACTGGTCGCAGATGGCACCAAAGAAGAAGTGAGAGTCGTTCCGCTAGGAAGAGTGGAAGGGGAGATGGCGGCTTTGGCTGGGCTTCGTCGGCTGGCTTGTCTTGGCATACGAGTGAGCTCGCTTTATGAGCTCTAGTCTCGACCGATGCTGATAAGCCAGGAGTCGCACCCGGCGTTGAAGAAAGTGGCGGATCTTCTACCAAAATCCGTCCTTCATCCTCCTCGACATAGTGTCACGCTTCCGTTTCCTATCCCTTCGCTCAAAGTATACTCTGGGCAAACAGGCGATCCAATGATCGAGAAATTCAGAGGGACGAAGAGGAAATTGGACACGATGGGACCGGAGGAACAGCCAAAGTCGACTTCCTTACCCATCCCTCATGTCCATTACGCGTCGATACACATCAAGGGCATTACTACCACGGTCCCAGCCGATGGCACGGCAAGAAAGGCCCGAAGGCTGCAGGAGGTGAGGGCAAGGCGAGTAGAGAATAAGGAGAAGAAGAGGGAGGACAGAGCCAGGTTTATGACGCAGGCATCAAAGTTGAAATACGGCAAGAAGACGCGGCCGGGAATCAGCAGCGGAAAGAAGTCAAAGGCAGGAACTCGGTGACTCATAGATTGCTACTTTTTCGCGGGGGTCATTCTCCAAAATATACAATACAACCTCATTTCTTTCTTTTTAAAATCATAGCATATGCATTCCACCGCAATGATCATCGTCTCTTGATACTTGCCAGACCTCTGTCTGGCCTTTGAAGCTCGGAACCGACCGATAACGCACGCGTCACGAATGTCCGAGTGTGAAAGCGCAGCGAAAGCAACAACGCGTGGGAGAGTCGGATGTTGCCGAAACAGAGACCAAATTTCCCCGACATCCACACAGATGTTCGGTCCTCAATACTACACTTGCTATACCCACGTTGATACTGACGTTTGCGTCTCTCTTGTCATCTCTTCTCTCCCCTTTGCGGTCTACTTGTCACCATCTTGATTGCTTGGAACTGCGAGGAACGCTGCTTGCTCATTGGTCACTCTGGTAGACAAGTCGTCATTCTGGGCCATCAATACGATGTCAGAGCTTCGAAAAAGGGCGGATGATCTAGCCAGGAGGTCATTGGGTCTAGATGAAGAGCCCGACAAGGTAAGTCAGGTCTGCTTAGACTATCAGCTCTCACGAATCGTGCAGAGTTAATTCTCAGCCGACCCCAGCTATATGGCTCGCAGCTATCGAGAAACACCTACAACGTTTTCCTGGAGACGATCACTTCATCGCAGAGCTCTCGGAGGGTAGGACGACGGGTGGCAATGGTTTTGGGACTATCACCTGTGAGCGGTTGTTTGCGGTCTCCGTGTCAGACGAGCTAATAGTCGATAGGTATGGAAGATTTGTGTTGGGAGGTGAATTACTCCTTTTCACCCTAAGCTTTATGACTCTTCTCCATGCAGAGCGATATGATGACTGACTTGTGATAGGATGTGATCCTTGATGCGGATCCGGAGAAACCAGACGGAGGAAAGAAGGACGGCTTGGGATCCTTATTCAATTTTCAGGTGAGCTATCACGTTGAACTCCACCTCTGGTACCTCTGACTGTCGCTCTCGTTTGAATGTCTTTGGCGACTGACGCTCGACGACGTGTGACCATACTGACCCCCAGCATCATTGTAGGAACCCTAAACATATCAAAGGTCGTAATGCACGTCTACAGAACGCTGGGAGACCTATACCACCCGATATACCATTCCCAGACTTCACGGAAACGCCCAGCGTCGGTGTAGGCTCCACCTCGCACGGACCCTCTACCTCCATTTCTGCGAGATCTGCCAATACTCATGGCGTTGGGGCATCCACGTCAGCCGTCCCCGCCAGCGCTATCCCCACGGGAGATAGAAAAGATGACTGGACTGCTGTACCCGCACAGACCCTCTCAAAGTATAAAAGTCTTCCACCTGCTGGATCATTTCCCTCTTCTTCTCATCAATCTCGAACTGTTGTCCCTTCCACCTCCAGTTCCACCAGCCGTAATCAGTTGCCCGTCAAGGACTACTCGTGAGCTTCTAACTCTCTGACCCTAAATTTGGCTGATCAAATCCAAGCTTCACTGCCTATCGCGGCAAGGAGAACGACGATCGACACCGAGCTTCATCTCCCTTGGTGACATTCCGACCGACAGAGGAAAGACAGACTCTCATGCCGTCTCCTCCCCGAGCTCTCACCTCTCTCGAGCCGCACTCCTCTCTACCGGTGCCCGAGGTGTCTTTCGGTGAGCTGATGCGATCCTGCAGATAGACGCAACTGAGTTTCACAGGTCCTGCTCCCCTCAATTTCGATGCCCAATGGAGTGAGAATGATCGTGACCTGCTCAATGCCGAATACGATCTCCTGTATAACCGAAGTCAGATCTATCCTTAGTACGTCCAGCGGACCTTTCAGTATGATCGTTGACAAACAGCAATCATCCCACCAATCGAAGGATACTTCACTCCCGTGTGTCATACCTCCAGGGAATAGCTCGCAGGGGTCCGCCTTACGTCCCCCCGGATAGTACGGTGCGATCGCTCATTCCGGAAGTCAAGACATATGAAGACGCCCACTTGTTTCACCGGCGTCTTGATTCTACCCATAACTCTGTAAGCAAGTTAGAAATCGTCGCTTCGGTTGACTTATGTGCAGTCAAGTTCGTCAAGGGATACCTTGGTACCATCGGGCCCTGTCGACATATCCAGCACGTACGATCCCGCGCGTATGATGGACATGCTCCTTACTCGCGCAGGTCTGGACCAAGGCATGGAATATGAGAGACCGACTTATTACCGCAAAGACGAGTGAGTCAATTGATGTATCTGCGCTGTCGCTGACAAACAGACTGGAAGAATTTTTCTCCAATGCGCTCGACAACTTCGCCGAAGATTCTGATGTCGACGCTGCACTTCAGGCGCTTAACATGTCCCGCCTTGACGACCATTTCGGGGGCCTGACTATAACCTTGATGCCTCATCAAGTGCTCGGAGTCAAGTTCATGCTAGAGAAAGAGAAGGACGATAAATTCAAAGGCGGACTGCTATGTGATGCTATGGGTCTCGGAAAGGTAAGTGCCGTTGATCAATGTCAAAGCTGAGAAGGGACTGATCGTAGACCGTGCAAACTATTGCGTGCATGACCGGTAACTCGTCTCCAGATCCTCAGGTTAAAACGACTCTCATTGTCGCCCCATTGGGGCTCCTCAAACAGTGAGTCAATTGTTTCTTTCGACGATCTCTTTGCTGACGACAGATGGGAGGCGGAGATCGAGAGCAAGACCCAAACTGGACACTTGTCGATTTACATTCACCATGGGTCCGGTCGTTTGTCCAAAGCAAAGGAGCTCAAGAAATTCGATGTTGTCCTTACCACTTATGGTACCATGGCGTCTGAGGCAGGTCTGGAGGTGAGTTAGCAGTCATGCCAACAGTAACGCTCGCTGATATGCCAGGTGAAGAAGAAGAAAAAGAAGGTGCAGAAAATTGGGGACGACGATGACGCTGCGTCTAGCGAGGTTGAGCAGGTGGCTCGCAAAACAGGTGCGGTGTTGTCATGGACAAACATTGTCGACCATACTCAGTAACAGGTCCGCTTTTCAGAATGCGGTTCTATCGCGTTGTCCTTGACGAATCGCACACAATCCGGAACAAGAAGACCCGAGCAGCTGAAGCTGCTTTCATGCTCGATGCAGTTCATCGCTGGTCTCTCACCGGGACACTCGTGGTCAACACTCTGGACGATGTGCATTCTCACTTGCGCTTTCTGTCAATATCCCCATCTCGAGACTGGGACCATTTCCGGGCTCATATTTCCAAAGTTCAAAGGAGCCGTCCGAATCTCGCCGCCCAGAGGTACGTTCATCTCACCTCGATACCATCGTGCTGACTGGCAAGGGTTCAGGCTATCCTCCGGACCTGCATGCTTCGCAGGAACAAAGAGACGAAGCTGAATGGGAAGCCATTGCTTGTCTTGCCGCCTAAGAGTGTCGAGATTGTTCAACTTGACTTCACGGAAGAAGAACGTGAGATGTATCTCGCAATAGAGCATCGAATGCAGCTCAAGTTCAATTCGTTCCTCCGAAAAGGTGAGTACACTCTCATCTACTTAGGACTTCATTCCTCATCGGAAACCTTCCTTCTAGGGCGACGGGCACCCTGTGAATATCAGAACCACTCCGTTTGACAACAGTAGCGTCACTGAGAGCTCATCAGCATCCAAAGAGTGTTAGGCGAGACAAGTCCTGACGTAAATAGGAACCGTGATGAAACACATGGCATGCGTCTTGACGATGCTTCTCCGGTTACGCCAACTCACCTGTCACCCATATCTCCTCCGAAGAAACCCTGGCGATGCTGCGAGTCACCCGGAAGATTTTGTGATCAGCGATGATCAACTCATGGGTATGGAGAATGTCGCATCGTCTACAAGCAACGAAGAAGAGCAGACGAGAGCAAACAAACTGTTGGGTTCACAGGGGCTAGCTTTCGTCGAAAAAGCTAAGCGTATCATGAAGGAACGTGAAGATCGACTCGCTACCGCCCCTATCCCATCCAAATCTGCCAAACAAGAAAAGAGAGAAGTGGAAGAGGTCGAAGAGCACGAATGTCCGATATGCTTCGATAATCTGGTTGATGAAGTCATCACTCCTTGCTTCCACCTCTTTTGTCGAACGTGTATCGAGGAAATCTGCAACACTGCACCCCGTGGAACGATCCTCTCAGACCATGACATCGAACGCGGCGTTCGTCCATGCCCACTCTGCAGGGAACCGATTGAGAAAGCCAAGCTATTCAGAGCTTCAGCATTTGTGGAACCGCCAGAGGAAGATTCCCCGGAGCCGCCGGAAGATGTGTCTTCCGATCTGGATGTGAAGGAGGAGAAACCCGATGTTGAGATACTCCGTAATGGAAAACGGGTCAGAGTTAGTCGCATGCTTCAGATCGACTTGACGTCTAACTGATCATCAGAAATCCGACCACACCGAGGGCGGCCCTAGTAAGAAGATAAAAGTCGACGTCAAGGGCAAAGCGAAGGCCGAGCCGCCGACTGTAAATCTCGACGATCTCGAAACAGTCATACCGAGTACCAAGATGAAGTACCTCGGGTAGGTCACGCGTTCCTCACGCTCTTCCTGTTCATCATTCAGTTCATGTCCTGTCAGTGAGGAGAAGAGCTGATCAGATAGGGAATTACTCAACCAATTTCTCTCGGAAGACGGTATCAAAGTCGTTGTCTTTAGCCAGTTCACCAGCTATCTCGACCTCTGCGGGGCTTATCTTCGTACTCAGAATATCAAACATCTCCAGTATCAAGGCTCGATGAATGCCAACGAGCGTAACGATGCTATCAAGCAATTTACGTCTGCCGACGAAGACTCGCCGCGGGTGATCCTGATATCGCTGAAGTGCGGAGGTGGTACGTTCTTCTTCGCTCGTCTAATGCTCCGCTGACTCAAAGTTGGTCTCAATCTCACCGCAGCTTGCAAGGGAATCTCCCTCGATCTTGCCTGGAACGCGGCAACGGAGATGCAAGCTTTCGATCGTCTTCACCGAATAGGCCAAACACGTCCGGTCGATGTCAAACGTCTAGTCATTGCTGATACCGTCGAGCAGAGGATTATGAAGCTCCAAGAGGAAAAGTCTGCGCTGGCGGATGGAGCTATGGGTGAAGGAAAGGGTGCCAAGCTTGGCAGGTTGTCGGTGGGGGATCTTTGCAGGCTCTTTGGCGTTGCGAGGTGAGCAATGTGGATTGAGATTGTATATAGAGAAAAGGCTCGTTGTCGGATCATGTCGTTTCGGGAGTGCGAGTGATATAGCGAATTAAAGGGGATGGGGTATGACTTATTGCCTGGACATTTCATGTAGTCATGCGCATGTGCTGTGCATACATGTATACGTTCAGTAGAATATACTCTCTTCGTACTCTTACTCCTCCATCTCATTGCATCCTCACCATCGTCAGCTGCCACGTTGCCACGAACTACTTGCCACCTGCTTCTTGCACATTCCACGCGCACTCACCTCTTGCGACCGAGTTCCTTCCCGTTACACCACTCACTGTCCTCACTCTTCCAAGATGTCCGACCTTGAGCCTCTACCACCTACATTACAGAACATCCTCGATCAAAAGAGCTTGAAATGGATTTTCTGCGGTGAGATTCTTCGTCAGGAATGGATGGATCGTAGCTGACGACTAGGTGGGAAGGGCGGTGTTGGTATGTCCCCGTAAACTCTCGAGTACTTGACGTCATCTGATTTTCGAAAGGTAAAACAACGACTTCTTGCTCCTTAGCAGCTCAATTGGCAACATGCAGGGAGTCGGTACTTCTCATCGTGAGTCCTAATCTCGACTCGTTACCCCTCATTCGTACTACTTGTGCCACCTCTCAATCCACTTTCACCCCGCTCACTCTGATAATCTCGTTCGTTCCTCCTCTTTCTTGTGTGATATCGTCAAGTCAGCTCTACTTCCGAGAGTCAAATCTTAGCCTAATACTTAGTCCACCGATCCAGCTCATAACCTCTCCGATGCATTCTCCCAGAAATTTGGAAAAGACGCTACCAAAGTCAACGGTTTTGATAATCTCTATGCGATGGAGATCGACCCAAATGCTAGCTTACAAGAGATGATAGAATCGTGTGAGTACCCATTCATGCTATATGGTCTATCTTGGCAATGGAAAGTGCTCAGCTGATGGATAAGCGGATTCGTCAGGTGGGATGGGTGGGATGATGCAGGATTTGGCTTTTGCTATACCGGGTGTGGATGAGGCTATGGGCTTTGCGGAGATTATGAAGTAAGTTTTGGGTGTGTTATCCCCAAATCCTTCACCATTCATCTAAGCCAAGGTCATATACACGACGGAAATCCCCCGCTTATATCTCTGACCGTTCTGTTGCTTCTTCCGAGACTTCATCCGGCCTGATTTGTTTGGGTTCACACAGACAGTCTGGGTGGGCTCAGTGAAATCGAATCTCGCTAATATATAGACATGTCAAGTCGATGGAATTCTCTGTCATCGTCTTTGACACTGCACCCACAGGACACACTCTTCGATTTCTGTCATTCCCTTCTGTGCTGGAAAAAGCCCTGGGCAAACTGAGCACATTGAGTGGTAGATTTGGTCCAATGCTGCAACAAGTGAGTTCGGACAGATGATCCTTCCACGTCACAGGCTTGGCAATCTCATGACGGCGTCCCAGGAGATGATGGCAACTTACTGACAATAGATGCAATCCATGTTTGGCGGTGGAGGAGCTCAGGAGGACATGTTTGGCAAGTTGGAACAGATGCGGGAGGTCATCACCGAGGTGAACACTCAGTTCAAGGATCCTGTGAGTCTCCTTTGCCCTCCCTCTCTTTCTTGCTTGCCCCATAACTATACTTGGCATTTCACAGCGATCTCATTGATGTCTCCGGAGATTGTGATAAACTGACATGATTCTTGAATTTATCCAAATTCGGCTCGCGGCGTACAGAAAATAGCTGAGCTGCCAGGACAAGACCACCTTCGTCTGCGTCTGCATATCCGAATTCCTGTCGTTATATGAAACCGAACGGCTTATACAGGAATTAACGCAGTACGGTATCGATACGCATAACATTGTAGTGAACCAACTCTTGTTCCCAAAAGCAGGTCAGTCGATCCAGTCTACCCCTCCACCTCACGCCTGAGATACACACACACAATCTCCGTCCGTTGATCGTGTCTGTTTCTGCGCGTGTCGCCGCACTCGACGCGTAGATTGACCATTTGCTGACATTACAAGGAGACAAGTGTGAGCAATGTAGCGTTCGACATAAGATGCAACAGAAATACCTAGGAGAAGCGTTCGATCTATACGAAGATGGCTTCCATATAATTCAGTTACCTCTTTTGACAGAAGAAGTTCGGGGAGTGGATAAGATCAGAGAATTTAGTAAGATGTTGATTACGCCATATCAACCACCTCAGTAGAATCAGTCAATATATCAATGCATGACCCATACTTCATGTACCTGTGTCAATCTCTCTGACAAGTCCTGAGATCTATGACCTTATATCTGCGTGGTGCTGCATGCTGCCATGCTCCTTGGATGCTTGCAACGTGCATTTTATATCCCCACTGTCAGTGGCACAAAAAGCCACAACGCCACTCACTACTCTCTGCCGTTCAAAAGTATGAGTCGGTTTCGCCTCTCTCTTCTCGCTGACCCTGTACACAGCACCCCGTCAATGATCACTTTGCTACTATAACACGACAGATACGACAGATACGATCATCACGTACCCTATACACGAACGAAACGGTCTCATGGATACACAGAGGAGAAGCGCACAGACGAATAGACGACCATCATGACACGCCGCCCCGACATTTCTTATCCCCTCCCCGTGGCTTCTTCCTCTTCCATGTCACTCACCTCTAGTCAGTCCAGGGAGGGAGATATGAATTGGAGCAATGGACCCAGGCGGAGTAGTATGGGAGGTAGTCGGGTCGCTGTGAGTCCCTTGCAAAGTGTTTTCACCTAGACTAAGCTACGATCTCTTGGCTTGAGACATCCCATTCTAGCCTTTCCTGAGCGCTGCTCTGTCAGATCCCGATCCACCATGTCATCTTTCCACCTCTATTGAATATGGTCTCTCCGTATCTCCTCGTTTTACTGCGTGGTCACTGGTTGGTGGTGTGAAAAAAGGATTGGAGTCAGCCGTCCGTCACTCAGAATAAGAGTTCTGAACAGCTTTGATGGCTGCATTCGTACTTTGTTCACCATGAGACTGGATCATGGAGGAAGAAAATGACATATATGTTCCATGGCTGACATCAGCCCGCTGCATTGGATAGTATCATCACACGATTATTAGTCACGACCAAGCAGATGTTGCAGGGTTTGGACCAATGGTCTCAGGGTATAATCACTGAAGAAGATGTGAGTTCATTCAATCATACCGATGTTTGAATCATCTTTGAGATGATGTGTATTCCATTTTCACATTCTGTGGTGATATTATGTGATACGGAGGCCACAGAAGAGTGGGGAGCTTTGCTAGCCTGTTACTCGACTAACGGACAGGTGAGCGATATCTATGTCAGACTAGGAAATGGGTTTGAACAATGTGTTGAGGCTTTTCAGAAGGTCGGCTTAGATACCACGTAAGTCTCATGCCATTTCTTTCTCATGTTGGCTCATACCCTCCAAACCCAACTCCTCACCGACCATGCTCGGGAATGGTGCTTTAATCTATGGTGTTAAGACAAGCCTGGAACAGTTCTGATAATCCCAGAGAACTCAGTAATATCCCACAGGAGCTCCGCATCTGTCTCGAACAAGCTTTGGCGGAAGATCCTGACCCCCAAACTTTGACGGAATATTACCCTCAAATCCGAAGCATCATATATGACCTTCTCAACGGTTTGAAGATCAAGCAAGCCGCTTATAAACGACTTCTCGCAGAACGGAATGGGGTGGATATATCTGTCCCTCGTCCTGCTCTCGCCCCTAGTCCCTTTCCATCCACTCAACCACCACCACCAGCACAAAATCGACTACCCAGTGGTGACCCTTCCGTATCTCGTACAATGGCTAGAAGTCCTACCCCTGGCCCTGGATCAGCTTCCAGTCCGCCCAATAGATATAATCCCTTACCTTCACTTCCCTCTTCTTCTGCTTTGGCAGATAGACAATCCTCTAGATCAGGCCTGCCGGCGAGACCAGCACCTCCAGACGCTTTTAGACCTCCAAGAACTCGACCCGTCGATCCACCTCCGCAACCTTTACGCCGATCCCTCTCCCCTCTACCTATGGAAAAACGTTTCAGTTCCAGCCCGCCTTCCATATCTGACCCCACGCAGCTTGTCCGACATCAGTTAACGGATGAGCCTCCCCCTAGATCCAATCTTCTCCCTACTCCACCTTCTGGCAGAGCTCCTCCAAGACCCGATCGAGCCAGTAGAGACAGTCTGGGAGGACCACGACCTGTTTCACGTTTCTCTCTCGACTCGGAAATGACCAATGGCTCGCCTGTTCGTTCACCTCCTTCCAATACGCCTGAACGACGAGGTGTCATGGCTCTATCCACGTCATTCCCAAACACCTCAAGTGAAGAATCAATCGGACCTCCTATACTCCCTATACTCAACCTTCCTTCCAGCACGAGTCTGGACTTTTCTCATCCCAGTCCACCCAGTGGAATGCCTGAGGTGCCTCCAGAAACGAGAGCGACACTTGCAGCTTTACAACGATCAGATGCGCTCGAAAGACGCGCCAGCAAAAGGTTCTCTTCATATACCTTCAACAAGATGCTCCCCACCACTGAACCGACGAAAAAGGTCGTTGGTAGTCCTCAGAGACCTATGAGACGTGCTGATCGTCCTCCACCCATGCCTGCCTTGCCGGAGTCTTCGAAACGATCGTCCAACGCCCAGATTAAAATACCTTCACCATTGGCTCCCCCGATATCTCTCCGTACAAATGGTAACACTCCGTCTTCATCTCGATCTGACACCTCGTCCCCAGCTCCTGATGTATCAGCCCTTCTAGGGTATCCTGATTCATCCATGAGAGTACTCCGAACGCCAGACTCCGGTGAGATTGGACAAGAAGCCACTCCTAGACCTGGGGACGGCTTCGCACGTCAGTCGGATATGTCTTCACCATCCCCTCGCATTTCGGTCTATTTGCAGATTGGACGACAGGTCAAGAAAGCAACGTTGGATCTACCTGTAGACTTGTCGTCTCTGAAATTGATGTTCATGGAGCGATTCGAGTATGATCCGGGTATGGAGGATTTTCCAGATGTTTATATCCGTGACCCTCGAACTGGTGTTCAATTCGAGTTGGAAGATATGGACGAGTTGAAAGAGGGCTGTATTTTGAATTTAAACATTGAGCGTGAGTACTTACTGAACGTGGAAGCAGCCGGTCACTTACATCCAGCGCTGGATCAGGTCAAACAACACTTCGACACCACTGTTGCGACTTTGATGCAAGAGATCAAGGAAATGAGATCGGCCGTCGAACAATCAAGTCGAGCGTCTATAACACCATCTTCATCCGCACTGCTGGCCGCACCTACTTCACAACCTGTTAGATCTTCTCCATCTCCGACGAAGGCATCAGACCTTCCATCCATAGCTTCTTCTCCGACGGCCGGTCCTTCCAACGGATCATCGTCATCGGTTGGGAATACCGGTCACATGGACCTACAATCCCAATACGAAGCTGTTCAATCTCTTCGACGAGATCTCGCTGTCATGCGACAAGTCCATGTTGATTTTCTCGCCGATACCAAAGAATCTTTCTCACGTCTTCGAGCCCAAAATTCCTCCATGAGAGAAGTGGTCCGTACCAAAATGTCTGGTTCCCGTGCTTTACTCGACAATTCGAAAACCAAATTGGAATCACAATGTCAAGATGCTATTCAAGCGGTTGAAGAAGTTCTTGACACTCTTGATGCCGCTCGAGAAGATGCTTTACGTCGTTTTGTTTCTCCATCCAGAGCACAAATGACTTCTATTCGAGCCGATCTTGATAAAGCCAGTGCGTTGGTAGAACAAGTGACTCGAGATGTGACATCAGCGGATCCCACTTGGAGAGCCACATGGGCGTTCGAATTGAACAGAGTCATGGAAGAACAGAAATTATTAAGTTATCAAAGTAAACTCGCTCAAGATCTCAAGAATGATATTAAACAAGCTGTTGATATGTTACAAAACGTACAGGATTTCGTTGATCAAAGAGCTGCCATGCGTGCTGCAGGAACTACACCAAGTAAAGGTTTCCGACCTCCCTCACCTGATGAATCGGGAGGATTACCAAATCTCTTGTTAGAGATCAGAACGAAGGAGATGGATCCTAATCAACGTTTAAAAGCTATAGAAGCTCAACAAAAGGCTAGAGAGAGGGAATTGGCCAATCGCACAGATGAATTTTCGTCAGAGTTGCAAGGATTTGTCAGTGGGAGGAAACTTAAAAAGACGGGAGGAACGGATGAGGCTGAAAGAGCGAGACAAAGAAGACAGGAACAGACCTTGAAGAGAATGTTGACGGGTGAACAAGGAGGTGGGATTTTAACTCCACAAGTGACTGGTGCGAGTGTTAAATCACCTCCTGCTACGGTCACCGGGGGTAAGATGGTCAGCTCTTCAACCAGTTTGGCAGGTACACCGATTAGTCCCACTGCTCCTGTGACCGAGTAACAGGATTGGAATTAATGAGGAATACGGGGATTTGGGGGGTTTAATATTGAAGATGTCATTGGTGGATGATGGAACCGCGTGCAAAATTGTGTCAGGTGAGGACACCAATTTACATGTTATGCATACAAAGGAAAGAACGTAGAGGTAAAGTAATTGATCATGATGAATGGTTTGATTGTCTTTCCATTCTTTCGTTTCCAAGTTCGTTCCAAGCTTTCAATCGTTTGTATCTATCAATCGTCACATCTCCTACAACTCGACATTGACAATGTCCAAACTTCAAGCTTCAACCAAACTTCTGATTCTTGACAAACATCCTCTCTCCACCAACATACACCGCTTCACACTTAGACCGCTTCAACACTGTCCAACGCCCTGCGTATCTCCATCAAAGCCTTATCCGCACTCACACTGTCCCTTCGTGGAGCCGTCCAGCTTCGTCCTGCGCCCGGAGCAGTAGTTTTGATATGCTGTTGAGGACCCAGCATTAAGATCGGATCTTCTTCCGAACTACTGGATACGCTACGAGAAACGTTTCCCGAACTTGGAGCTTCTTCCTTCCCAACTCTTTCATCATGCGTAGGTAATCGACCACTGGCGCTGGAAGGAAAACTGAGAGCACCTGACATACTTTGCCTTGCCCATGATGCCGATCCTGAGCCAATCCTAGTATGTTGATTCGCCCTCGTTATTCCTCCCACACCATTGAGATTACCACTTCTTTTGGTAGGCATGACGAAATTACCCATGCCTCCTGCTACAGATGCAGAGTTCTGAATCGGTCGAGATTCCTGATTGCCATTGTGGTTGCCATTGGCATGTCCATTGACGTGTAACGGTTGGTTCGAGTGACCGTTCAGACCGAGAGAAGCAGATATTCCAGAGATGGAAGATCCGGATTGACCGAAAGCCATATTGGAAATCGATTGTAAACCAGAAGCGGCAGATCGATGTCCCATTGCTCGGGCAGAGAGGGCGGCGATGATCTGCGCAGCGTCGGGTCCATCGTATGGTCTGATTTGAGCAGGTGGGGGGAATATGGTAGGAGGATGAAGTAAGAGATAGAGATACGCTCGTTTCGCTGTGAAAATGTCAGCCAAACGTCAAAAGATGCAAAAGAGATGAAGGGGGGAGGTAAACATACCTATATTGGCATCCCCAAAAACGACAAGTGCGTTCGTATCGTCAACCCATTTAATCCTGAAACCACCTTTCTCGGTCTCCCACTCTTTGAACATGGTTTGTAAGTCACGCGTTTTCAATCTACCATCAGCTTGTCGCTTTTGGAACCTGACCATATGATCTCCATGCCTGTATGATATCACAATGACATAATTGCACGCTGACAAAAATCACGAGCTTGATGTAGCGCCTAGGAGTACGTGACACAGATGGATGATAATTGTAAACACGAGGGATGACTTACTCTGGAGAGAAATTGGTCAGGTGGAGGATCCGCGTGACGGCGGCGGTAACTGGACCAGTGGCCGATGGAGCGGGGATGAAAGTACCGTTGGGTAAAGAGATAGACATGGTGTAGGAGGTGCTCTATACTGGTGCAGTCGGTCTTAAACTTATGAGCTTGAGGAAAAGTTTCTATCAAGAACTGAAAGTAGGTAGGGAAGATGTCTGGATGTCGAATGAAAGAATGGAGAGTTGCCCGAGGAGGACGTGTCGAGCACCGCTCGAGTTAAAATGCGGATGGGATGGAAGGCGATGGCCGATGCGATTGACAAGGATTAGGTCTTGGAAAGAGTTAGACTGTGAGGAACAGAAGAGAGACGTGTCCACGAAACGAGAGAGTAGTAATGTAAATAGGATGGTAGTGCAGATAGATAGAGTAACTAAGTGAGTGGTGGGATAAGTAAGTATGGATTGGTCTGTGCTCAAGTGAGTAGGATGACCACTTGCGGAATGCCACAATTATCAATCCCCGAAACGCCGACAGTCCCCAGCTCGCCATCTGGCTTACCGGCTCACCCTTTCCTTCCTTCCTTCCTCACCCTAACTCTCTCTATTTCTCGTCTGAGTAATCAATCCATATTTAACTCGTGAGTACTTAATCCCCCTTCTCTGTCATCATCACATCTTTCGATCCGTTCTCAGACATGTGACTCGACCTCGATTGAGGTCAGATTATTGAGTGTGACAAAGAGACGTGACAGTCATTCGATCTCGCCACCCATCTCCTTCTATGACATTCCTTTTGTTCCATCGAGTCTCTTTCTGGTAATCTTGCTTATGCAGCCCTTTTGAAAGAGGTCTAGCGTCTTCTACTAGATTTGGGTCTTGTTAAAAATCTCATCGGTGACTCGCGTGACACACGTTTGGTGCCCGGCTTTATATAAACCCTGTGCTGACACTTCTCTTTTCTTTCATCACTCTCGTTTCCCATCGTTCTATCCGCCACTCCACTTTTAAACCATCCAGTCAATCTACGTTACAAGACTACTACATATCTCTCGCCCACCATGCAAATTTTTGTCAAAACGTGAGTGCTGCTTTTCTCGCGGAAATCATCGTGAGGTATCTGACGGTCAGCCTCACCGGTAAGACAATCACCTTAGAGGTCGAATCCTCCGATACAATCGACAATGTCAAGTCGAAAATTCAGGACAAGGAGGGTATTCCTCCTGACCAACAACGTCTGATCTTCGCTGGAAAGCAATTGGAAGATGGACGTACCCTCTCCGACTACAGTGAGTATCATTCGTTCAGCCCTTCTCGCCTTCCTTTCGCCACTGATGAGCACGGCTGACAAAACAGACATTCAGAAAGAATCGACTCTTCACCTTGTCCTTCGTCTTCGTGGAGGTATGCAAATCTTCGTCAAGACACTTACTGGCAAGACCATCACCCTTGAGGTCGAATCTTCCGACACCATTGACAATGTCAAGTCGAAAATCCAAGACAAGGAAGGTATTCCTCCCGATCAACAACGTCTTATCTTTGCCGGGAAGCAGTTGGAAGATGGCAGGACTCTCTCAGACTACAGTGAGTACTTAAACACCGTCTTTGGAAATGTCGACTAACTCTACCAGACATCCAGAAGGAGTCCACCCTCCACCTCGTCCTTCGTCTCCGTGGTGGTATGCAGATCTTCGTGAAGACTTTGACCGGTAAAACTATCACTCTTGAAGTCGAGTCATCCGACACCATCGACAATGTCAAGTCGAAGATCCAGGACAAAGAGGGGATCCCACCTGATCAGCAACGTCTCATCTTCGCCGGTAAACAGCTCGAGGACGGTCGAACTCTTTCAGACTACAACATTCAGAAGGAATCCACCCTCCATTTGGTTCTGCGTCTCCGTGGTGGTATGCAGATCTTTGTCAAGACTTTGACCGGCAAAACCATCACCCTCGAAGTCGAGTCATCTGATACCATCGACAATGTGAAGAGCAAAATTCAGGACAAAGAGGGTATTCCCCCTGATCAGCAACGACTTATCTTCGCCGGAAAGCAACTTGAGGATGGCCGAACCTTGTCAGATTACAACATTCAGAAGGAGTCGACTCTTCACCTTGTCTTGCGTCTCCGTGGTGGTATGCAAATCTTCGTTAAGACGTGAGTTTCCATCATTTTTCGAGTTTTGTCGACTGGCTGACACAGCAGTCTTACTGGGAAGACGATCACTCTTGAGGTTGAATCGTCGGACACGATTGACAATGTTAAATCTAAAATTCAGGACAAGTGAGTTGATGACTCGCGATCGGGAGAATTATCTGACCCGATAGAGAAGGTATTCCTCCTGACCAACAACGTTTGATCTTCGCCGGCAAGCAACTGGAAGACGGCAGAACCCTGTCTGATTACAATATTCAGAAGGAATCAACACTTCATCTTGTTTTGAGGCTGCGTGGAGGGATGCAGATTTTTGTTAAAACCCTCACCGGAAAGACAATCACGCTCGAGGTAGAGTCTTCTGACACGATCGACAATGTCAAATCGAAGATTCAGGACAAGTGAGTGTTGTGAATTTTAACGAGTAAGGGCAATGCTGACACCTGCAGAGAGGGTATTCCCCCGGACCAGCAACGACTCATCTTCGCGGGGAAGCAGCTGGAGGACGGTAGGACGCTGAGCGACTATAACATTCAGAAAGAATCTACTCTTCACCTGGTGTTGCGTCTGCGTGGAGGGCAATAGATGTATGAGAGATGAAGTAGAAATATGATCTTAGTTGTGATATGAATCGTGGTTTCCTGGCTCATCCATCGTACTTGTACATCGTACACTGATACACTGATGCAGAATGCAGAGTGCAGGACTCGCAGAATCTCGCGATCGATCGTCGCTAACTCGGTGAACTTTTGAATTTGTCACTCCACTGAGTTATCGTTCACTCCATCATGACCGTACCCAGACTATTGGTTGTGGGAGGCAATGGTTTCCTCGGTGTGTACAGCCTGCACGATCTATGAGCCGAACTGACGCCAAGGATCTGCGATATGCAAAGCTGCCGTGACTAAAGGCTGGGAAGTGGCCAGTATGAGGTGAGTATGTCCCATCAGTCCTCCCTGTCCAACTTTCGACCTCGCCCGCTTCCCCTGTCTATATCATCTCTCTACTAAACTGCCCGTTTCATTCTTTCTTGGTATTTAAAGTGCCACTAGAAACTTACCTTAGCTCATCTGGCATCCCATATAAGACTCCAGCCGGTCATTCCCCCAAATGGACCCAAGAAGTCCAATGGCATCAAGCAGACGCCTTCGATCCTTCCACTTACGCCGATCTAACATCCAAATCGACGGCCGTGGTACATACTCTCGGAGTTTTATTGGAGGATACAGGATACAAGACAGCTATTAAAGAAGGGAACGTTTTGAAACTTTTAGGAAGCCTGGCGAAGGGTTTGGGAGATGGAGGAAGGGGGTTGAAGGGTGAGAAAGAGAGGAGGAAAGGGTATGAGGGGATGAATAGGGATTCTGGTTGGTCTTTCTTTACTTTGTTTCTTTATCTCTCATCTTCTTTGGTATCTATCTTGCTACATGTTAATCCCTCCCCCCTTGTTCCCCATCTTGTCCGTCCGTTCGTCTATCTTGTCTTGCACCGAGGCAACAGGTCCGGTCCGATCTCATCCTCACTCCCTCCCTTCCTCTCTCGGTCCAGATCGCCCCGCTTCTGATCTTTCTTCTGTTCATCTGTGGACCATGGTTCATATTAAATACTTGTCGAGTATGGGGGATTTGACGATCGATTGCAACCATTTCCACTTTTGCCCCCAAGTTCCTGCATCGCACACTGGGATAGATAGAATTTTGAGTGAGCTGTGAAGTACAAAGCTTATTTCAGCTCTGAGAGTGCTCGATACCATGTTATCATCCTCCGAAATCATAGGACAACCAAATAAATCATTCGTTTATATATCCGCTGCGGACGCTTTCAGACCTCTCATACCTAATCGATATCTCGCTACTAAGCGTCAGGCCGAAGTTGAGATTACCAGACGTTGTCAAGATGCAGAGACCAAGGTCCGACCTGTCTTCTTACGGCCCGGTGGGTAATCTTCTTGTGGTCCATTTATACGTCATCTTATCCCCCGTCTCGTTGGCATTAACAAACACTGCCTCGCCGATACCTTATCTTTACACTTTCCGCTCTATTGCATACGCCGCGAGTTGAAGCGCTTCAACTCAACATCCCCCTCTCTCCATTAAGTGTAGGCAAAGCACTTTGTGATCCTCGTATAGTCAACGAGACAATCACATAGAGATCTGGGTAGAGGCGATGATATGATATTGTTGCAAGCTCTACAAATTGCTGATCCCCAGGACTAATGTATCACCCTCATATCCGACCCATCTCCACATTACCCGCTTTCGCCTTATCCCTCACTGCATCAACTCACGACACTCTCCATATACCTCTTCCCTTCTCCCCTGATTCATTCTTTGGTGGAGCAGCGGAAGCTTTGAGAACTCACCCGTTACATGTTGACCATGTTGCCGAAGCTGCCATCAAGAGCATCGAGGATTCTTCCAGAGAAGGAGTGGTGGATGTCGATACCATGCGTCAATGGGCAGGGTTTGGAAGTAAGAGCAATTCGGAAGCTGCAGTGATTTGAGCAGGTTTGAGTGAGTAAATATCATATCATGCATTCATCTGAAAGATTCACTAATCGTATTGTGCTTCGCTCATGTACCTCTCCTGCAGCCGAGGGAATGTGTTGCTTGGCTTAACGCTTCTTCATACCTAGCGAAGTTGACAAGAAGAAGCCAGCCTTGTGAGAGAGACTCCCACCATTGTAAAACTTAGTTGAGAGCTTGTTCAAACGACTTTCGATCTTGTCAATTTTCTTCTTGCAAGTTTGATAATCAATTGACTCTTCCCCCCTTAGTGTGTGTATTTCAGTCAAAGCTTGACAAGCTTTCTTCTGCATGGTTCCCAACCGTCCCAGAATGTCCTGATTCACTCTGAACGTTAGTGGAATCTTCTTCGACCTCCATCTTATCCCTCCTTGACTCATCAGAGCTGTGTAGCAGTACCACATACATATCGAGTATCAAATTTAAATCCATTCCATGTCCAATAAGAAAAGTGGACTGGTCAATGAGGGGGAAACAATCGAAAGACTCACGCAGTTACCTGGACATCTATATTATCATCACTAGGTAGCCAGCTATGTCCCACTAAGTGAAAGCTCCAATCGGCTCTCTCAAGTATTCCAGTCTGGATATGACTCGATCCATCACACTCCTTCAGCCAATCTCGTATGGTATATGCGTCGTCGAACACATCGATTGGAATAATTAGTCGTGACTGCTCCCGATCCTGTCCATGTTGAGGATTATATCCTTCCCACATATTTGCAAAGTATCTTTCCGGTTGGGTCAGACCTTTCTCTAAGGTGTCAAAAGTTGGGCTAGGTTGGGAAAGTACCGTTCGAGCACTAGTGGACATACGGTCATGAGCTTCTCTCACCTTGACAGGTGCACCTAGGGTTGATATGAGAGGTAGAAAAGCATCACAACTCTTCTTTGTCACTTTGGGTGACACCATAAATCTGTCGGTCAAGAGCTTGAGAGCAAATTCAGAAGGTATGTGAGTCCATCGCTGTCTAATGTTGTTATCGTCAGTCGTGACTGGATCGATGATTGTAGCTTGAGAAGCTTCCTGACAAGAGGTGTGAGCGGTGTCCTGGTTTGTGTTGAAGGTCGTTTCAACATTATCATTGGAAGTGTGGATGGGAACAATGTCTTCTGTATCCCCTTGTGAGGCGTTCATGGTAACTGTATGATCGTTTGTTGACATGTTGTGAAATACAACTGAAGGGTTATGAAGAAGGTGGATGATCTTTGATTTTATAGAAACAAAGATCCTCGAGAGAAGGCCAGAAGAGGTGATTAGTCATGAGCACGACATTGACATCCTTTCATACTGTAAGTCTCAGACACGTGAGAGAAAGATGAAACGATGTTAGACTCATAGCTAATTATGAAGATCATATGTTCAAGGAAGCTCACCTGAGACATGAGGCGTGTGAGGAGAGCATATACGAATGAGGGGATGAAAGGGGAGGGATTCGTGACGTCAAGAAAGTCGAAGATGAACGTTAGATGAGTAATTGTGGTGATGTATCATCATATGAAGATGGACAATGGAGATTCATAACAAGACAAGTGTTCGAGTGGACAGTTTGAAGTTTCGAGAATATCGAGACGGATGGCACGCGGGTGATTAGAAGATATGTAAAGTATGTCGAGAAAATGTGCACGAAAGTGATAGACTTAAGAGGCGCTTTTGAATTTAGTACCGTATCAAAACTAAATGCTAAAGTCGTGATTGTAACTCCCTTCTATAACGGAAATGTTAATCGTTAACTAGTCAGAATGATCATAGATGACCTGAGTAAGTTAAGTAATATCAATCCTGAATCTCCTCGATGCATTCAATCAACAATGCGACAATCAGTAGATCTCCGAGACCATTTCCCCGAGGTGATCCAAGAGAAGATCTCGACTGGGTCAAGTTCACATGCAGTACTAATCTGACCCGCTGAGCTTAGCTGTCAGAATCTTCTTAGCCTTGTAAAAATGCCTTGATCCCAATAACGTCAGGTTGCCCTCTTCCAACTGCGCAATACGACTTTTGAGCTCTTCCACACTTCCCCGAAGGGTAGCGTTCTCTGTCTGAGTCTCTTGAACGGTGCTCTGTTCCGCTATGAGGCGAGTGTTCGCAACATTGAGTTTGTCCAACAATTCACAGGTTTCGGTTTGAAGCTTGACAAGTTGATCAAGAAGTGTTTCTTGCTCCCTGTTTGTCAGTATCTCCACTCTTCAGTTTCCAGCCAAAAAAATGAGCCTTATATTGACTCGATCGAGCACGAGAGAGAAGTATGTTGGGGATTTTCACTTACTTGGTGAGCGGCCCGCACACTTTTGTGGAGACCCAACTCTGCCTCATGGAATTTACACTCCATAGAGCTCTATCAAGGACATGTTTCTCCAATCCGTTCCTTTCACGGTTGAATTTTTCGATCCACTCTCTCAAGACTCTCGTATCACTTAGTACATTTGGTATGTCGCTCTGTTCCACCAAGGATAGATTTTCAACCTGTTCTACGAAGTGCGCTGTGATATTGAAGGTGGGACCGGGGTTGTACTCTGTCCAACCGACGGCGAAATACTCTTCGAGATCCGTCATGCCCTCGCTCATACCGCGGATTGTAGGTGGAGGACATACCTTCGCTGTCTCGATATTGGTTTGCAGTCGATCGAGAACACCTTTGACATCATTTGGTATTTTGAAGGTTGTTGCGATGGGCTGGAGAGAAAGGCAGATCTTGTGAGACGATTTGAGAGCCATGGGAAAACGTTGAGTAAAGTAGCTCGACATGAGCAATTCTTCAGCAGACAGCCGGCCGTACATCCCTTGCATGCTGTCACCGTCAGCAGTTGGGGTTGGGTTTGTGGATCCGGCGCGAGACATGACGTTCTTGTTGATGGAGCTGTGTGTCAGTCAATCAGTGAAGTAGATAGTGAGTGATAGAAAACGACGAGGTTGTGACCCGACGAAGCGACGGTGGTAGTCCTTTGATGCCTTTTGACATATCGACTAAACGAGAAATCGGCTGCTCGCAATCAGTGTTCTTGAGGGTCAAATCGACAACGGAGACGATGACACATGTAGCGGCGGAGTCAGCTCCTCATCCCAGTCGAACTCATGAAACTTGACTTTACCGATGCATATGATCTGACGCATGAACAAAAGACGATTGAGACCGCTTGGTGAAAAACTCATGCCTCGCCTCTCACTTGAAAAAATCGTTTCCACCAACTTCTTCCGATACCCTTTGAGGCTCTTTCGACTCCATCTAGGATACGTTTATAGTACAAGGGGTCATGTTGAGGTTGAAGAGTTTTCGAGCTCAAGGGATACTGGACGTCAGATCGAGCTTTATATACGCAGATCCGACGCACTTGATGTAATGCCGCGCTTGACTTGATCCTCTCCAGGGGAGTTAACATCCGTTCAATCGCCCTGTCCTGCGCAGATCCTACGGAAACGGAAGATGATGTTGAGGAAGGGAAAGAACGGTTGACGATTCCCTCCAGAGCGTGAGACATTTGGGTGGGACCTTCAGGCCGGAGAGGGGTGGAAGGAAATGATCGGATAACTTCGAGTAGACGGGTAAGACGGGACATGACGATTGACGGTGCGGGAGGATACTGAAGGTGGTCTGTATGGTTTGATCAGGGCTATTGAGGGAGTTGAAGGGATAGAGAGCGGGAATGTGTGGCTTCAAGTGTGTTTGCTAAATATGACGGACGATGGAAGGAAGAGGAAAAATAGAGAAAAATGATAAAGTGTAAGTACGATTCGATGACTAGACTTTCGTCGTGACATCATCCATCAGTACTTACCACTTCTTCGCTCGCTACATATCATTCTCTGCCATAACTGACTTACTGAGTCTTGGTACGAGCACCGAGCAGCATGACTCTCCCCATAGGTGATATCATTCACAGAGCGGCTGTTCTCTCCTGCTTGGGTGTCGGGGTGAGTCACTTTGCTTCCCTCGTCCCTTCGTACCGACCCCGGTCACTTTGAACATCTTCGAAGAGTCTTGAGTCAGACTGACTTGTAGGCTATTGCGGCAGTAGCCATGGCGAATGGCTTTCAAGATCGCCTAGCCAGACGTAAAGAAGCTGTTAGCCCTTTCCACCTATGCGAATCTCAGTCTCTGCTGATGGTGTAGTTTAGGCAAGAGCAGCTCGCCCTCGTCAGTCATTTTCTCTTCTTTCCCATATCAGCCATCTGACAAGCAGGCGGAGAAGCACGTCGGTGAGACTAGAGGTCGTGTCGATACTCCTTGATCATATCATTCCTTGCATAATCATCAACATCATATTTCTCACCTGTCAAACATGCATCGTCCGCCCTGGAACTTGCTACTCGTCCTTTATCACCCCACTCACTTTTCTCATACGGACCGACCTGAGAAGCTTTTGGCTACAAACTCAAGCCTCAGTTGTTACAAGTACCCCTTCAAGATGTTCTTGGCTACCTTTGATTCACGTCAGCTGCAGGCTAGGCTCTCAATCCCACGTCTCATACTCCGCCGATCCTTTGAACAACACCAATCCCCCCAACCTCCTGACCTCAAAGGAAGTCAGACAGTCATGCCCCGTTTGAGAGCCAATGTGGGCCTCGGTATTCTTCTCTGACATCAGCTGGCACGGCAACACTCATATTCTGACGTCTCCCCCATCTCCGACAGTTTCGTATCGCCCAAGTCGTTCTTTACCGCTTCGCCCTCTCGTTGGCTCTCAACTTCACGACTATCTAATCCAGTACCGATCGTTCTCCATTCTCTTTGTTCTTATCCTTGTTCTATAATTCGATGACCTGATGACAGATGGCGACCATCATAGACGACACTGATCAGGGCTTCCAGTGGTCCGGAAGTGCATGGTAGGTTCTTTTGGCTTCGGTCATGATAATGAAACTCACTCCGTAGGGTGTACAAATATCCGGGACATACAGGTAGGCTCTAACAGAAACAACGAGGAGAACTCTCGTCTCACATGCGCAGATGATTCTCAAACGCCAAATTACTTCAACTCTGTGAGCGTTGTGATATTTCAAATCCGTACAGCGCTGACCCGCAGACATTGTATGTCTCCTATTCATCTGTATGCGACAAATAGCTGATATGTCCAAGTCATGGGTCGACCAAAAACGTAACTTCAATTGCCACTCATGAGTTCTGGAACTAATGGCCAGGGAGATTATTGTCTGATTCACTGGCACGGCACCGACATTGCGGTGTATGGCGCAAGAAGAGGCAAGTGAGTGATCTTACATATTTCTCCTAGGTAACGAAGGCACTGCTGACGTCGCAGTCACGTTCGTTATCTCTCTTGTCCTCACCACCTCACCAATCCTAATCGAAGGTCTAGTGCTTCTGCACGGATCGTACTCAATCAGGCCACAGGACGAAAGTAAACGTCACCTGACTACCAGGGGATCTACGGTGTGTCAGTGGATAACGGCGACGTTTCATACTACTCTGGTTACGCCTCTCCTGACGAGTTTCAAGTCGTTCTCTACGCCACATCTGGCCTGTCAGAAGGTGATCACACCATCAAGATCTCAAACGAGAATGCCCGGGATACCGATCAGTATCCGTCATACGTGTGGATGGACATTGACTATGCCGCCATTACCGGAACGACGTGAGTGGATGGACTTTTGAACTGTACTCGAGAGGGATCCCTTGCGCCCCATCACCATTTGCTGACTTCGACTGTGTAGCAGCGAGCTCACCATGTATAGCCTGAACCCTACGGCGACGACTACACAGACCAGTACCACTCCTACCACGACCTCTACCCAGGCGACGACTTCCACAACCTCCTCAGTACCTCCCTCCTCATCATCCTCTTCGCCAGCGGCAGAGTCAACCTCTTCTTCGCAGTCTGTCGTTTCCACGCCTACCTCCCAACCTCTTCCATCCTCTTCTTCCTCTTCATCATCATCCTTTTCGTCCGTCTCTCTCAACGCCCAGCAATACTCCGCTTCTACCACCATTGTCGCCACGACTACTGTGAGTCTGAGCACTGGCCAGGCGGTGAACGGACCAAGCGGACCTGTGACAGGTACGTCAAGTGCCAGTGCTAGTAAGAGCAGTAAGGCAGGAGCTGCGAGTGACAATTCAGGGAGCAGCACGTCCAAGTGAGCTTCATACAAGAAGTGAAGTCAAGCTGACGTATACAGAAATACCAAGTTGGCCATCTGTATTCCCGTCATCGTCATCTCTGCAGCTGTCATCGTGGCTGTAGGATTAGTGTGGTATGTGCGTAGGCGTCGCAGACAACAGGAGAGTCAAGAGGAGAAGAGTTGGTACTTTCTTTGTCCTTCACACTCCATCCGTCTCAACACTGTCACTCCTCAATGCGACGCTCCTAAGCCAAGTCTACCTGCTTCCAACTCACATTCAAGGCTCACATATCGATTTGACAGATCAAAGCTGATGAGCCAGATCATTTTGCGCATCAGAGGAATTCTTGGGGAGATCTATAATACCATATCCTTGTCCTACTCTTTCCACACTCCTTGATCGGCTAATTCTACCAACACTATTTCGGTTCTCGTAGCCCTAGCGGTCAGCGAATTTATGCAGCTTTTCAAAACGATGTCCATCCAAGTGAACTAACCATGCGAAAGATTCAAGAAGGGTGATTCATGCACGCCGCGAAGAAACCTCAATAAAGTCCTGCAGGCATTCTGGAAGGGCGAACCAGAGAAGCGAAGACATGGAGGGATATCTAAAGAGTTGCCCGGCCTCGTCGGATGAGGGATCGAGACGAAGTACTTGAGTTGAAATCAGTCAAAAAAGCGGTGCGAGATTTAGTGAGCGATTAGGTGAGCTTTCAACGCCGGGCGTGAGAGGAAATGGAGGCGATGAAGAGCTCTCTCTGATCTCACCTTCCGTCTCCAAGGCCAATCTAGGATCTTGGCAACGTGTACCACGTCGTCATCGTGGCGGTTCCCGATGGATACATGATCCGATAGAGAGAAGCGATGATGGACGGGGCGGGCTTCGACGTCCCATGGCGGTGCGAGGGGAACAAGGGATAACGAGGGGTGGAGCAGGAGATGAGAGGGTGGAGATGGAAGGGTAAGGTGGCTCACCCGGAAGTTGGTCACACCCGGATATTGATCACCGACCTCAAAGAGGTTGATTCTCCAGTAGATATTTATACCACTAGATAGCCATAATCCAGGAGATATCATCTGCAGAATCTGGGACCAGGAGAGTTATACATGCATGTATGGTCACCTCTCAAAAAAAAGGCGGAATCAAATTTGTATGGCGATGATCAATATCC